GACATAAAGTTAAATCTTCACAAATTCAATAAACCAATTAATTATTAATCCTGCTGCTAAAGTGCTCCTTGTTTTGCTATTTTTGCAACTCTTTTAGTTAAATTTTAGTCTTGTAGTCTTCTTTGTAAAAGTCGACTACAGCATGACTCACTCCATCATACCCCAGTTCATTAATGGAATAACCAAGCTGAAGTCGGTCATGACAATGTGTCCCACATTGACTTCTCCGTACAGGGATCTCCGCTCCTGTTATACCTACAGCAAAGGTTAATTGGAAAAAGTTTGAGCGGAAAGTTAGTGCATTTGATAACCGGTGTCAGATTTACGATCGGTCATTTGGTTTGGGAAATATCGGCGAAAACCTAGAATGACGAATTAGGTTATGCGCCAGAAAATCCAAATAAGTTTTCAATTGTTCAGACACTTCCTTAAGATGAGTGAGAAAAAGTGTATGACATGTCTCAATCGTCATTTGTTATCTCGCAACGTTATCTTATTTAAGTTAGGTCTTAATTATTTTATAAGTAGGGCATAATTTATTTAACATTAACAATAAGCAAGAGATATGCAAAATCACGTCCATTTGCATCGAGATATTTTTGCCAATTCGTGACTGTTTTTCCCACCACCAAATATGTCCAAAACTCTTTGTTTCAAGGTTACTATAATCTCTCTCAAAAAATGTTTTGTGGGACCCTAGAGGACGAAATCAAAGGGCGAAGGGTTAGGAGGTCTAGGAGGCCAAGATATCGGACCATTTAATGAAATAATTCTTTCGTCAAACTGCTTGCTTAAATGTGCCTGTTACTTTTATGATTTATTTTACTCCCTGTAGAGTACCTAATTGTACACCAGTCTAGCATGCGGAAAGAGTCATTTTATCATTTCCCACGGATCCGAGCCACTTCGGACATTTGATCACTAACAGTTTCAGTCAAGCTCTGAAGAAGCCAAGAGGATGATTGGCGAAACGTCAGCATGTTTGACTCAGCAAAAACCGATGCAGGAGGAATCCAGAAGTTTTGTAAAAAAAATATGATATGCTTTGTAGTAGTTACTATTATTATTTGAGTTTGAGTTTTAAGTAAATCAAAATCGTTTATTAGAGGTGGCAAATCAAAAGTTTGGACAAAGGACCAATGATTAGAAATTATTTTGGATGTTCCCAGTTTGAAAGGAAAGATCCCTGGGTAGTCATTTAGGATGTTGAATTTTACGTTGGTTGCTCCGCCGGTACAGAACCATCTGTAAAAATGGGCATTATTTTACTTTTGTTAATATAAATTATTTCTTTTCTTTTATTTTTGGGGTTTTCTATTTCGATTTTGCCGTTTTCGAGAATTTCAGTTAAAGTGAAAGGACCTAAGAATTTATTTTGTAGTTTATTAGATCTTTGATTTGTCGTTTTATAAACTTGAGAACTAATAGTTGGAATTTGAGTGATTTTATTTAAGTTAATTTTGGTTTTATTTCGATGGTTATCTAAATAATCGGTGAATACGTACGTGTGTGTCGTACTGTTATAAGCAGTAATAGCATAAAGCATTAGTTGGGTGATTTCGGTATCAACATTCTTCAATATTCGAAGGTTCGATCAAGGTAGAGTGTAGACGCTCTACAGAGGAATTTGATTCGTGATGTGAAGGAGTCGTGAAATATATTTTGATATTATGAGACCTTAAAAAACCTTGAACTACTTCATTGCGAAATTCGGATCCATTGTCTGAAATTATACATTTGGGTACGCCAAGAAATGAGAAGAATGTGACAAGTTGTTCACAACATGATACTGGGTTAAGTAAGTGCTTGTCCAAATTTAGAGAATTTATCGATAAATGTCAGAAATTTTTTATTTGCTGCAAGAAAGGTGTCGATGTGTGTACTCTTCAAATGGTCGACTGGGTGTCTCAGAGATAATTAAAGGTTGTTAGGGTGGTTTCCTATTATATGTGGATGGCTGACAGATTGCGCAATTGTTGATGTAATTGGTTACATCGGTTTTTAGGGATTTCCAATAGTAAGTGGCTTTCAAAAATTTTAGGATTTCATCTATACCACGGAGGTTTGTTTTCCCTTCGTGCTTGTATTTAATCAATAGAATTCTCTCATCTTCTTTGACATTATGAACTAATTTCGTACATTCGATTAGTTGGTAATTTCGAAAATGATTAGTCATTTCTTGTTGAAAGTACTGTCTTAATTCCTTAGAAAATAAATAAATATATGATTTTGTTGCGTGAACAATTTTATTTCAGTCGACTATTTCTTGGGTCACTTTTACGTACGGATCATAAGGTGATTTTTTAATGAATATTTCTCGCGATTTGTCGACGATGGTCATTTTGTTGTAATTTTCATCCGCGTTCGTAGTGCGAACAGTGAAAATAGGGGTGTCATTTGTTAAATTTATTTTGTGTTTTATTTGGTTAGTGAACGTTAACGGAGTGTTTTCGCAATAGAAAATGTGCCTATACTGATAGCATAATTTACGTATGGCTTCGTATTCTTCCTTGTTACAATGTTTTAGGCGTAAATTTTTAAAATTTTCTTAAAAATATTGTAGCATTACCCGAAGAGAAATTTTCTTGTTCAAGAGCGAAGCTCATTGCTTCTTCCAAAGACTGTGGATTTTTTTACCTAACCACCAATTGCATGTGGTAAGTTCGACCATTAATAAAGGTTTTTAAAAATTATACCATCATATTCGGTAATTTTTAATATTTTTAACTCTCTAGAATCATCAGATATGTTAATTTTTGAAAATAATAAACTTCGTGCGTCTTGCAAGCGTAACCCGAAACTTTGTGGATTTTCGTTTTTTTGCGGTTTCATGGTTGTAATATCTTGCACTACACAATATATCGATCTTTTATCCGAAAAAGTTAAAATGATTGCTTGTTTATTAAGATTAAGAATTATTTAACGTCAAAGTCAAAGCCCTTCTTAGATGGACAAAAGTGATATTTATCACAAAACTAATCACAAATGTGACAAATCAATCATGGCCTACTTATAAAATAATTAAGACCCAACTTTACGAAGTGTGATAAAAACATTTGTGCACTTGTGAGACCTCAAAAATCGAAAAACCCATAATGGCGACCATAACAAAAATGAACGTTAAGTCGGGTTGCGAGATAACAATAGACGATCGAAGAATGTCATATACTCGTCTTAAAAAAGTGTCAGCACAATGCCACATTTTGACAGCTGTCAATTTAACCGTTTTGTATTTTCTGGCGAAAAACGGAATCCGCCATTTTCAGTTTTTCGCCGATATTTTCCAAATCAATTGACAACAGGGACACATTTTATATCTACAATGTATCCGAGATAAGTATGTCTACCTTGGGGATATTGCAAACCATAAGAGATACGAAGATGGATAAATTGGAAAAAAACATATCAGTTGTAATGTTTTGAAAACCTTTAAGAAAGGGTCTTCTTAGTTAATCCTTAGTCTCAAAAACTCGCTGGTAAACATAATTTTTACAATATCCAAATACAAAAAAATAGAGTGGGGTGAGGTCCTGTGTAGTTTCTAATTTTTGCAGTTAATAATCAAGAGAACTACTGTAAGGTCAATTGAGAAGACTTGGAGCCTGAAGTCTTTCAAAACATTAATTAATTAAAAAAATTTATAAGTTAAAAATATTTTAAATTTTACAGTTACAAGGTGTTATCTGTATTTGGAAATTAATGGTCACTTGGATGTTTATTATAATTTCTTTTTTTCTTCTAGTAAGTTCTTTTTAAGTAATATGTTTAATGAATTAACATGTGACTACGTATTTAGCTATCACTTCGTTTTTATTTTTTTATAATGTTATTTAATAAAAACCCTTTTTTGTGATTTAAACAGTGAAGAATCATATTGTGTCGTATATTCTTCGACACACTTTATATATCCTCTTCTACAAGGTTCCCAAATCAAAGTTGTAATAATCATTGATAATTTTATCTGTTTCAATAAGATCACCTTCAATCACTTGGGAGCTCCTTACTCTCTTACTCTCTAGATAAATAAGTGCGTTTGAGTTTTTAAATTTATTATGGAACTTGTCGCCACTTTAAATCTTTTAGTACTATTAACACCAACACATTCCTGGATTTGCACTTTGCAGTTTCTCTATGTTTTGTTCTGTGGCTACAATAACCTCTATGGAATTCAGTGCATTTAGAGTGACTTAATTGCATTTTCCAAGTCCGTTCCTTTATGCTTTTCAGGTCTTGTAGTTATTATTGGCAAAGGGAGTGTATTCTCTGACTCTGAGATACACCACTGTAAACATTGTAGTCTACCCTAACACAAAATGTACAATCCTTAAAGCTCCTAATTAACTGTAGAAATCCGCTCCTAACACCATAGTTCCAAATTAGACTTTCAACGTGAATCAAAAGCTTTCTCAAAATCTAAATATCTATCACGTCAGTTGGTTGATAATTATCCGATGTGTCCACCTCTGCAATCTAGGAAGGAAATTTGTGACGTGGACCTTCCATGTTGATCGAATTAATAAAAAACGTTATCAAAAACAAACCAAAAATCTCTCAACATGTTCAATCCGTCAAAGACAAAATTTCGTTTGAGATGCCCGCAGTTTACAGCATTCCCTGCATGTGTGTTAAAGAATACATTAGAGGGACAGGAGGAAAAATATCAACTAGGCTAAAAGAATATGAAAGGGCCTTAAGACTGCGACAAATAAACTCATCAGCAGTTGCCGAACCCAATCATGAAACTGATAGAACTAAAATTCTTCTACCAAAGAAAAATCTGAGAATTCATAGAGATCTATAAGAAACCTAACAATTTTAACCGCGACTCGGGTCTTTACCTTTCAGCAATATGCTCGTCCTTTAGCTCCGCCGCCTCAAACAATATATGTAACGCTTAAGTAAAGCCAACTGGAGTTCTTATGTTGTTTAGATATTATTACAAGAATGTTTAGCCAATTGTCAATTTTTCTGAACACTTTAAAGCGTTCGCAATTTTTTAGGTAATGACACCCGAACAAGCAGCCTCCAGCAAAGTGAACCCATTCGACTTAACTAAAGTCTGGAGCCATTCGGAATATCCACTAATTCCAGTAGGAAAGTTGGTGTTTAATCGAAACCCGGAGAACTACTTCGCGGAAATTGAACAGATGGCGTTAAACCCAGCCCATATGGTTCCCGGAATCGAACCGTCGCCGGACCGAATGCTCCAGGGACGTTTGTTCGCTTATGGTGATACTCATCGTCACCGCTTGGGGCCAAACCACCTTCAGATACCCGTCAACAGTTGCCCCTTCCGAGTACGCACCTACCAACGCGATGGGTTCATGACAATTTCTCACGCCGGAGGAGCTCCGAATTACCATCCCAACAGTTTTTCTGGTCCTCAAACCGATCCGGTGGTAAAATCTGTTTACCCTCCGTTTACTGTGACCGGAGACGTGAACAGGTATGACGACACATGCACTGCCGACGACTTCGTGCAGCCGAGAATATTCTGGCAAAAAGTGTTAGATCAGGGCGCCAAAGATAGACTGGTCGAGAATCTCGTGGGTAGTTTAAAGCAGGCCAGCGATTTCATCCAGGAAAGAGCAATCAAACTGTATTACCAAGTCGACGAAACACTTGGGAGAAAGCTCGAATCACAACTGAACTTGATAAAACGGACGAAGGCAAATTTGTGATTTTTTACGGGATGAAGGATTTAATTTTAAATATTGTGGTGCCTCAATAAAACGATAAGTGCAGGTCTAGTTTTTTTTACTCTAAAATATCGGCAATCGAGTGGGGACTATTACATGCCGCATAACCAAAATATATGCAATGCCTGCGTAAATGACGGGACACCCCCTTTTATTTTTTGTTCCCTCGTTTATAGCACGGTGAAATTTGGCATGTACATTAGGCATTGAAATTAGCTCCTTGTGCATTTTGACAATAATAACATCTGTCAAGCGAATAACACTAAACATTTCGAACTCAGTCTTTCAGATCTTCAACTGAATTTGGTCTTGCAAAATAAATTTTACTTTTTTGATATCCCCAAAGAAAAAAGTCCAGGAGTATTAGGTCAGGCGACTGAACTGGCCATTCAATGGAGCCTCGTCTTCCGATTCACCTTTTAGGAAAAGTAGCATTTAACCATTCCCTAACAGGATTGTTGACAATGGTAGCGATAATCTCAACTTATTCTCTTCTGAAACTGGTTTTATGTCGGAACTTCTCTTGTTTTTAACAGTGCTAGTAAAAAAAATTGTTTAGCAATTTTCCGAAATATAGCTGCTGTGTGGTGGGGTTTTCAGGGATATCTTTCGCTAAAAATTCTAACTGTTTCATGTAAATTGCGACTAGATTCACCATAAATCACAATAGCACATCATATAACATAACAGTACTCTCTAATGCTATATTCACACGCAACCTTACAATATTTATTATTATTTGTATTATATTAAATTGTAACTAAAAATGCATTTACTTAATTTGTGTCTTGCAAAAACAGGAATTAAATGTTTTCAGAATTGGTATGCGAATAGAACATAAAAAGATCGTTAAAAAGATATATCGCATTACCTCTCTTACCATTAAAAAAGGATTGAGATATTGTTTTTATGTCAAAAAGTAGACATTTTATTAATAAACATGCATGTCAAATTTCACGTGGCAAACATTTTTGAACTCATGTCAGATGTCATATTTTTGACATTACCAATTTGGTTGTTGATGGTTGGATGTTTTGCTTCTAAATATTAAACAGTAATTTAAAATTGTTCTGGCGGTTTTTAGTGTGTGGAATAACCAACTTCCGTTTTCATAGTTCAGTTATACATATTGTGGAGAAACCAGTAACATCGGTCGTCGCCACAGCGTATATGGTAATCCAAACATCCATATGTTTGCCGGTGTATATCCCTAGGAATTTTCGTTTCTAAAGTATATATACTATCTTTCTACCTGTTCTTAAGTTTTTATTTATCTTTACTATTAGTTAAAATTATACATACCGTTAGGTACATTTAAAGTTTTAAGAAAAACGACCAATATTTGGTAAGATGTATAAAACCTCCCCCTATTGTCTAGCATATTATTATTTTTCATAAGGCAGAAGTAATGGCTTTCGGAAGCTTGAAAAAACAAATATTTGGACAGGAAAAAAGGAAGGCTCTTCTTTGAGAACTTGGAAACAAGTTATGCTGCAACCCGCATCTAATCTATTAAATAATAGGAACTTAAAAAAATCATTTAACTTTTAGAATTACTACATCTGTTGTAGAAGATAAGCAACAATGACCGCATTCGTGCAAGGAACTTAGTCACATTCCTCAGAAAATCATAGATATTTATGCAAAAGGGATACACAAAAATAATTACACTTGTTATAATTATGAAACGATTATGAAGGAAAACTAAACGCAAATTTCACAAAAAAATTGCAGCTACAGTACTGTCATGAAATATCAATATATTCCCTCCCTATCATCTGTTTTTATAGAGCGCCTCATTAAGAACCAAATATTGATAAGTATAACACATAATAATAATGAAAAATAATTTTGCTATATGCAAATTAATCATTCCAATATGAGCATTATGTATGAACAACCGATTTTTTTATTATTCAAAAATAACATGTCAGGCAATTGCAGCAGGTAAAACAGCACACTTTGATGCTTCTAAAATCTATAATATTTGATAAATTTGATCTAAATAAATGTAAAATATACCTTATATCTAATAACTATTACCTAATACAATAGACCCTATAAGTGAGCAATACCATATTGACAAATAAAGTTTGACCTAAGGCAATAAAATTGTTGAACACTATACTTGTAACATCTTTTAGGTAAACAGACATATCACAATATAGGCAGAGATACTCTTAATTATAGTTTTTGTGACATTTATGAAAGACCACGATATCCGATATAAAAAATAGATGATCGAGATTCTCGATTTTGCAGAATTTTTAATCTAAAAATATTGTAAAATGCCATTTGTGCTTCCAGTTCCTTCAATATAAACCAGTTCTGTTTCTAGGATGTACCATTCCACTAGATCTATGTGCTTTAAAAACAATTCCTTTTGAATGTGATCTAAAATATTAAGTATGTAAAGGTTTTTTGATTTTTGAAGCTTTAAAAACCAAATATTTGGTCAGCAAAAATGGAACATTTGTAAAGCCAATGTTCGAGATTGCAAAACTTAAATACAAAAATGTGTTATAGTTGTGTTGAACCTGGGGAACAAATCTTTCTGAAAATTTACCAATTTGTTACAAATTAAATAAAGGCTAGAAGAAAAGTGAGTTTGATTTATATGATAGACCTCAACCTTTAATCAAACGTTTGACAAATCTGATCAACAAAAATTAACATAAATGCTAAATCAGTCAAAACACAGGAAACAGGTTTAAAATTTCATTAATGGACAAGAATTTGCTAATATATGCAGAAAATCTGTAAGACTAAACCTGTTTCCTTCATTAAGAGTTAATAATCTTACAATGAGTTGACAGAATTGGTACTATACCCTGGCATGGAGAACTGGATTAATCTTGTCAGCATGCTCATTACACAGGGTATCTGTTTCTGACGGTGCATTGTAATGGAATCAGGCACATTGCTTTCAAAATCTATTGCAACTCTTTGAGACACAAATGTCAGTATTGTCATCAAATCTAACTCATGTGCTCTATTTCTTAATTCATCACAGAGGGCCTGGACAAACCAAGAGCCTTTCGTTGTATTTCTCCAAGAGTAGTATCCTTTTACAGTTGAATAGACAATCAAGAAATCAGCCTGAACAGGTATTTTGTAAGTATTATAAATTTCTCCATCTGTTTCAGTTGTTCTTAAGTTTACTCCTCCATCAAGTTTATCTCCTTGACATGCTTGAAGAAAGAACATTTTTGGTTTTCCTATATAAAAAAAAGATAATAACAGGAAATGTATGAATGAACAACACCCCACATCCTTTATTTGTAAAACAATTTACCTGCAAGTGATGGACATCTATCAGCAGTAAATAATGACCACAAATTATCAGGTTTGTATGGAGTGTCCTTCGCATAAATTATACCCATTTCCCCATGAGACAAAACTGTTAGCAACACACAATCATGATGAGTGTGATCCATAGCCGCAACTAAAAAATACACTATAATTTACCGCTGCAAACCTCTAGTAATTAAACAGTAACCTTGTTTCACATGGTATTCTAAATCCAAATAATTTAAATCTTTAAATACTTGTACATCAAATCCTAGGACAGATAAGCAAGTTTTAAGATTTGCACAATCTTCATTTGTCCCTGATCTGGCTTTCAGTCCACCACATTCAAATATCTCATGGTTGAATATTAGAGCTAAGCCTCGTTTCGGGTGGTCCATTTTATAATGTGTGGCATATTTTGGAACTGGCATGCGAGCATACATTTCACCAGGTCGACCACTAAAAGCCATCAATTAATGTTACCACTTTTATAAATGAACTTTTACCATGAAAAAAACAATAAACCTGACTAAAACCTATTAATTAACGTTATCGTTTTGATCAATAAACTTTCAAAACGAAAAAAATTAAATAACGCAAAAACCAACAATACATACCCAGGCCTTCCCAAGGCGTCTCCTTCATCGTTTATGTTTTGCCTGCTTTTAATACAATTTCCATCGTCCGCATCATGGAAGATTTCCTTTTCTTGATTGCCATTACCAACTTCATCTTCACCATTGATACTTCCCATTCTTTTATTCAAAGAACTTCATTAGAAAAAAAAGAGTTTCCAAACAAAGAGATACACGCTTAAAGTGCACCATGGACTACGAATGCAATGGAATATGGACCAACTACACCATAGCCCAAAAATAATTCCCACTTTAAATCACAGACTAAATATCAATTTATCTATGCTTTGAATGACACGGATTGTAAACGTGATTTTAAAATTAGCATAAATAAAACAATGTTTTTTTTTTAAATAAAGGCCAAGAACAATAAGCAGCTAAAAAAGAGGTCGAACTCGATCTAAGCCGGAGATGCATACTGAGGATGATTGAATTGGCAAGGCCAACTGAACTAGCAGTAGTGATATGACACCGAAGTGATAGAAAAGTGAAATAAATTTTTGCAACAGAAAAAGGCTTCTTATTGTATAGCTATTAGATATATAGTGGCAATAGCACGGTAAAAGAGATGGAGATGATCTAAATTTCATCTACTAACCTGCACTTTCCGAAATTTTGTTTCTTAACAGCGATCTCCACACACTTACCTCCTTTTCATAGAACATTTAGCCAGATTTGGGCGTATCTTAAGAAAATATTACCGGAAAAAATCTATATGTCGTATCGATAAATTGTCAGCGGCCATGTTGGTTGTTAAACGCCGCTCATTGGATGAAAACATATATTTGATACACTAACCTGCATTTTGCACCATTTTTTAAACAGCTCGTTTTCCTTAACTTATTTGTTACTTAACTCGTTTTCCCAGAACATTTAACGAGATCTAGGTATACTTTGACAAAATAATGCCGCAAAAATGACAAAAATGAAAATCTGTCAACAACCATATTTTTTGTTAAAAATTTTTGCATATCTCTGAAAACGAGATTTCAAATCACGGCCCATGCGAATATTAAATGGCGCATCCAACATCGACATCAAACTGCCATGAAACGCTAAAATCCGAGTCATCACATTAAGAAACCGATGTATCTGGTTGCATGCTATTCATATTATTAAATATGGGTAAAAGTGGATAAAAACATAAGTTTAAAATATAGTACCAATATGTAGAATAAGTAAAAATGGTATAGAAATCCATAGAGGTTTTGTATAGGTATGTTAAAAAATTATTTCTTTCTTTCTCTGTAGTTACATTCGAGCTTACAATCAAGTAAAAGAGGCTCCTGCACCTTCAATAGTTACAGCCGAAACACATAGTTATTGAATACATAGTCCATAGTTCAAATTTTCATGTAATCAGATAATTGATTACATAAATATGAGTCTACAAACAAAACAAAAAAATAACACAAATATCTCATACATATCACTCAGAGATTGACACCGACGGCTAAACTATTCACACATGTTCTCTTTCTTTTAATTTATAATTTTCTTTAAATTTAAATCAACATATAACCCTATAGCTACCACATTTAATCTCCCATTCGTGACGATTTATCGATTATATACAGTCTGCATATCTAGTAGTATAAGGAGCTCGATGTTTAACTACTCCATTGGACGATGTAATTCTCACCGAAACCTTTTATTTTTGTTACTTTAATTATTTATAAAAAAAAATCAGATCAGTAATATGCAATAATCGTAAATACTTTATTTACCCAAAAAAAATATTTTAGTTTTCGAGATATGTTAATTGGCAAACGCCAAGCAACAAAATTTACCATTTTAAAAAATGTTTGTTAATCAACACCGGCATGAAATTATTAGTTGGTATTCTATATATACAAGAATGTCAGCTTCAAAAATTTCACAGATTAGTTCAACGAAGGAAAAAACGTTAAAATGACTCCATAAAATACCGATTTACTTTCCCAACATCCAAACAAGTAAAAAAAATAAAGAGATAATATAAAACAACCTCTTGTTAAGACGAACATCAACCTCCTGCTGTTGGTTTGTCTTTGAGAAAGAGTTTTTGCAATCGAAAGTGGGTCCTTTTTGTCAAAAGTACCTTTTTTGGTATAAATCATGAAATTGCATTGTTTTCCTTTACAAATAAAGGGTAACATTATTATTAAAGACAAGGACATAATTTCGTGTTGTTTAATGAATATTTACTATTTTTGTTAATATCATTGATTTTAAATACTCCTCTGAAATTTTCTCAAACATTTTTAATTCCGTATTGGAATTATTATAGCATTATGATATAGTAGTGTTTTAGTTGTGTTCCGCGTGGTCGGGCTTAGCAGTGTTAATATATTTTTTTCTACGAGTGAGTTTGGCCACCGACGGACTGCACAGATCAACAAGCTGCCAAGATGTTCACACTGTGAGAGATCAATAAAGGACAGTCAACCTTCAATATCATGCCGTGCCTGTCTGTCGTGGTTCCACAAGGGTTGTTCGGGTCTCACTAACCATGAGTTTAACAAGCAGGCAATTATGTGGAATAAAACCAAAGCATCCCCCGGCGTTCAATTGGACCGGGTGCCTGCGTCGCTCCAAGATATCTCTAGTGGTGATGTCTCCAACTCAGCAATAACCCACAACCAAGTATCTTTGAACGACATATTGGAAAAATTAATAGGCATCGAAGCTCAGTATGCCAACCTGCTGGCGAGATACGAAGACCAAATCAAAATTAATGCTGATCTTAGATCAGAGATTGCACAGTTAATAACAATCGCAGTGATAGTACTTAAGCCGCCGAACAAAATCACGAAAACGGCATTCTTCAAGAAGTGCTGCAAGACAGGCACATATTAACAATTTGATGATTTTTAATCTTCGCCGAGACGAGAGCAATCCTGAATCACTTCAAATCTCTTCACTGCTTTCCTGCAGTGGATCTACACAGATTGAGGTCATTGGCGTTGTTTCCGTCGGTAAACCAAACTGTAATGGCTACAAACCAGTTAAAGTGATGCTGTCTAAACCCAGCGACGTGTCACTTGTACTGAAGAGTAGGAGAATGCTCGCTGAGAATCACCAAATTTACGTCGAGGTGGATCTTTCTCTGGCGCAACATAAGCATATTCGGGATACTAAAGAAGAACTGCAACATCGTCGCTCGAATGGTGAAAACAATTTGATTCTAAAATACATCCATGGTGTTCGCACTATCGCCACAAAAAACCCAGCTCCACCGCCACCTCAGCCAAAGAATTGACCTGTATGTACCAGAACGTTAAGGGTCTCAGAACTAGGACCCATGTCTTTTACCGTGGCGTAACTTCCTCAGGGATGGTATCGTTGCTGTTGCTGAATCCTGGCTTCAACCAGATTTTCGGGACTCTGAACTCTTTCCCGATTCTTATGTGGTCTACCGCTCAGACAGAAGGCAAGATTTAACCGGAGTCTCCAGGAGCGGTGGTGTCATGCTCGGTGTTAGTGACAGTTTTGAGTCCGTACTTCAGGATACCTCCGGCATCAGCAACAGTGCTCCAAGCATAGACTTTTTAGGCTATAAGATCTCTTTAGATTACTTTGTATTTTACTTATTCATAGTATACATTCCTCTCACTGCTGCCAGCTTCGAAGTTGAGAACTTTTTTGAATCTTTGTCGTCGCTGGACTTGTTTGGCGGATCTGTCTTTTATATTGGGTGACTTCAATATTCCTTCTTTCATTGTTTATAAATATATAATAAAATAAATTTTAAAAAATGGTGTTTTGTTAAAAAAAGGAACTTTGTATCGCTATCTATTTTTAAGTGAATATGTTCCATATATCAGCCGTTCACTGCATAGTGTGACATAATTTCTTTCTTGAGTGTTAGTATAATAAACGAAACCACCAAGGTTATGACAAAGATATTTCAGTATCACAGAGAAATTGATTAGACATCCAGGTCTTGTCTCAGGCTGGAAAACAAAAGAAAAAATATTAAACTTACACTTGCTCTATATACATCGAGATGTATTGCGCCTTACTCGAGTTGTATTCCCTTTTAGCTACAAACAGAAAAACCTTTTTTATGAAAAATTTTGTTCACGTAAATCAAAAAGTCTTGGTTATCTCATTATAAATATATTTAAAAAATGAGTAAAAATAAAACTATATTTTACAATAACTATAATTCAGAGCTGTGTATTTCAAATCACGTGTTGATAGATTTTCCATAGTTGTTTTTTAGGTTTATAGTATTGTCTGATATAGATGTCTCAAATTAAATTAAATTGAATTGAACTGAATACTATTAGCATTTGCATGTGGTAAAATGTATATTAGAGTCCAAACAATTTGGGTTCGTGATATAAATCTCAACGAGGTCTGATATTCATGGGATATTAAAAAAAAAACAATTAGTCTTCGATAAATAATCACTAATCATTAAAATAATGTTTCACTTCTGAAACCCATGGGACCTTATGACTTAGGTTAGTTGCACTCGAAGATTAAATAAATTACGTTGATTTTGTTCATACTTATCTGCGAACTTCAAAGTTTACTTTAAAAATGTAAATTATTAATATAACTACAGCTAAAATTTCTTAAGCCGATAGTTTCTTAAAATACACAGATCCTTCGCCATATTAATTCTTCCAGAGCTATTGCACACGTCGTGCAAATGCAGCAAAATTGAATAATCAAATAACTCTGGTAAAGTCTTCAGTAAATCCGAAATCAGGAGAGGTGGTATAGCAGCCAAAATAGCGACCGCGGAATTTATTTTCACCTCTACCAGCGACTTTATAAAATAAAACACGAAATACGTTTGGGGCGTCACGCTGCCCTCTTGCAGGCCTGTTTCGAACATCGCCAGTAGCTGGCGAAATGAGTTTATAAATTCATCAGTGGGGCTTCTTTCCCCAATGTTTTCAACCAGTCGTGGGATTTTTGGTTGCGACGGCTCTCCTTCCAAATCCTAAAATTTACAAATTCAGTAAGAAAATAAATTGTTATTACTTTTCTATACTTCTGAAAGACAGTCCCACGCTGTATAAAGACAGCAACTAGTTAAGTAGGCTAAAGCGGACAGTTGCGGCTCCATCAGAGAATAAGCTTGCATGTCAATGTACAACAACTGCGGCAAAACGTGGGAAAGGAGTTGGGAAGTACAAGATGCAATATCCACGTGAAAAATCGCCAGAGCTAGATCTACGCCCCTCTGTAATTGATCTTTGAATCTAAAAAGAAGGTGAGAAAGCATACATCGTGTAGCATTCATCAATGTCAGTCGACATGTACCGAAATGAACAATAACCTTTATTTACCTATATTTTATCCAGTCAGCGCATTTTTTATGTAAGTAATGGTTAAATCTTTTTTGAAATGGCAGGAAAAATTTCTTTCGCGTTTGGTACTTCTCGTGTGGATTACATTTAAAGCCTCTAAAAACTAATGTCATAATTTTGTAACAAATATAACCCATGAATAATAAAACCTGGTTTTACAAAACTATAAAGATTCAAACCCACTCATAAATCAAAGTGTCAAAAGTTATTATTCTCAAAATTAACGTCTTTGTAGATAGATAGATATACAGATGTCCTTAATTGGTTTCAGTTATTCCATTTTATTTTATTTTATTTATTCATTTAGCAACAACATGAAAAGTGTCCACAATATAATCATGACGCTACAATTTTGGCTGCACAATGGATTCATGACAAACTGTGTGTGCTTACTTATACTGTGTACTTACTATGAAATTCAAGTCTCCAAGAATAAACTACGAAGTGTACAATTCAATACAGATCAACAATTCAAGCATTTATTTCATTTTTAACTTTCCTATAGGGCTTCAATCTAAAACACTGACGCAGAGCATGGCCAAATGTTAAACCAAAAGTGATGGGATATATGAGATATCGTCACTGAGAAAAGTCACTTTTGTAATAAGAATCTCTCTCTTACTATTCTGCTTTCGCATTTACAGCACTGCTTGTTCTGGTTACAATTTTAGTTACCTTAAATGATGGGGAGGTTTTTCTGGGTTAGGCCGAATTTGGTTGTACCCACAATCAACAACAATAAGCTACAATCTAATTAATTCTTCAACCTAGATACCACACACACAAGAATTGTAGGAGAAAAAACTTTCTAAATAAAGTAAGAAAAATATATTTTTTTATGTCATGGTAACTTTTTCCTTAAATGTAGTTAAGAAAATTGATAGGGGTCGTCTAATTCAATCCCCTCCACTCCTTTTAAAAAACTGTGTTTTTATAACAGTGACACTTCCGTAATTATTTTATTATTCTATTTTCGTTTTTTAAGATACAAAATAAAAACATCATTTTCCGCCATATTTGTGGCGCGATATTTCGCTAATAGTTGACTTTGGATTCAACGTTTATATAACAAACTTTATTTTAAGCAAGGAATCCTCCCTTAAGTTTTTCGCGTTTGTTTCGGAATGCCCCGTATAATACAAACAAGCTATATACACAATAAATAAAAACATTTATACGATCTGTGGCTAACATATCACAGATGAAATAACACACATAATTAATTTATTATTTTAAACATTTCTGTTTTGTGATGATGCCCAAAATAATAGGCGTTTGCACCTACTATATTTGCTAGATCAGCAGATGGCACCGGCTGAATGAGCACCAATGTGTATCAACAGGAGCTACTTTCTTTTTGTTTGGGACTTTATTAAAAAAGTTCAATTTCCTACTACAGTTATATGAAAAACTAATAAATCAATATTAGTAAATCAACCAAAATGTTAGGATATGCTTATAAACCGAGTTTATTTTATCATGTACGCATTATCTACAGTGTGTTATTGAAATTAATTATTATAACGATCTGCCACATGCACCTCAAATATGAAAGCAACATGATTTTGCGGTTTTATTTACTTTGTTTAGTAATACCACGAACGATTCCAGAATTGTTTTTGTCATGAATACTACTAATTTCGTAAATTCAAACCAGAAATATAGTCCAATCCATTACTAAACCAGTGTAAGAAAGAGTACATTAAAAAGTTCTATGCACTGCACATTGTCCAAGTCATGACTTCATTACTTATTTATTTAATCAAATTCATAACAATATTGGCACTCAATAAGGGTATATTTGTTTCATCACTCCTCTTTGATTTGACAAAATTCCAATCATAAGTTTTTTTATTGAGTTTTTTAATTTGCTTTTATTGGTAATAAGTGCATTTTCATTATATACCTGCTTCTCATGGTACGAGTCAACCCATGCTGTAGAACTTGTAAGTCAATAAGTGACCTAGTAATACAACTCTGAACTTTAGTAGATATGAAAAAGCTCTGTAAATTTCTTCTTACATAAGGCAAATGCACACTGCAAAACATATAATGAAATCACGACTACCTGAAAATAAAAATGTTATTGTACTTATGATTCCTTTTTGGGCAATCATTACCTCCCCACACTGTTACTTCAAGCTACAATACCATATAACAATGTGGGGTTAACATGTGCATAATAAATGGATAGTATAACCTTTTTAATTACAGAGTTTCTCAGTTTCCACAACCTAAGAGTAATGATTCATTTTGTTAGTAACTGATTTGATATAACTGATATAACTTTCCTTGCACGATCAGATGCGGAACCATTTATCTAATGAATATTACAACAAGAGCCATATCATCTGCAAATAATGATAGCTTGCCCAATATATTCAATGGACTATTTTTTATATCATCAATAAAACTGAGAAAAAAGAGCACGCCAATCTGAGTGAAATTAGTGTAGCCCCTCCTTTCTGGGGAGCCAACTATAAGGCAGACCCCTCACTCCATATGTAATATGTTTGAATTTAATAAAAAACTTCCACAGGTGACTGTAATATTATCTACAAATCTTCTGGATTCCTTTTGCGTCGTTTGTTGATGAATCACTTGCTGACGTTTCGCCAATCATCCTGTTCTACACCGAAGCTCTGAAGAAGCCAACAAAATGATCGGCGAAAAGTCAGCAAGTTTGATTCATCAACAACCGAGAAGATTTGTAAAAACAGTAACTTCATATTTCTTTATCCAATTTCTGAATATGAAGTTTACTATGTATATAATAGCATCCTGTGTGCACTTACCTTTTTAGAAGAGGAACTGACCATCAAATAAGTAATTGAATTCACTTAGAAATTTAATAAGCATAGTGAAATAAACTTTTTTGTAATTTTTTTAAAAACTGGGAGCAAGGTCACTGCCCTATAACTGTCTATTCTTTCTTTATCATTTTTTTTCCTTGGCCTTGGACTTATAACGGCCTTCTTCAGAGCTACTGGAAAAAACCCGTCACTGAAAGATTCAGTAACAAGAAATGCCACACTCTGTAATAGCAAATCCAACAAGTTTGCCAGCACAGAACATGATAATTATTTTTGTGTCATCTCTCAAATAGAATTTGTGGGTGTCACCTGACTAGATTTTGTTTACAGTTTTTTATCTTACCCCAGCTATTTCAGTATTTAGTCATATTACATCGTTATATGAGTGATTGCGTAGAAGTTAACCTAATGGGAACGTATAAAGAAAAAATAACTGGTACATTTAAATACCTAAGCTTCAAAAGCTCCTGGATAACGGCGTTTACCAGCCATCGTGGACCGGCCGTGTCCAACAGGCAGCGCAACGTGCTCGCAGAATTGTGATCAAGCCAGCCTTTGGTGATGCCCCATGTCCAAGCGTTATGCAGCTGTTCCGTCGCAGGATGGCGCGACACCAAATGATCGTTGCTTTTCGTCGGTAGGGGTAACTGTACATCTCTTTGCATTTTTCTGATGATTTCACAGGTTAGGTGCCAACGATCCCTACAAAGTATAATGTTGTAATTAAATCTTAATTTCTTCCCTTTTCTAACCTCAAACTATCTTCTTCCGTTGCAGGAGTCGCGAGCAATTGCTGGACCATGTTAATAGGTTTAAGCAAAGTTTCCTGGGGGGCAGTCCTCATGAACGAACACAGCCAAGCTGCCGCGGCTATAGGGAGGCAACACATCTTGCCGCGGACAGCATCCAGAATTCTTTTCACGTCTGAAGCGACCAGAGCCCCTAAAATTAAAGTCGTTCCCAAACTGGCATCGCTGCAAAAAAAATGTGGGTTACTCGCCCTGTTCCCAAGCCATCAGAACCTCGTGCATTACACCCGACATACTAAACAAGACATCCTGCAGTTTTATGTTCGGTTTAAAATCTGTTTCACCTGAATTAAATTGTGTAATTAAACTTTCTATGACCATAGGATCACTTAAGTTTAACAGCTGAGTTGGCGCCTTCGGTTTCTGCCGATCTACCATACAGCTGTTTACCCATTGCTCAAAAAGGGAATCACCGTCGGGATCCAAAACGGCGGCAGCTCCTGCAAACAGCATGTTAACCCAAAAATTTTTATTTATGTTTTATTCATTCACCATAAGTCTGAACAATGGATATGAGCATGACAAAGCTAATGTCAAATAACTGTGTCCTGGCTTTATCGCCACCTAACTTTGAACACTCGTTAAACCTTATCAATCGACTGACGAGTGTTCTCAACTGTCCCGAACTGCAGGCAACGGCAAGTATGAGTTCAAAACTTTTGCCGGTCAACACCTGATGTAACATGCCCAAAATAGCATCCTAGAAAAATCACATGAGGATTAGTGGAAGAAATCATTTCACATTTACTTACCTGTATTTTATGGTAATCTGTTGACAGGGTCTTTAAAATTCCCGCCAAAGTAGATTCGGCACAAAGTATCACTTTAGGAATACCCGTGCTTTGGTTGTTGTCCAATTTAAGCGTGGTTGGGAGCTTTCGTTTGTCTAAAAGACTCTTTACCTGACCCTCGTTCAATAGTCGGAGTTTTGCCAGTTCATCCAGCAGACATTTCAAACTCGAACAGGAACTCTTTGCGTCCATTGCATCTAATAAGGGATTGTGCTAAAAAATTATGAATTTATAGTATTAAGCAATGCAAGGGCCTTAAGTGAGCTGATTAAAAACGAATTAGCAGATGGATTGACTAAGCTGGCACCTACTGGAAGACAAAATTTGAGTGTAGTAATCCTTTCAATCCTTCATATCGCTTTTCACCTTTGAGAGCTCAATTACAACTGGCTGGTGAAGAATATCATAATTACTTTTGGGGTCGCGGATACTCAGACTTATTAGACTTAATAGAAAAAATACCAACAATGACTTGTTGGTGGTTGTTGGTTAGTTTTAATTTGTAAAGGTGCAAAAAAAAGCAACAAGTCGGTAAAATTTGAATTTTATAGGAAATGTACCCTAATCCATTTTTCTTTAAATATTAATTTAGATTAAAATCAGAAACACGTAATTTTTTGTCAAGGAGATTGAAACCATTTAACCGACCGATGGAAGCTGTGACAATAGAACATGTGTTTGGAATGAAACTTCAAATATAATTATATCTTCTCGGCAACTGGACACGGTTAGGAAGCAGAAGATTCAGAGTACAGTTTAATTCAGTGAGCCCGAATCATTATTAAAATTTTGCGACGTGGTTTTACGGTTTTCGCTAGTCAGTGTGCAGGCTAGGAGCTTATTTTGCGGTGCTGACATTGCCACAAACTAATAAAGATGTAGATAGCCCGAATATGCTGATAAACTTATGAAGCAATTATGAAAACAAAATCGTTTCTAACCAATGCCTTGAGGCAAGCTAACCAACTTGGTGCCTGTTTAGAAAGAAAATTGGGCAAAATACCCTTATTTGAAGATTTAATAACATAAAAAAAGCAAATAACACCCTGGACATTCCATTTGAGATGTCATATTGGTTTTGTGATAGATTTCTTTGTAAAGTTACCATTATGGAAAAAACATATGAGAAGGTCCATTCAACATGAGCATGTGCGCGATTTATAATCTCGCTGTTAGCCAATGACCTTGCGGCATTCATCGACCAACACGTGTGCTGATAAATCGTCAATAAGTTTGCAGCATTTTTGTGGCATTTCTTTAAAATAATAATAATAATAATAATAAATTACCTGAAGCAGCAGTTCAATCGCAGCAACAACACTTGCACTGTCAGCCTTTCCAGAAATTTCGAGCAAAATGTGTGGCACTTTCAAAAAGGCAAATGCACCCCAGTGACTTTCTTGTGAAGTCTGACCTCCATTATACAAAGCTAACAGACTCCCTCTAATTAATTCAGCATACAATCGGGCATCACTAAAACCTTGGGAAAAAGTAAGTACACCCAACAAAGTTCATTTAATACCTTTGAGCCTTTGAAATGTTTGCAATTGCTCTGCAAGTACAGAAGTTAGTGCACCTGGATCACCAATAAGTTTTACTTCAAGCCAGCACTGAATTAGTGAGCCAGGCCATTTTTCACTAGTAACTGGCAAACATAAACTATTGACATCAATATTTTCCAATTTGGCAACATACAACCTCACTTCATCCCCTTCCAAAGTTGTGGAGAGAAGTTCATTGCATTTCCCACTTGTTTCTTGGAACAACTCTACAAACCCAATTTATTAAAAATTTAACCAGAACACTTTCTTATGTTCAGCTTAATACCAGGATCATTGTATTTTGCCAAGCACATCATTGATATGTAAAAATCATCTGTAATTAAGACTTTTAATAGTTCTGTAACCTTTTGCACTAAGTTAGTAGACTGTTTGCATTGTTGTAAAATATTTAACAGCCAGAAGGCAGTCGATAAAACCGCCGTTGCAAGTACAGTTTCCTCAGGTTTTCCACAACATGTTACCCCTGGTAACATACCTTCCAAAAATTCAAGTAAACTTAGGACACAATGCACTTTTGTCATTTGGCTGTATTTACTCAGTCTTTGTAAAACGGCCGCGTGCGAAACTAACTGAGCACTTAATGAATGTCGAAGATAACTTAAAACTAACTGGTTGGCTCCTGCACCAACAACTGCCTGTTGTAGGATGCAATCCGCCAAATTATAGACATCCCCGCTAACTCCACGAGGCAAAACGGTTTTTATATTAATGCCCCATTGCAAATCAGTCCACCTTTCCCTCCAAGCTCTCAATAACAATGCCTTGAGTGAACTAGTTTTACTAGTTGTCTTTGATTCCATAACCATCTTGTATTATCGTTTGATTTGGTGACTGTTGAAATTCATAGATAAATAATTTAAATGGCTTATATCCCGGATTGACGCTCCTTTTTATTTAAAAACATATCGGATATTTGACATGTCTAAGCACCACTATTCTTCTTAGCTGCGGTTGGCTTTGTTGCACGTTACTTCTCTACCATGGCATTTCTATGTCAATTTAGCACAAACTAGAAAAGCAAACCTAACCTCATCATCTATTGTCTGGAGTATAATTTACCCGACAATTTATACTTGTGATTGAATACTATAAAAAAATCTCTAGCTTCGTTCTAATTCCCAAAAATGGAAAGGGACATAGAACAATTAAATTTGGCGTTAAACTCTATAAAAATACTTCGATCGAACGTTCGTCGGGTGTTTGAATCCGTTAGTAATGGTTTAAGAGCCGATCACGGTGATGATGGAAAAGAAAACAAATTTATTTTCGAACTACAAGAATTGTTGACCACCGTCAACAATAATTTAAGAGACGTTGAGAATTCTGTAGCAAATCTCACACCACCTCCTGGGGCATTCAGTTTGGGCAACACAACATATTTAAGTCAAGAGACCACTCAAGAACGGCAAGCACTGTATGATCAATTAGTCAACAGCTATAAATGGACAGATAAAATAAGAGAATACAGTGCTCTTGCTGGAAATATACTAGCTGCCAATTCTTTCAATAAGACATACAAAACTTACAGTACCTCAAAAAGGAGGAAAACTCAAACCAGCAATCATAATGTGCCACCAGACGTTATTGAAAGCTTGATTACAAGCATTGATAGGCTTTTTAATGATGTTACAATAACTGCAAGCAGACCATTTGTACCTAATCCTGTCATTCAAGTTACCCTTGGGAAAGTATTGAATGCAGTTATAGCTTTTAAAGGTGAGCTGTAAGATTATTTGTGCTATGACTACCTTTTATATTTTTTAGGATTGATGATTGAGTGGGTAGTTGTAAAAGCTCTTTCTGAGAGCAATGATTTATGGTCAGAATCTAGGTTCAAAGTGTTTAAAAAAGTAACAGAAAACTGCCATGCTGCCATGTGTCATTTTCATTCCCCCATGATGCCCGAGCTTGCTGTCAGATCCTTTATGCATTGGTTTCACAGTTATATTAGCCTATTTAGTGCTCCCTGCAAGAGGTGTTCCAAACATCTTCATAACAACTTACCACCTACATGGCGGGATTTAAGATCTTTAGAAGCCTATCATGAAGAGTGCAAATAAAAACATCAAAATTACATTACCTAGAAATTGTAAAAATTATTACTGATGTGTAAAGATGTTTTTAATGTAAGCTTTAAATAAAATGCAATATTTGGTCCTACTTTCCATTTATATTCATTTCAATTGAACAGTTAAGTTTTTATGGATTTTTTTTTTAAATTGTTAAAATCCCTATCTCCAAGTCTCGTTTCTACGGAAATAGTGTAAACGAAAATTACCATTTCCCCTTCAACTAGACATATTACGTAATTGATTCATTTTCTGACAATGTAGAAGATTTTTGGATCTAACCGTAATATTAAGTATGCACTTTGGATTCTTTAACATGTGGTTACTATCCTTAATTCCTTATAATTTGTAATGTTTTGATTATTTCACATTCTTTTTTTTATTTTCATCTGGTTAGACTTTAAACATGCCGAAAGAGCAATACAGAGAAGCAGATGTAGCCAAAAAGATGTATGTATTGACCCATACTAAGAAAATGTTGCCGCTTTAATCAGCATGAGTTGCCTTTTAGATCACACCTTAGTTTTGGGGTGGAGAGTGCTGAAAGTATGCAGCAACAATCGCACATTCATGTTGTTGCGAAAAATCTTTATAATCAAGATGTTGAAAGGAATCCTGTGCCATATGGTGTATTGGATAAAAGATTGGTATTACATAATACTCCTTTTTTGTATGGGCAATGTTTAAATTTATATATTTTTATTATTAGGGTACCAATTCTAAAGACTCACCATGTCAAACATGCGGTCAAAAAATAAATGAATGTGTAGGGCATTTTGGCTACATCGATTTGGAATTGCCTGTGTATCATGTGGGTTATTTTCGTAGTATCATAAATTTACTGCAGACAATTTGCAAAAAATGTGCTCGAGTTTTGCTCGAAGATTCAGAAAAAGATGTATACAGACATCGTTTGTCAAATCCCCTGTTAAGTTACATGACCAAAAAAGTTATCAGGAAGAAGATCATTGACAAATGCAAAAAAATTGTGAAATGCCCTTATTGTAAGGCTACCAACGGCTTCGTCAAAAAGATGACAAGTGCCAAAGGAAGCATTGCAAATTCCCCACTTAAAATAGTACATGAGATTTATCGTGAGAAAGACAAGGATAAATTAATGGAGCAACTAAAGGAGGACTTTAGCTCTGCTTTGAAAAACAATCCCGAGATTGAAACGGCCTTGTCCAACAACATTTCTCAAATTTTTACCCCAATAGATGTTTTAAAGTTATTTGAAAGAATACCAGAGAGTGATATTCCATTTTTAGTTATGGATCCTGAAAAGTAAGTTGTCTTGTCAGTTTTGATTTTTTTGCTTAAATTTGGATTTCAGGGCACAGCCAAAAGATTTAATTTTTACCAGGATGCTGGTGCCACCAGTGTCCATAAGACCGTCGGTAGTGTCTGAGTTAAAAGCAGGAACGTAAGTATTTAAATTAATTGATGAATTTTTTTAAATAATAATACATATGTATACATTAAAGTTAATGTCACATATTGAAGTTGTTAATACATGGACACCTATGTATAAAATACCCGTATGTGCTTATGTAGCTACAATATAAAGTCCATCCTTGCTTTTATTATTACACATATGTACATAATTCAAGATCAAAACTCCCAATTTTGTCACAGATGTAGTTTTTAAATAAATATTTAAAATGGTTTTAGTTCTTATGGATTTTTTATTTAAATTCATTGTATAAATTTGGTCCTAAATAAGTGTCAAAATGATGACCCAGACCCTTATTTGAGAATATCACATTAAAAGTTTCATTTATTATTAAGGTGGATGAAATTACAAACAGTATAAATATAAAGTCGTTTTAAATCAAAAATATCACTCTAAAGCATGTGGAAAAGTCAACGTTTTTTTTATTGGAATTAATGTAATCTCTTCAGCTGTTCCAAGGGACATCTCACTTTTTTACAGATATATAAAATATGACCATTCCATTTTAAACATTTGTCCAAGGTACTTCATATTATTGCTTTTTGTCAACAGCTTCAAAAGAATTGATCAAATTTATGTCTCCATGACTTAGAAAAAAAACTATGTATTATATTTTTTGAAAGTTTTTTAAAAGAGTTTAAAAGTATCAAAATAGTTTTTTATTTTTACAAAACCCGATTTTTTCTTATTTCTAACACTATCTAATGTATTTATCAAGCTTAAAATAAGTAGACGACAATTTTAGAAATGAAGATGATTTAACTATGAAGCAATCTGAAATAATATTCATTAATGATGTAATCAAGAAACATAAACTTTCTGGTGCTTCTGTCAACATGTACCAAGAGGGTTGGGATTTTTTGCAACTTCAAACAGCACTTTATATCAATAGTGAGTTATCTGGAGTTCCTTTAAATATGATGGTATGCTAGAAAGTTGAAATTAATGGTGAATAAAATTAAATTATAACTTGTGTTTTTTAAGCCTAAAAAACCTGGTCGCGGTTTGGTTCAACGCTTGAAGGGCAAACAAGGTCGTTTTCGAGGCAACCTCTCAGGCAAGCGAGTAGATTTCTCATCTAGAACTGTAATATCTCCTGATCCGAATCTGGAAATAGATCAAGTTGGTGTTCCAATGCATGTGGCAAAAATTTTAACATTTCCTGAAAGAGTTACTCAGGCAAATGTAAATTTGATGAGACAGTTAGTCATTAATGGACCTGATAAATGGCCTGGTGCTAACTATGTACAACAGAAGAATACTCTGTTTAAAAAGTTTTTAAAGTATGGCAACAGGGAAAAACTTGCACAAGAATTGAGGGTTAGTTTAACACAATTTTGAAAACTACTACTAGATCCACTGTATATATCTATTGTAGTTAGGTGACATTGTTGAACGCCATTTGCATAATGATGATGTAGTTCTCTTCAATCGGCAACCTAGCCTGCACAAACTGTCTATCATGGCACATCGGGCCAAAATTCATGAACACAGGACATTCAGGTTTAATGAGTGTGCATGCAATCCTTATAATGCTGATTTTGACGGTGATGAAATGAACCTCCACCTACCCCAAACTGAAGAAGCAAAAGCTGAAGCGTTAATTTTGATGGGGGTAACATTTTTTGCATTTAGTTTCATCATTACCTATTTACCTCTGATAATTTTGCTTTCTGTGATTAAGCTTAAGAAGCATAACAAAGGTGAAATAGTTTCTCTTGCAGATCGATAACATAACTTCGTTGCACGGATTGTACTAGTTTGATCTTATCAATAATCTACAGCTGATACAAAACAAATCAACAAAAACCGTTTTCTCAATGAACTGTTACACACCTACCAACTACTTTATTTTAATAGATGCGTCAAAAGATGTTAAACAAAAAGTACTTAACACGTAACGCTAATATTTTCCGAGGTAGACTTACCGATTTGCTCCTCAAATTTTATGTAAAGTCGGTTGTAATACTCCCAGCCGATTAAAATAAGGAGTCAACTGCCTTGCTTTTCAATTTATTGTAGTCTTTTAACTTTACTAACTTTACTTTTTCGTTTTTATAGTTATTATTATTGTCCATCATATTAAAATTTCAATAAACTCTATGAAGTTCTTTAAAAGTTATTCACAAAAATGTGATATATTATATGTTGTAAAATCCGGAGTTGTCTGTAAATGTCGATTGATTAGGAGATTTTATTGGTAAAATTCTAATAATCGGAAGTTACAAGCAATTTTAAAGTTCAAATAATTGACAAATAGACAAATTATTAAAAACCCATCAATGGGCAGCTTTTATAGTACTCCAGTTTTCAATGTGTAGGGAGCAGTTGTTTAAAAGGCCTAGTTTAACTAAATGTGATATTTTTGGTATTTACCGTTCAATTTTATAAAATCCACGATCCATTCTGTCAATTGTGCTTTATTTCCTCCTTTTTAGTACTATATGATTTTTCATAGCAGATTCTTTTGAATTTTGATTAGCAGTAAAACGTCTGTGTCCTACTTATGTACTAAGGTTAAAGGGACCGGTGCATTATTATGATTATGCTTATACTTGTCCTCCCTGTTTAAAACGTTACTCTTCTGTGTCAGATGTTTTGGTAAACATTTTGTTCTAGAACAAAAGCAACTTAGTCACGCCGAGAAATGGAGAGCTTCTTATTGCCGCCACTCAAGATTTTCTAACAGGGGCTTATTTGTTGACTCGCAAAGACACATTTTTGGATTTTGTTCACGCAACGCAATTAGCTGCCACACTATTGGCGGGCAAAGACACTCATATGAATATCACTTTACCACCTCCTTGCATTGTAAAAGTATGTTTGTTTTTACAGTATTGAAGGGGCTATTCAAATACTTTCTTATTGCAGCCCAGATATTTGTGGTCCGGAAAACAAATTTGTAGTCTGATATTTAAACCAAACTCAAAATATATAGTGTCAGCTAACTTGGAAGCTAAAGGGAAAGCTTATACCAAAAACCGGGAAATGTGTGTTAAAGATGCATACGTTATTGTCCGTAATTCTGAGCTTATAGCTGGTACCTTTGACAAAGGTCACCTGGGCAGCGGCGGCAAAGCCGGCAACATTTTTTACGTTATACTTCGAGATTTTGGCCAAGAGTATGCTATAAGAGCTATGTGGAGGCTGGGTAATTTAACATTTTTTTAAGGATTGTCCACTCGTTTAAGTTTTATATTTTTAGCTCGACTATCTTCAAATTATTTAATGAATCTTGGATTTTCGATCGGTATCGGGGACGTAACGCCCGGTGAGAACCTTATAAAAAGAAAGAATAAACTCTTAAAAACCGGGTATGAAAAATGCGACGAATACATAAAGCAAATGGTGCAAGGAAAGTTGACGACGCAGCCGGGATGTACTGTTGAGGAATCGTTGGAGGCGGTTCTGTTAAAGGAGCTTTCTGATATTAGAGAGCAAGCTGGTCAGGCCTGTGTGGCGGAACTGCCGTCGACTAACAGTCCTCTCATCATGGCACTATCTGGATCCAAAGGTTAAATAATAGAATTAGGCTTACCGGATAAATCTAAAATAAAATATTTCTTTCAGGGTCCTTTATCAACATATCTCAAATGATAGCCTGTGTGGGGCAACAAGCTCTTAATGGTAAAAGGGTGCCAAATGGATTTGACGATCGATCTCTGCCACACTTTCCTCATCATTGTGAGTTTATTTCTTCAAATGATGTACAGGATAACTAATTAACCATTTCTCGAGGCTGCTTTAGTTGCAAAGATTTTTACCTCAAATCCCTGTGTGCAATTAATAATGCAATTAATACTGATAATCTTTAGCTCAAATCATGTCGAGCACAAAAACAATTGTGTCACAAAGTTACAACTACAGATTCTACTATTAAAATTTGTCTCCTTTCCTTTTTTAACCGCTTTAATCACATATTTTTAAATTTGCTTAGGTGGGTGTTAAATAGCTTCACACATATAGTACTACAACATAGAGCTTCTAATTCGAGTATGACATTTTGAAAATTCAGTGCCATAATCAGATTTTTTCTATAAATCTTGTAATCATGTATAGTAGGTATCTGTCATGAAAAATGGCGGAGGTATAAGCTATATTTTGTTTATGTGGAAGTAGGCCTATATAGCTATTTACGTTTTTTGCTCAGTTTACATTTATATATTTAAGCAATTGAATTGTTGTTTGCACATTATAGCTAAGACTCCGGAGGCAAAGGGATTTGTCGGAAATAGCTTTTATTCTGGATTAACCCCTACAGAGTTCTTTTTTCATACTATGGGGGGTCGCGAGGGGTTAGTCGACACGGCTGTAAAGACGGCTGAAACAGGTTACATGCAACGAAGATTGGTAAAAGTAAGTTTGTACAATTTTCATTTTTATATCCAAAGTTAATTAGCCTGCTTAAAACTCTAAAGAATATCTATTGTTTTATGGTTCTCTCATGTAAATAAGATTAAAAAACATATCACATCGCACTGGCAAAATAATCTTTTATAAATATTGCAAGTTTTGCTAGCAGTGAGACTGAACAAAAAGATGCACTTACTCAACTGCTTATCGTCCTACTCCCCATCGCCTCCCGTCCACTTTTTTTAAGTGTGGAAAGGTGTCCATACAAGGTGAACAAAAATGCAAGTTTTTGGTTGAGCGTACTCATAAACTCACTTACGTCGGTGTTGCTATTGATGAACTAGTTACAAATTTGTCGCTTCTGCTCTCCATAGCATAATCTTGAATATGAGCACTTCCTTTGAGAACAAGGTTTTAGTTTTTCTAATTAGGTCTTTATTGAAAAATGTTTAGTTGTTGCTAATAAGAATTGTTGTGAATATTTGAAACTTAATTCAACGGAATTAGGATATTGGATATTTAATATATATATCATGTTTAGTCGCTTGAAGATCTCGTCGTCCATTACGACGGTTCCGTGCGCAACGCCGAAAGTGACATAGTTCAAATGACATATGGCTCTGATGGATTAGACCCTACTTACATGGAGGGCAAGGATTGTCCAGTGGATTTTGACAGAGTTTTAGTGCATGTCAAAGCCAAGTGCCCTTACAGAAACGAAATTTCGTTGGACGCGGACCAAATTCGAAGGGCTACGAAGGCATTTATAGCAACAAAAGCCCTAGACGAATGCAGCGACGACTTTAAAAATGGACTGACGTAAGATGATTCGGCGCATGGAAAATCATCTCTATCTATAAAATGTCATTTGTAGCAAGTTTATGGACACGGTAGCGGATAGGGTGGATAAAGTGTTGAAAAAGTATGGATATTCGAGCGTGGTAAAAGAGATCGAGCGACTCACGTGCAGCCAACTGGTTACATTTTTGGGAACCTGCGGTCAGAAATACACCAGATCGATTATTGAGCCGGGCACTGCGGTTGGGGCCCTGGCGGCTCAGAGTATCGGTGAGCCTGGCACCCAGATGACCTTGAAAACGTTTCACTTTGCTGGTGTCGCCAGTATGAATATTACCCAAGGCGTTCCCAGGTTAGAATTATCGATACTGTTAGCTCTTTGCCTGGTTAGTTTTTTTTGAGAATTCCACAAACAAATACAGTGAATAGTTACAATTTTCGTAATTATGAATTTAGTTATATTTGATGGTAAGGATACTAATAATTAATGCTCAACAATTTTTTCACGATGACTTGAAAAGTTCCTGTATTATCAGCGTAGACATTCTCTCTAGATATCTGTTAGCCATATAATCAGTACAGGGCAAATGAATCAGTCTGAAGGATGTTGTTCAAAACATGAAACCATTCAATGTGTTTAGAATAAGTTAGTCTTTTTAGTCACTTTGGTAATTTTATTTTCCAATCCTATCATGTTGCCCTTTACACCTCTCCTAAATGCAACAAAGTCCAGTTTAGTGATTTATACCAGTGGGAATTTGTGACTCATTTGTTTCGCATTGAAAAAAGTGTCTTTATTTTTTGTGCTCAATTGTGTATTTTAGAGTAGGGAATAAAAAAATGTGATTTAACCGAACCCGATTTAATGTCATTTTAAAACTTATAGACCATATTATAATGTTCAATATAGATTAATTTATTCTGCTTTTATAAAATTTAAACCTTTTATAAAAACTGTCAGAGCCAAAGCTAAAGTGTTTGGATTTTTTGGATTTAGGATTAAGGAAATTATAAACGCTAGTAAAAAGATAAGCACCCCTATAATAACTGCATGCTTAACGAATTCAACTGATCCCTGGTTCGCAAGGCAAGTAAAGGGTAGGATTGAGAGGACCACACTTGGGGAGGTAAAATAAGATTAAACTTGTACATGGATTTTAGTAACTCGATATTGTTTTCAGATATCGACGTTCATCGATGACGTTTACACCAAAAATGAAGCCTTTCTTTTAATTCAGTTAAATGTGGAAAGGATCAAGTTGCTTAAGTTGGAAGTAAATGCGGAATCCATACGATACTGGTATATAAAAAGTATTCTGGAATTGATTCCACATAATTTTAATGAGTGAATCTAAAAATCCATTTCTAAATTAATCCTGATTGATTCACAAATAATTTTTTGTTGTCTTGCTATTAACTAAGATTTAAAATTGCTAGAAATAAGATTATATCTAGTGCGAAGCTGAGTGAAATTTTTGGGTATTTCAAAAATTATCGTCGAGCAAATTATAAACATCGCAGTTACAAGTTGCGCAGTGCCATTTAGAATAAAATATGTGAGCTCAAGGCAAAAAGTTATCGGACCCGACATCTTTTTTTTTTTTTTTAATGGAATACCTATAGATTGTTTTATTTTCATTGAAAAATGTGCTCGAGTTTCATTAATAGATTTGTTTATAATTTTTTTAACCAAGCTCAGATTTATATTCTATCTTTTCTTAATTTTTTAAATTAAACAAAAAACACAAAGTTGACATTAAACATGATAGGGATAAAGAAGAAATTAAGGCACTAGTTTAAGCCAACTTGCCGAAAACGCGACGGGACAATTAGGATAGCGAAGCTCAAAAAATTTTGAAGAAATATGAAAAACCGGATATATAAATTTAAAATTCTTTTCATAACAGCAGAACTCCCTTATTTATAGTGTATTGAAAAGCCCGTATATTATATTAGCCAAATTTGTCAGTTGTCTTTGCGATTTCTAATAGAACAATAGCCTACTCTCCGACTAAACTAAGTAATTTATATAAAAAATCCTCCGCTTGTTTTATAAAATACCTGTATATGTATATATGTTGCATAAGAAAATGATTAGCTTTTCGGTAATTTATTAAATAGAAAAGATACATTACAATGTAATATCCTAAATCTCAAAAACACCCTGTACGCGTACATATAACTATAGTATTAAAACAACAATGAATTTCTCTAGATATAATTTGATTTACATGATTTACCCAAGTGATCAAGATTCTCCGCCGTTTATAATTCAATTCAATATATAAATATGTAAGTACCACGTATCTCAGTAACATTGTGATTCGGTCGAAGTCTTACTAAATTATTTTTTTTTGTCAAATTGCAAATATTAAAAAACCATAGGTTTAGTTATAACGAATTTGATACAAAATGTGTTTAAAATTAATGGTAGGATACAAATATAAAAAATACTTTACTTTTTTTAAGCCTTTATTTCAAATCTTGTTTAACACGAACTATTGTCTCCAAGGTACCAATCGCCGACGCACTATTGGGTCACCCTGTATATTCGATTGGTTTGCCAATTTGAGATTCACATTAAAATTATGTGAATTCCATAGCATCTTGTATCTGTTTTGTTGATTCAACACATACTTATAGTTTTAATTTTAAGCATCTGCACTTCAAAATTGAAACTAAGACCTGGAGACGTTAAAGTAGAAAGCGACACCATAATTACTGTTTACCCTAATAAAAGTCAACATTCCAGAAGGCTTAATTTTGCCTTGAGCGAACTTAAGGAGTTAATTCCCAATGTTGTGGTGAAAGTAAGTTGTTTTTTAATGTGACAACCCTTGTTTAATGCATTTCTGTAGGGCTTACCAACTGTCAACAGAGCAGTGATCACTCGAGAAGATAAGGGCAGCAAGACGACATATAAACTCTGTGTAGAAGGCAATAACTTGCAAGATGTGATGGCCACTTATGGGGTCGACGGCAAACGAACTGTATCTAATAATGTAATGGAAGTTTATCAGACACTGGGTATTGAAGCCGCTAGGTAAACATTTAACTTATTATTAATGACGACTGTCAAGGTTACTACAATTTTAGGGAGACTATCATGTCTGAAATCAAAATGGTAATGGAAAATCACGGTATGAGTGTGGACTACCGCCACATTATGCTGCTGGCTGCACAAATGACCCACACAGGCGAAGTGTTGGGAATAACCCGACAAGGTCTGTCTAAAATGAAACAGTCTGTATTGAATTTAGCATCAGTATGTATGCATCAAACATTCCCACTTTGTACTAGGAACAAGCTGTTTTAGTTTGAAAAAACTGCAGATCACCTGTTCGATGCCGCTTATTATGGACAGACCGATAAAATTAGCGGCGTCTCAGAAAACATTATCATGGGAATGCCAGCACCCATAGGAACAGGAATATTTAAATTACTTCATAAGCCTCAAAGTGTTGATCGTAACCCTCCCACAGAAACATTACTCTTTGAGTCGGCAATGTCTTCAATGTGATAATGTCATAAGAATTATTAAACTGTTTTGGCAGATTTTGATTTTTTGACATAAAAATTGTCAAAATTTCTTGGGTTTTAGCCTCTGGTTCTAATCAGAGTTGGTATTTGAAATATATATAAATATATAAATTAATAAATAAATATACTATGCACTGGTACATACATATTTTGCGATTTCACAGCAGAACATTTTTTGTTCTTGGCGTTGAAATTTTATTTTCCCTCAGTGTCGTAAGGAATTGGCACAAATTTATACTAAATTCAATCCCTACTTTTTCAAATAAATGCCAGCGAAATACGCAAAATTAAAAATATATATATTCAAGATAAACTAGTAAAGACGATAGTATACAACATAAGCCATAACTAGTATAATTCATATTATGTAATTGAAAACTTTTTAGGAGTCCTTTTTTTGCTGAATCAACTCACGTAAAGCATCTGTGGCACTTTTTAAGGATTTTTCCAGATAACCCATTTCTAATTCTAGGTTTTTAATTTTCTCATCAGCTTGGGTTTGCTTTTTCCTTATATTCTCTTCCACTTGGCTTTTGGGAGTTAAGATGAACATTCGACCGACTGATTCGTAAGTTTTCGTATCATCGTCCAATGCTTGTATTTCCTTTTCTGTTAAAGCTGCGTGCTGCTTAGCTCGCTTAACGGCGGCGATTTGGATACCTGACATTCGAAGTGTTTGTTCTGTTCCAATTTTCTTTTCTTGTAATTCTAAAAACGCCTACCACAAGCATATCAGCCCTATGATACGAATTTACCCATAATCAAGATACCTTTTTCAACTCCATATCGACTCCCGACATTTTAAATTCTAAATTTTTTTTTTTGTGGCAATTTAAGAATTTATATCAAATAAGTTAGAATTTCATTAGCTTGCAATAACTGACATGAAATGTCATTTCTTCTTTTTGAAGATGGGCAATGGTATAAATCAATTTGGTGTGTTTCTTTTTATAGATTTTCTTAATATCGGTAGTTGAAAAAGAGTTAAATTCTGTCAGTTGATTTCAATTCAAGATATAATTAAAATAATAATATCATAAATTATCTATAAAAATAATTACAATAAGGGATATATACAGTCTTGTCCATAGGTGCTTCTTATATCGATAGTTCGGCCACAAAAATTCCGAGTAGTGTTGAGCCATTGATCCTGCTTATTTGCCTAACTATTAAAGAAATTGAAATACTTTGCGGAAAATAAATATTTGGTTTTCTTCGCTGGAGAAAATCCGAAAACTCTCGGCATTTAGAACTTCTGAGATTAGTCTCCTTTGCTGGAGAAGATCCGAAAATCCTCGACATTTCAATTCAATTCAATTATGCGTTTTACAAAAAAATGTTGGGCTCGATTGCTAGGATCATTCGCCCATTGCCGACTTCCGTCGAGGATTTTCGCTTCTGGTCCATGACCACCACGTACAAAGAAGAAAAATAACCAATAATTTGCTCAGCTAGCAAAAAATGATTCTGACCGATACCAAAAAAATCGTCTTCCCCCCGCTTCCACCACGGACCATCCGGACCCATCCGGCCTCCATACCGGCGTGAACAGGGAAAAACGACGGGGTTGACGACGATTATCACTTTAAAACATGCACTGAACACTAAAAACACTAAGTCCACACAGTGGAAACCGATATCAAACTTTTGAGGACGAATACAAGGGATTCTGTAGGGAGCGAACGGAGGTTAAACCGCCGCGTGCAATGCTCCACCACAGAATCCCTCCTCGACATTTAGAACTTCAAAATTCAGTCTCCTTCCTGGAGAAGATACGAGAATCCTCGACGGAAGTCGGCAATGGGCGAATGATCCTGGTAGTCGTGCCCAACAGTTTTCTGTGAAACGCATCATTGAATTGAATTGAAATATTTGGTTGAACCCTCGACGGAAGTCGGCAATGGGCGAATGATCCTGGTAGTCGTGCCCAACAGTTTTCTGTGAAACGCATCATTGAATTGAAATATTTGGTTATGTTTAAAAAATATATAAAAAGGGGATTTATAATTATTAGGTTTTAGAGAAAAATGGAAAAAGAACGTAACAATACAATCGGTAATGAAACGCATGTAATAGAAAGTTTCATCTATTACTGTATTTTTTCTTTTTTAGAGGTTTGTTGTGATAAAGACAACGCGAAGAGTGATTACCAAAAATCATCCGAAAACCAAAGCAAAACAGACGAAGAAAATGAAATAGCGACCCAAGAAACTAAAATACCTGATACTGAAAAGAAAAGTGAAACAGGTAATATTTGTGATCCTAAAAATGTACATTATGAAAGAGATGTTGCTGTTTACACTGACACTAATTCTGGATGTCAATATCAATGGGATAAGGATAAGAATGAATGGGTTTTACGAAGTAATATAGTATATGGCTATGAAGATGACACCCATGTGTATACTGATGCTGAGGGAATAAAATTTTTCTGGGATAAGGAAAAAAAAGCTTGGTTCCCGAAATTAGATGATGATTTCATGGCAGTTTATCAAATGAACTATGGCTTCACAAATAATGTGACTAAAGAAATTACATCTGGTGATGGACAATCAAATATAAATAAAATTGAAGGTGATATAACAGATGATTCAATAAAAGCTAAAGCGGAAAAGAGAAAAGCTTCAGAACCTTCATGGTTTGAGGTGGATGAAACTCAGAACACTAAGGTCTATGTATCCAATTTACCATTAGATATTGATGAACAAGAATTTGTAGACTTGATGCAAAAATGTGGACTTGTTATGAGAGATCCAACAACAGGTCAGTTTAAAATAAAATTGTACAAAGATTCCAGTACAAATGATATAAAAGGTGATGCCCTTTGCAGTTACATTAGGGTGGAATCTGTTGAGTTAGCTTTAAAACTACTGGATGGGTATGATTTCAAAGGCAAAAAATTAAAAGTGGAACGTGCAAAATTTCAGCTAAAAGGAGAATATGATCCAAAACTTAAACCCAAAATGAGAAAAAGGAAAGAAAAAATGAAATTAAAGAAGCAACAAGAAAAACTATTTGACTGGAGACCTGAAAAGAAGGCGGGCGAGAAGACAAAACATGAACGAGTTGTAATTGTAAAGAACCTGTTTGAACCAGATATCTTTGATAGAGATGTCGGATTAATTTTAGAATTTCAACAGGATTTAAGGGAGGAAGCTGGTAAAATTGGAGAAGTACGCAAAGTTGTAATTTATGACCGACATCCAGAAGGTGTTGCTCAGATAACCATGGGAAATCCTGAGGAGGCAGAACAAGTTGTGTCTATGATAAATGGCCGATTCTTTATGAAGCGGCAACTGCAGGCTGAAGTTTGGGATGGCAAAACTAAATATAAGATAGCTGAGACTGATTCTCAAATAACACAAAGGTTGGAAGGGTGGGACAAGTTTTTAGAGGGAGAAGAAATTGAAAATAAAAATGAGGACAAACCTGGTGGTGAAATAAAATAATGATGCTGTTAATATTGTTTATTTTATTTTTTCACTTACATGTTGCCAGAACTGGTTATGAAACATTAACATGACATGTACATATAAGCCCGTTTTTGCTTTGCTAAAATGTTGTTTTTCTAACGAAAGTTTCCAATGCAAAAGAATTTTTCGAATAGCGAAATTTCAAATTTTGTTGCTCTTTAAAATGTGAAATTCTTCAACAGTACCACCTTTTTTGGATACCTGTGCATTGTTGGCAAACCATACATTTCAGTTCTGCAATATTTTTGAAATTACTTAATCTAATCAGCTAGAAAAGAGAAAGTTAATTATTAGGAATGGAAAAAGGGGTAAACAATAGTTAAATATTTTTAATATTTGTTTAATATGTGTTAAAAAAAAGTAAACAATGGGATGTACCTAATATACCTTTGTTCAGATCTTATTATACTTAATCTTAATACTCCAATATTGTATATACAAATACGAATACTTTATTAATGTTACTATCACAGATGATTTACATACATCAAACAAAAAGGTATAAAATAACATATACTTAAAATGGACTTGGTACATTATAATTGAAATATAAATATTCATCAAAAGAATAAAAATGTTGATTAATTAAAAATCGTCTGACTGTACATACATACATATCAAATGGTAACAGCATTTGGAAGCGCATTAAAAAACTTAACGGACCAATAATTTGGACCAGTTTGACACCTCCCCAAGCGGCAGTAATAAGTGGTAAATAGACGCAAATTTTTCTTTATAAATAATAGATTTTCGTATATAGGTGTGAATGAAAAAATACAAAATATGCAGTCTTTAACACACCAGGAGAGACATTTTCAAGCGTCGAAGCAAATACAAATTCTTGGTCAGTTTTTGAGCAACAAAATCCATATGGGAGTCCCACTGAAGTTTAGGGTTTTGAAATCTGGTATTTATTTTATTAAAATTAACTGTACTTAAATTTCGCATGGAAAAACCGACTCTCTCGGTTTTATCATTATTTAAAACTAATTTATTTGCACTAAACCAGTGTTCAGCCTTTTTCTGTGACATTCTTGAACTCTCCAACGTGTCTCCTAATGCATCCCCAGAAACAGACTCAGTGGCGTCATCAACAAAAAGTGTGTAAACATATGTAGAATCCACAAGGAGGAGGTCATTTATATGCATTAAAAATAATATGGGAGCGTAAATGGAGCCTTGGGCACTCCAATGTTCACGTCACTCTTTGCTGACGCCGCTCCAGAGTACTTAATCTATTGTTAAGGTAAAATTGCATCAAACTAAGACTGCTATTTGAAAAATTGTAAGCCTTTAACTTGCGCAGAGATGAGAAAACAAAATAATAGAGTTATATTGCCAATTCTGGAATGCATCTGTAATGATCTGAAAAAGTGTTTCTATTTCTTCTAAAACCAAACTGATTATTATTAAATATGGCAAATATTGAACTAATTGTTTAGCTATACATTTCTCTACAATTTTTGAAACAATTGGAAGTAGAGATATAGGTCGATAATTTTCAACATCAGGGTTACTTTTTTTAAATACTGGTATTACTAGAGCTTCTTTTTAAAATGTCTGGCAAAGTGTTGGCTTGAATACTTAAATTTATAAGTTTTGTAAGAGGCAGTAATATTTCATTCTTGACAGACCTTATTACTCGCGTGCTTATGCTAAATACGTTTCGACTATTTTTATTTTTGACATGATTTTGATATGATTTCCCTAACTTCATTAGAAACTAAATTTTATCCAAATCTGAAATGGGATCTATATTGGACGCAGTACCCTTACTTACAAGAGACTGACCTATATTTGCAAAATAAATGTTGAATTCATCAGCAGTTAGGATATCTGATGGCTTTCCTGTACGGATTGCTCGATTTTATTTATAACATCCCACATGCATTTGGACTTGTTAGTTGATGAATGTATCAAATTATCATTGGTTTCGATCTTAGCTTTATTTATTGTAGCTCGATAAAGCTTTTTATATTCTTGGTATTGAGAGAATATTAGTGCTGTATTGCCTAAACAATTCGGAAAGTTGTTATAGCCCGCAAATTGTCATTAAACCAATTAATATTATTAGAGTGGTCAGAATGCACAACCTACATTTTCCATAAAATTAGTAAATTTATTATCACTTACGTTTAAATTGTTATCTAAAATAAAATCCCAAGATGTATTTGACATGATATTGTAAAATTGGTTCAGTCCCCTCTCTGTAATCGACCTGATTATTTTTTTGGATCGTTGCGAAGTGTCAGGTGGTTATTTTACTATTGTTATATTACAAACATCGCAATGAATGAAATATATAATTTTTGTTTATGTTAAAAATTAAAATAAGTTTTATCTATCAAAGGCAAACCTAAAATCTTCAGATTTTTATATTTGCTTTGGAGTTGGAATTCAATTTATTTACACTTTCGAAGAATATTGATAACGCTGACAACACTGTCCCCTCCCATTTTTGGCTGTCCAACTCGCGCATGTCAATAAAGCACAATAGGAAGGGAAAGGAAAAAGGAAGTCGTTTGTTGGCCGGTCTGGTTGGAGGAAGGTGAGATTTTTACAGTTGGATTATATTTCGTCAAAAAATGTTTTGTACAGTCCATTTAACTGTAGAAATATTGTGCTGTAAACAGCATTCCCTACAAACTTTATTAAACCTATCTTTCATCTGCGACGTTCTAACTTGCGAAAAATCTATTTGCAGATTTGTTAACTGGTGGCCATTTTTTGGGAACACGGTGCGCTGAAACGATTCACTGCGAAAATGCAATACAATAACGTATTTCAAAGTAACCAGATGTAAGTATCGTGAAATTCAAACACCTTTTGTACCATTGCATTACTTTTATCAGTGCGGACAAAATTTGTACAATTTATATTAAAATGGCCGCCATCTTGTAAAATCGATCCACTTTTTGGGCTTGCGAAATCAATAATCGCGAGATGATCTTTTGACGCGAATTTTCTAGACCTAACGTGTTATCCCATCGAAGTCTTGTGTTCTTTGTTCGAATATTGTTGCTCCCTATCTAAAAAATTTAATCGATACAAAAAAAAAACGCGACCGAAATAACTTTAATGCCAAAAAACGCTTTTTGTGTTCAGGTACAGATCTAGACCCGATCGGAACGAACAATATGGGAAGCAGGCAAGTTATTGGAATGGTCCTCCTCAGCACGCAGTAGCTCCAGTGCAGGATTTTGGTGGCCCGAATATGAGACAATTTAACAATAGGAAAAGACAGCAGATGCAACAGTACCAGGTTTGTATAAGTTGAAAAGTAATTTCTCTTATTTGATATATGTTTTGTTCAGCAACAAAATAACGAAGAAATTATCATGCAAGCTCCTGTATGGGAAGAAACTGAATTGAAACCCTTTCGAAAGGACTTCTATGTTCCTCACAAAAACGCCAAAAATAGAACACAGAAAGATGTGGATGATTATAGAGATCTTAAAGATATTATTGTCCAGGGAGATAATGTACCCCATCCCAATTTTTGTTTCGAAGAAAGTAACTTTCCTGACTATATTATGCAAACTTTGATGAAGCAAGGTTTTAATGATCCCACTGCAATCCAATCCCAAGGATGGCCCATTGCTTTAAGTGGAAGAGATTTAGTTGGAATTGCCCAAACCGGGTCTGGAAAGACTCTTGCCTATATGTTACCAGCTACTGTTCACATCAACCACCAGCAAAGGCCGCAACGGGGAGAAGGGCCGATTGCACTTATTCTTGCTCCAACCAGAGAACTGGCCCAACAGATCCAGAAAGTAGCACATGAATTTGGACAGAATGTAATGATTCGTAACACCTGCATTTTCGGAGGCTCCCCCAAGGGCCCCCAAGCCAGAGATTTGGAGAGGGGGGTAGAAATTGTTATCGCTACCCCAGGGAGACTGATAGATTTTTTGGAAAAAGGAACCACAAATTTACAAAGGTGCACTTATTTAGTTTTGGACGAAGCTGATCGCATGTTAGATATGGGCTTCGAACCACAAATTCGAAAAATTATTCAGCAAATTAGACCAGACCGGCAGGTCTTGATGTGGTCCGCTACATGGCCCAAACAAGTTCAAGCTCTGGCAGAAGAATTTTTGGTCAACTATATTCAGGTTAGATAATTTTTTTTTTAATGGTAAATTAAATGGGCCTCATTTTAGATTATTTCTAAATATTACTTAACTGGAAAGAAAACATGGTCAGTAGAATTTGTTTACTGCCAAATAATACTTATTATTAATTAACACTAAGGCGAAGACAAATTAAAATTGTACATTGAAGTTTAGGCTCATTACAGTCCCTCTAACCATAAAAATAGCCAAGCATTGTCCAGCTTAATTTTCTTGCTATTGCCAATTTATGATAATGGAAATCATCTATAAACCTTAACTGCTGTGTGTACTTTTATTTTTTTATTTAATTTAGACAATGCTCTCCATTATCCTTATAGCTGTGTGATGAAATGTCTACACAAGGTAGTTTTGCACAATCACGCAAATATCTGAAATTTGACAGACATAGAAATTATAGAAAAAGTTTCTTATATAAAATGATCATTATCCCATCATAAAGGTTGAAGGTAACATGTTAAATTAGGGATTGCTTAAATTTATTTATTTAAATTTACAACAATATTGACACCCAAAAACATTTCATTAAAAAAAAATCTACAAACAAATCCAATACAGAAACGATACATAATAAGGTAAAATATAAGTGGTACAGTGCAAAACAATGAAATTTCAGCTTTCTGAAAAAAAAATCTACAGGAAAAGGTAGTCTTTTTAAATGTTATTGTTATTGTGATTCATTTTTGGGTATCAATACATATTATTGTGTGGAGTTAACATCCAAGAATAGAATGGAATAGCACAACCTCTATTTACGAAACTCCTCAGTTTCAATAACATTAAAAAGTACTTATTGAGTGGATTTTATTTGATAACAATCAGATGCGGAACCAATCAGCTGATAATATAATTATGATAGCTTGCCCAATATATTCAATGGACTTATGTCATCAATAAAAATTAGCAAAAGGAGCGACCCTAGGACACCCCTTTCAACTAAAGGCCACTCTGAGTGGAATTCATGTCGCCCCTCTTTTAGAGTCACTTTTTGCATCTGTCTCTTCCAATATGAGGATTACTGTTGTCAATCGTTCATTTTACGAGGACCGAATCAATCAGTGACCGATTTCGAAAAAGACCGAATTATTTCAATTAATCGTTCATTTCAATATGTTTTGTTGTCAACATAAGGTGCAATAGTCACTGAATCCAAACAGTCCGAACGATAGATTCAGATTCATTTGAATTTGAATTATTGTTGTGTCTATATGTTCCGTTTGCTGTTTTAGTTAGTATAATACTGTGTTCTGCTTTTTATTGCATCGTGATTTTATCAAAATAGGTGCCACGTATTGGGTTGTACTAGTAATACATTAATTTATTTAAATTAAATACCTCTGTGGAAATAGATAATTCATTCAATATTCAATTCAACAAATCATAAGCAAATCTACCAATCAATACCATTCAAATGAATCGTATTCCGCAAGACGAATTCGATTTGTTTTGGTACGGTCGGTCGTTCAGTTGTCCTGTATTCGGTCACTTCAGACCGGTCGTTACGAACAAGCGGGATTCGGTCTTTCGATCCTATGAAGTAATTGAATCAAAGTGACCGAATCCAGCCATAAGACAGAGCCCTCAATTCACATTTCATAAATTTCCACTTTAAGATATGTTGCATGGGAATAATCAAAAAATTAGCTAGTAACTTAGGCTTTTCATTCACTTTCTGAATGATTAAGTTACTATGTTTATGTATTCTGCATGCATTTTTCTTTATTATTCTTTTTATACAGGGTGTCGCATAAGTAATGGTTTATGGCATGATTTAACGAAACTTCCCTTAGTCCAAAAGTTGATGTTAACCAAGATACAAGGTGTCAAAGTTGCAAAGTTCTTTTTAATAATTCCTTTTTTCACAAATATTTGGCAAAATTTTTGACGCGAGAAATCCATTGTTTTGAATAATTTTGGGGCAAATTGTAGAGGGCGCTACAAATGGTCCTTTCTCGTGCAATTTATACTTCTTAACTTTTTTGCGTCTTAATGTATGCAGATTTTTAATATAGATATCAATTCTTGCACCTCTTTTACACAAATATTGAACATAAAATATCCAATCACTGCCATTTTTTTAGTTAAATAGATATTTACTCTGTGAACCTGCCATTGACACAACTTTGGATGTTGTTGACAGTAACTACCACCGTGATTTGACAAGACACTTAAATCTATACACAATCTTCAACAAAGGGTGTGTATCCCAAGGCTTCATTGGTTCAGTTACTAAAAAAATGTAGTAATGTAGAAAGTTAACGTAAGTTCCCAATTGCTATTTAAAAATTTTTAGAACTCTTGTTTGTAAATTTTACGGGTGGCAAATGGGTTTTGCTATATCAGTACTTTATTTTTAGTTCGGCTTTTCTTTCAGATTAACATTGGCGGTCTATCGTTATCCGCGAATCACAATATAAAGCAGATAGTGGAGGTGTGCGACGAAATGGAGAAAGAAGGAAAACTTTCCAAACTCTTGAAAGAGATTAGTTCCGATCGCAACAACAAAATCATAGTTTTCGTCGAGACGAAGAAGAAAGTGGACGATATAACTAAAGCGATCAAGCGAGAAGGATTTTCCGCCCTTTCCATCCACGGCGATAAATCGCAGCCCGAGCGCGATTACGTACTAGGCGAGTTCAGAACTGGCAAGTTCACGATCTTGGTCGCTACGGACGTGGCGGCCCGCGGCTTAGACGTAGAAGACGTCAAGTACGTTATCAACTATGATTACCCAAATTCCAGCGAGGATTACGTCCATCGCATAGGCAGGACCGGGAGGTGCGAACAGATCGGCACCGCGTACGCGTTTTTCACGTTGAACAATCAAAGACAAGCCAAAGATCTAATTTCGGTGCTAGAGGAGGCCAATCAGAATGTTTCGCCGAAATTGCAAGAGTTGGCGCAAAACAACCGATCGAGTCAGAACGGTCGGAACCGTTGGAACAATCGCAACAAAGATAATTCGTCGCCTACAAACCGTAACAATAAGTCAAACTGGCAGCACAAGCAGAACACATTCGTGACCGGCATGGAGTTTTACGGGAAACAACAGAGCGGTAACACATCGCCCAAAAACAGTCCCACAAACAATAGACACGATAATGGCCAGAGGAGGAATAATTACAACAATTACAATCAGTACCAGAATCCGCAGTTCCAAAACGGGCAACAGTACCAGCAGTCGTACAGTCCACCCGCTTACTATCAGCAACAGATGCCGCAGGGTAGTCAGGGACGTCAGTATGGTGAGTTGATGATAGAATGATGATTCTGCTGTGATGGGTGTCGTCTTCTAAAATTTCAATTATCTTCATGCAGAGTTCAAAAATGTTGGCACGTTTACCACTTTTAATTTACACGTTATGATTTTGTTATTTTAAATTCAATGCTCTTTTATATATATATATATATATATATATATATATATATATATATATATATATATATATATATATATATATAACTTGTCGTATAAAACAGACGAAATATTGAACTGAGGTGGCTCTTACTTGATGAAAATCCATTTATCAAAATAAATAAGAACTAAAAGTTCAGATTTTCACTAATTATATATTATGACATGACAATTGTTTCGACAACACCGTGTCTTTATCACGGTGTTGTCGAAACAATTGTCATGTCATAATATATAATTCGTGAAAATCTGAACTTTTAGTTCTTATTTATTTTGACAGACGAAATATTTGCTGAATTGGTGTGGGCTCAGTGCAGCTGTCCAGTCAGTTACAGAAAATATAATATAATAAAGGAATACTGGGAAACTTGATGTAACGGTACCACCACTTGCAGACGAAGGATCATTTTCTGGTAGTAGCAGTTCCAATTTTGGCTCTGATGATCGACTTGTTTTTTTTTTACTTGTCTACAAAGTTTTCGGACAATAGTTTTTTTAACAAATTATAATTTTTTCATGTATATTCACCTACTGAAATAATCGCATATCATTAAGGAATACGCTGATCTATTATGGCATAGAAAATACATGAATCTATCTCTGAGCATTTTCGTACTAGTTAAATTAATAAATGCCAAATACAACTGATTCTCTCTCTTGCTCCTATGTAATATAAACGTGTGATCGATAATGGCAGTTGTCTTGCATTGATCAGATAAATATTTGTTGAAGTATGGACGCAAGATGAATATATTTTATTCTGTCTGGTATTTTATTGCCGATTATGAATAACTTCGTTACTTTTATTATGCGTGTACTTTATATAAAATGTCTGTCACGTCTTATCGAACTTCAAAGACACGGCAAACTTTTCGCCAACCCTGTATGTAGTCGAAACCTGAAACTCTCTCTCGACACAGTTACAGCTAATAATTTATCTACAAAAACAGCAATTTTCAAGGTCTTCGATTTTTTTTTTTACACACCCTGTATATTACCGAAAAAATGCTAGGGGTGAAGGTGGATTTCCCACGTCTCTTGGTTCACGAATTTTTCCAATAACTTAAATGGTTTTCAAGAAAATATTTTTTTTTCCTGAAACTATGCAGTACATCGTAATAGTAAACGACGTTATGGAGTGTAGACAGAGCGCGAGGAATAGTGATTTTCATATGGATTTTTCAAATATCTCGAACAACGAAACCGTAAATACAAAAATTGTAGCTTTTCATGCTGTCTATATTATTATGGTCAATTATCATTACAAGGGGACCCAGTTTTCAGTTTTTTGCAAATTACCGATGCATTTTTTACATTTAAAAAAATTATCAAGAATAAAAGTTTTTGACCCTGATATCGCACGTCTTCCAGTTCAATAGCTTTTTCAAACATATATATCGTTTTTTGAGAAATGATTTTTTTCTCGAAAGCCTGCAAATGCGGTTTCAAATTTTTAAAAATACTTTCCGACTCCCCACCCAATTTCAATTCGTGTACGAAAATCGCAAAAAAAAGATGAACGCCAATATCGGATCGCGGCCATTTCTTATGGGATAGTGTGTCCCGTGGGCTGTATACAAGGAGCTAAAATTCAGCTTCATTGCACACACCATTGGGAAATTATTCGCGTTTGTATAGAGAGAACAGACAAAAAATACAAAAATTATTTTTTGATGCTGATTCCATCTGTACTAACTGTGATGCTGTACGACGCAACGTTTCCGAGATATGAGTTTCGTTGCTAAACGCGACAAGTGCTTTATACTTTATTATTTTTAGGTGTGCTGTACTCTTAACACACTCAAATTGCAGGAAACAACCCGCGCAACTACAACAACCGTTACAACAGCAATCGTCAGCAGTCGTTTGGTGGCATGCAGTCGAACTCCTACATGGCCGCGGGCCAGGCCCCCGTACCCTACATGATGCAAGCGGCGCCCTCGGCCGGCGTCCCGGACGGTTTGCAGTCGATTATCAGCCACAAGTTCTTCCAGAGTCGCGGCCTGACGGGCGGCGCTAATCCCTGCGCCTACCAACAGAGCCAGGGAGGACCTTACGGCCAGTACGCACCCGGTCCCGTCTCTTACACTTACACGCCGCAGTACGCGCAGCCTCCCACCGCCACCGTGCAACAGTAAATCTCGCTCTCGAAAGGTTTTTTCCGTTTTGTTCCGCTTCTTATTTTCTGTTATTTTATAGGCGTCGATCACTGGGGTATGGTTCCTCTAATAAAAAGCAAGTTGCATTTAATACACCTAATACGCTTTATTAGTATGACATCAGCTGTCTTAAGTTTGGGATCTAAATAAATCGATTCCCCAATCAGTTCTTATAGGGTTGCTTCAGTTTTTGTGTGATTTTTAGTTATTGAAAATATTTAACAGAATTCGCGATCATTTATCAATTATTGGAAATGAAACGAGGAGTATAATACACGGGTAAATCTCGTATATCAGACAAATGTCCTCAATTTTTTGTCGTTGCACCACGGGATGTTTCTGGTTTTGGTTTAATGGTTGAATATTCTGCTTCAGCTGTCTAATTTGCATGCACTTTCTTTGTCTTAACTATCCCCATAAAAAAAGTCGAGCTCAGTCAAGCCGGGCGAACGACCGAGGTGAATTTTTCGAAATGGTATGGCAAAAATACGGTATTGTTGTTTTCTGTGGTATTGCGATATCAGTATTTGCAGAATTTTAATTTTAAGATCCAACTTTAAAATATCCAATTTGCTGAATGGAGGGCGAGTTGAGGCAGATTGATCATCTGCTGCAAGACTGTCGCACAGTTTCGTCGTTTTGTTCAGCGTGAATATTTCAAAGGGCTCTGGCACGGTCGGCCACTGAACCCTCAAAACGTACGCCCAAACTTCTAACTGTGGGAGTCGATAATTTTAATACGTTGGTTTGTGCAAAGGCAAAATATTATATGACTGCTAGGTCTTATTTAAGCAAACCTGTAGTTTCCGGTAAGTAAGTTATCGAAGCCGATTATTTGAAGGCTGCCATTTCCAATTTTAATACTTACACCGTAGTAGTCATACTACACTGTTGATAAATAATCACCAAGTCCGTTAAATGGTCTTCAATAATTTAAAAAACGCACAAAAATGAGACACCCGTTAAAACTTAGGGCAAATGGGTTTGGATCCCAAACATGGCAATTATCAACCAAAATGGCGAATGCTACGTATTCATTAATATAGCAAGTATTTTCGACGTTCTGACATTTTTCATTACTACGAAAAAACCATACCCGTTTTTTTTAAAAAAAAACTAAGTGCTTTTTCTGATATTTATAGTTAGAAAGGGTGAGGGTTTGCACAGCTTCACTTAATTGTTAGTCGTCGGTAAATGTATGACTTGTTCTACGAAACGCACGTAGGTGTTTCCCAATTTGCTGCTAAGCGGTAGCTTGATCCGGCTCCCCGCTCCGAGCAGCCATCGAAGAAAAACATGTTTATCATTTAGCGAGTAGTAGATACGCGTCGCGCGTTGATCTTGCCCCGCCCATCCCCCGGCAAGGCGAACGGGGCGACAGTTTGTGTGTGAGTTGTTTAGTATTTAGTAACTATTCTGTATGCCATTGAAATGCACGAAACGTATAGAAGGGGAGTTTGGGCTCATTTGTTGTCCCGTTTCGTTTTTTTTTGTTTTCATTTTTTTAAATAGTATTCCACACGGTACATGATTTATATTTGATGCTATGCGGTGCGAAAAATCATACCGAGATCCCGCCCCCATCCCGAATTTGATCCGGGTAAGTAAATTCGGTCGCCGGTGGGGCGTCTGGCCCGGGAAAACCGATAAGTTAATTTAGAAATTTGAATATTGAGAAAATATATATGTTAAATTGAAAATTTATCCCTAAACCGGAAATTGCATTATCATTTTCGTCGCTTTTGTATGAATTGTGCATTATTTCGAAAGGCAATTTCTCAATTATTTTTAAGGTAAGAAGTCGCTAAGGTGTGAAATGCTTCAGGTATAAAAACAGTTGAACAACAGTTTATTTACACGAAACGATACTCTAGAAAATTAAAAATTCAGTAACATTATAAGCTATTTATTAGAGACTGATTTAATTTAATTTGATTTCAGTAGATTAAAAAATTTAATTGCTATTGAGTCGGCAGGCTTCTGTCCACAGTCTACACGATTAATGTCATAATAATATAAATATAAGAAAATAAATCGGTGTTTGCTTCTAATAACGCGAATGCCAAATTCGAGAAGAATGGTATGACTTATTTTCCAGGGCATTGAAGTTTTATTTTTGTTTTTCATGAATAATGGGTGTTTTTCGACATGAGCAGTTTCAATTTACTTATTAGTTTTGTAGCTCTTGTAGAGAACTTTCAACAAAAAAATGAATTCCTCAATCATTTTACGTGACAAAAGGCAAAAGATCAACTAGGGTAGTAAGTTAATTCTACAATCCGTTTTGTTGTTCGTATTGTTAACTTAAAAATACAATTTTGACATACAGTTGTGTGATAAAAAAATTGATACTAATGTTGTTACCTACTTCAACTGTCAAAATTTCATTCTATTTTGATCTTATTTTCCGTAGAATCGTTTCGAAATCTAAAAAAGCTTACTAAACTGACCAACATTATCATACATACATATTTAATGAAGCACTTTCCCTTTTATGTCGATTTTTTATTTTGTTTTATGCGGCACCGCGTGTCTGGGAAACCACACTTTCAATAGCAAATTTAACGTCCTGTTTTAGAGGAAAGTTTCGTCGCTAAACTAGTTTGCTTTTATTAATTTTTCGTGATATCTTAAAGCTTGTCCAAAAATGGCCCGGCTAAAACCTACGAAACTGTTAAAAAGTTCGACCGTGTTAATATGTACGTCAAAGTTTTATTAGCCAGACGTCCCCTCTACACGAAAATGGAGCAATATTACTGTCTTCGTTTTGCACTCTTACGAGCGTTCCGAGTTCAAATAGCATCGACCCGGGTCAAAAGAACCAAAAGAAAGAGAAAAGTTAGCATAGTTTTCCAAGCAATCGCATGCCTCTCATTTCCTTTAGCGGTAAAGTATATTTTTTTATTTCATACGATACGGTAATATTTAAAGTGCGGCCGAAAGCAAAGTTGCATTGTAGACTAAAAAAAATAAGGTTTACTTTAGCGCGCGTTACGCCGAGGTACGGATGTTTGACCGCGAAACTTCGACAAAGGACGTTATTTGTAGTGCATCGTCCCTCTCATTTGGTTTCATTCACTGCGAGACTATTAGGATTTTTTAAATTTCGGATCGTAATCTCTTATGTAAAGGACGAGTATTCTGTCGGATAAGATTATTAATTATAATTTCGTGATCGAGGCAGTCGAGACGGTGTAGCGCGAGCGATAACGCCGAAATTTGTTATTTTTTCTTAACTATTAATTATTATTTAGTTCCGGTTTTCGTTTCCGATATAAAAAAAAATTATGTTACGTAACACGAGGATCTTGTCATGACTGCTAGTGTCGTGTAAATATAGTATTGTAGTATTAAGCGTGTAACTCGTTTTCTCAGTTATAAGCGTGGTGCTGAATAGTGCTCACGGTGTCATCTGTGATATTTTTAGCGAGGTAGCAAACAAAAGAATAATATCATTAACTGTTCGAATTGCTTACGAGGCGCGTTAAAGATTTTAACGGTTTTAACATAAATAGAAATGTGATATTTATTCCGTATTTAAGACTGAAGTAATTACTAGAACATATTTTTCGTTTTTGGAAATTATCCCGGAAATATGGTACTCTGGTCGAAAACAAATTCGCGTTTTGCGATGCGCCACAGTAATATCAGATTATGTTGTTTGAAACCCTGACGACGGTAATATACGATCTACTCGGTAATCGTTGAAATTTTCTCCCCGCTGTGGCCTATATTTGAGTATACACGTAAAAGTACTGAACGTACCTCCTAATTCGGACTAGGTACAACAGGAGAGAAGAGTTGTACTAAGCAAAAAAAAAGTAAATTCAATCTGTGATGTTATCGTTAAGCGCCATTGCATTGTAACATTGAAGATTTCGTTATCGTTTCGTTCCGATACGATTACAACTTCCAGTACCTTAATATTATAAAGTCAGCAACCGTGGTTGTTTGAATGTGATCTTCGAGAGACGAAAAAATATTTGTTTACCGAACCACTCGAGAATCTTGGTTACATATAATGAAACTCTCTAAAGATCGAAAAAAGAACATAAAAACGTTATTTATTACTCTTCTGTAAGTTTCTAAAGAGTGCATTTCTTGTATGTAATACAGTATTAAAAATATATCTAGCGACATCTCTTTGCTATATTTTAGTTGTTTATTATTACTTATTCAGATTGGATGTGTATTGAAAAATCCATTGAATTAAATTGAAAATACATTAAATAGTATTTTATTTCCAAACCCTATGTCCGATTAATCTAATTAGAGAATGGGGGAGTTCAGAGACCTAATTCTTAAATAAATGAACTTGCGGAGAAGTAGGCGTCGTTGGTCTTAAAACGTTAAAGTCGTATTCTTAAAATTGTGAACGTTCTCGGAAATTCAAAGTTTGCCGCTCTAGGTAAGTTATGGAAAATGCTGCAGAAATGTTTTGTCAAATTTGTGCCATGAAATAGTAAACATGGTCACTCCATACATTATTGTTCCGATTATAGGCGTTAACAGTTATTTTCTGCTTTACAACCAAATATATTTTTTATTGTAGTTTTTACACGAAATGCAGGTTTCGGGGGCCTATAGGATGTATTGACTGTACCATATAGCTATTAAATAATGCTTCGAGCTTAAGGCATATTTAATTTAACTTATTAATGACTTGGCGAGCCTCATGTTTGTTGAATGTCCTAAGGTGATTGTTTAAAATCGAAATTTCAAATCTTGCGCATGTTGACGGGACTTCTCAATTTTTTTTTTTCCGGAGTTGCTTCGTAAGTTATTGTTTTATCGGTATGTGCATTACCTATATTTCTATAATAGCTATACGCTGTACGCATATAGCTACGGTAGTGTGGCCCTACGGCAGCTGCAGTTATCTGCTTTCTATACTGCAAGTTTGCTCTTTTAAATTTCAGGCCTTGCACTAGGATTTCCTTTTCAATATGGTCTCGCTTGAGAAAGTAAACCTCGCTTATTAAGAAAAAAAATCTGGCAAACCGGTTGTCACTGTTCCCGCCAGAGGGCGCCACATCAAACAAGGTTTTTAAATGTTTTTTAATCAGAAGCACAATGTAGATCGAATTTCCAAAAATAAAATATTCACCGCATATCGATAACTTTACGCGTTCAAGAGTTAATCCCACAAGGGCTTTTTTAACATTTGAGATCAATGATATTTGCATATAGTTAGCAGATAATGTATGGACCCGCTAACCTGCGCTTTGCGCCATTTTCATTCTAAACAACGATTTCCACACACTAACTCGTTTTTCCAGAAATTTAACGAGAACTAGCCAAATTTCGAGAAAATACTGGCGTAAAAATGGCGCATCCAAACTTATTGACAATCTGTCAGCGGCCATGCTGGTTAATGAATGCCGCAAGGTCATTGGTTAACAGCGACATTTTAAATCGCGCACATTGAATGGAGCTCAATTTTTTTTTCATAATTGCTTTATAAGTTCATGCATTAGCATTACGTCGTTTTAAATGCAACATAATTGCGCATAGATAAATATATTACATCTGACAAATGGAATGGCCGGGGTGTTATTTGCTGTTCCATTGTTGGCACTAATTATTGTTAGATATTATTTCCCCATATATCTACTTCGGCAGCCTATATCATTAGCACAAAAATAAAATAATGAACAAAGAAAGAAAAACAAAAATTAAGTCAGTTATTCCGAAATAATAATTAATAAATACCGATAATAATCATTGGTTCATAATGTTTAACGAAAATTTGTATTTTTTGGTGTTAATTTTGATCTACAGTAAATGTTTATTTTATAGGGAAAATTGATCAAACTTATTTTCGAGTGGTCCCGAGTTTGTGGCGTAAATCGAGAGGCCAAAATTATCTTAAACTAAGTTGCTTTACAAGTTCCTGTAGTGTTGACCTATTTTAGTGCCATGACTAAGTTAATAAGTGTTTTATGACAAAACATTTGAAACAATTTAAAGCATGGAATTCGAATAAAACATTTTAATCTAATGAATCATCATGCATAGGTGCAATATGAAATCTCTGGCAGCGGCTTTTTTGTACCAAATTCCTCAAGCTATTTAAGAGCATGGGGCATGTCAGAACTTGTACTTATTTCCTATTATAATTACATAGTAATTCTATTTTTTATAGCAAATCACTATTCACTCGTGATAGTATTAACACCAGCATGTTGGCAAAATGTAACAGATTCTAATAGAATTTTTGTAAACAATTTTAAATTAAAAAATAAAAGAAAATTAAAAAAAATCTTTTATTCTTACAATGTCAAAATCACATAGAAATCTACTTCTATCACAGTTATAAACAGATTTACAATCATGACAGAGAGATTGTCAAATTAATAAATACAACAAAGGCTTTTTAAATAAAATTCTATTTAAATTAGAAAAATTCAATTGTCCTAGTGTGGAATATGTGAAGGAAAATACTGATATTGAATGAAATGTCCATACTCGAATGCCTTTCAGTAGCCTGAAACAAATAAATCTAATTAAAAAAATGGCAACCAAAATTCATCCAGATAGAGGACAAAAACTTCAGAACAGTTAACGAACACATCACAGATAATACAAAGACATCACTTACTCTTTCCATATCCATTGCTGGCCTTGTATCCGCCAGAACTGCCCCCCCATCTGCTATGCTTTGGTCCACTGTTTTCTCTGCCTCTATATGAGCCACCTCCATTACCCCAACGGCCAGATCTTTGGAAACTGCTTCCATAAGCATTCGACTTGCTTGCCATTTCGGATAATTTTGGGTTAATGACCTATAAAAAAAAAAGAATTTTGCCGGGTACTAAGAAATTAAGGAGGTGAATTTAAACATGTTGGGAAACTTGAGGATGGGATCCAGACTTGTGAGTGTGGACACCGAAGGCATATTTCCCATTATCATTATTTCCCTTCTAAAAGCACTCATGCTTTGCCGATAGTTCTAGGCGATGGCATGCCAAATTAGAAGGGCAATTAATTAGGTACTCAAATATTCCGTTTACCTGGTTTGCCTCCTTGAGTACAGAAACCAAATCTTTTGCCTGCCTAATGTTGGAGGGAGTGAAGAATGCGTAGGAAGTGCCGGTACTATCAGATCGACCGGTCCGGCCTATTCTATGGATATAATCCTCGGAGGAGTTGGGATAGTCGTAGTTTACTACATATTTTATACCGTCCACATCTAATTTGGAAAAACATAATGAATGGACGGTTCCCGCACAAATTAACAACTTCAACTGCGAAAGACATTAATTTACTAAAAAAAGTTGTTACTTTTCCAAAAAAATAGCAGCAGTTGAAAATGTTAACAATCACTATACCACCACATACATTGAATTTACTGACACCAACGTAAAAAGAAAGTGATCTGAAAATGTGAGTACACTGTCTGCTCACTGTAGCATGCATGAGAAAAAAAAAGCAAAATCTTAATCTAATACTAACCAGTATCCAGTTTCTAACGAAAATCCGTCAAGTTGTCAATTATTGATGTGTGAAGAATCACACATGAAAAACCTGTCGAAATTAGTAGCAAATCTGCCTTGCTTCAGTGGACCACATACAAACTACCCCCTCTTTTTTTTAAACTGTAATAGGGTCTACTCAAACACCTTGGCAGATAACACCAGACCAAAAGGAAGAGGAAAAAAGATTCAAAAATGGCTTTTTACTTCAAATTAGAGTACCGGAGGAGCCTGAGGGAATCCCGGTATTTGCCATTTATTCTGATGCTCTCAAAATCTTCCAATGGTCTTATAGAGGCACCCGCAAGACTGTAAAATCCATTGTTTTTTTTTACAGTGGGTAAGGCACGTGTTTAGCACTTAAATGGCTAAATTGCACCTCATCCTGCTTGTGCCTCTGAAACAAAAAGGACACCCAGACTGATTAATACAAAGTGAAATTACGCGAAGAATAAGCTGGACATAATAAAGTTTCACTCCACAATACAAGGCAATTGCCGTATCGAAATTTGAAAATTTAATGTCGCTTCCTATAAATTTTTAACAACTTAAAAACGCATATCATTTATAAGGAAATGTAGTAAGTAATAACTAGGGCGTTTCAAGATTCAAAACAAATATAATTATCAAAGTTTTTGAGTAATTAATAATAAATCGATTACTCAAAAATTCTAAGAACAGACACACACGAATTTTCATTTGAAATAGGCAGTTAGATATATGAAAACAAAAAACGGAAGGAACACAATAGTTTCATTTTTTATAGCCTCATCTAAAAAATTATTCAATAAGTTAGTGCCTTAGAATGATTTTAACTAAAAACATCAATTAGATAGAACACTGGGGACTCTACTGGAATGAGTAATTAATACAAAAAAACTATTTTTTCTAAATAGTACCCTATCAAGGAAACACAAAAAACCGAATTATTTTTAGCTAATAAGTCATTAAAATATTCGTAGTCAATTCTGAAACACCCTGTATAGTGACTAAAATTATGAACAAACAAAAATAAATTGACAAAGATGTTCTTTGCAAGCAAGTTTGTTCTAAAACTTTTTTTTTTGGTCAATAATACCAGTCTGGAAAATCCAAAACGTGCTACTAACATTGAACCAGGTCAGTAAGGTTTGACAATTTTAAACTTAGGATTCCGGAAAAACTGATCGGCAACGTAAACGTGTGAATTTCTTACCTAATCCGCGAGCAGCCACATCGGTAGCGACCAAAATGGTAGACTTTCCGTTCCTGAATTCGCGCAGGACATAGTCCCGTTCCTGCTGGCTCTTGTCGCCGTGCATGCAAACTGCGGGCCAACCAAGTCTTCTTATGGTCCTGGTAATGCCCTCAACCTTCTTTTTCGTTTCAACAAAGATAATTATTTTCGCGTCCGGTTCTCCATTTGTGCCGATCTCTTGCAACAAGTGGTTTAACCTAATAGTCAAGACAAAGAAAATGAATATGTCAATGCTTTAGTTTAGAAATGACTTACTTAGTTTCCTTTTCATGTTCCTGGCACACGTCGACAATTTGCAGAATGTTGTGGTTCGCGGACAACTGAAGTGAGCCAACGTTAAGCTGAATCGGATTGCTCATAAAATCTTGTGCCAATTTTTTGACCTCTTTAGGCCAAGTGGCAGACCACATCAGCGTTTGTTTATCAGGTCTGATTTGTCCAATAATTTTTCTAATTTGAGGTTCAAAACCCATGTCCAACATACGATCGGCCTCGTCCAGCACCAAGTAAGTACACCGCTCCAAGTTGGTTGTACCCTTTTCCAAAAAGTCTATCAGCCTACCGGGAGTAGCGATGCAAATTTCGACGCCCCTTTCTAAATCTCGAGCCTGTGGTCCTTTGGGGGCGCCACCGAATACGCAGGAATTTCTAATCTTCGAGCTACGTCCAAAATCATTAGCCACTTGCTGGATCTGCTGAGCCAGTTCTCTAGTAGGAGCTAAGACAAGCACGATTGGGCCGTCGCCACGTTGCACCTCCGGCTGATGGTTAATGTGAACGATGGCAGGCAACATATAAGCCAAAGTTTTGCCCGAGCCAGTATGTGCAACCCCAACCATGTCATGTCCACTCATGGCAATAGGCCATCCTTGTGCCTGAATAGCAGTAGGAAATTCGTAACCTTGTGCAACAATTTCGTCCATGACATAGTCCGGAAAATTGGCCTCGTGGAAACTTTGTATAGGCTTTGGCGCATTACCCTCAACGGTTATTTCTTTTGCCCCACGAAATTGATCTACTTCATAAGTAGATCGGTTGGATATCGACTGATGGGGCACATAGAAATCCTTTTTGAACGGCCGCAGCTGTTTGCTACTCCATTCGACAGTCTTTAAACGATTGTTAAAACTAGCTCGACTGTTTCTGTAACCACCACCGTCATAGCCATTTCTTTGTCCATAACCCCCCTTATCTCTCACGCTTGTATAACTATCATCCCGGCTCCTATAGCTGCTTCCGTTTTGTCTATTGTATGACCTACATAAAAGAAACAATCTTACAAAGATGCATCTGTACCATCTGTAAGCATGTATTCATCCTATTTTTTAATACCAAAATCCCAATTATTTCAAATATACATTAGAAAAGATTAATTATTCTTTAGATTAACTCTATTATTAAATTATTTAACATTAATATGTAGTCACATGGGTAGATATCCCTACAGTGGTGTGAAATTAAATTGAGAATATCCACTTAAACTACAAAATTTCAGCGTTTATGAGCATACGAAAATTTTAGAAAATGGGTAAATATCCTAATTTATAATAATAATAATTCTATGGTAAATTTTTAAAAACGTTTTTGCCGATGACTGCGCTCCCGTTAAATGACATTCATTTCATCCGCTTCGTAAATTTGTTAGTACGACTATTGATCAATTTGCTTAGAGAAAGAAAGTTCTGTAAAACTGACGTGGCCACTTACACGTTTTTCAATTAATAATTAAAATGGACGAACAGCATGGTAACCATTTAAGATGGCGGTTGCTGACGTAATACTCCCTTTCTAGTTAAAAACGTTACTTAAATGATTAAATTAAACTATCAAAACTTTAATTAATCACAATCGATACTAATTCGAAAACTTTGGATTTTTATACTTACATCTTTATTGCTGTAGATAGAAGTATATTTCTCTTGGTATTAATGTCGATTATTCCTTTGCTAAAGGACAAAGAAGTGACCACAGATCTACAAACCAAATGAAACATTTTTAACGTTAATTGTTTAACCTACAAGAATTAATTATAAACTTTACTCGGGTCACATAAGGTTTAGTTAAAATGTGTCCTTTAATCGAAGACAAAAAATTATCTGACTCACCTCTTCAACGTCCAAACGGAAAGAGAATCCCAGTAGAGACGTTCGCTTGAGCGAATTGTAAAATGTCGATATTAATAAATTTGGTGGGGATGGAAACATCCAATCCACTTGCACTCTGCATTGCGCCGTCCAATAACAACATTCCATTTGCAGATCAATACAGAAACTTGGTTTCATGGGATTATCCTTCCTTCGTCATTTCCGTTAGAAATAATGCCATATTGCCAAATGGCAAGTTGCAAAAATAATTCCTTTTATATAATTAAGTACTTCTCAAGGCTTTAAATTGAAATCTTTATGCACGATATAAAATCGTAATTTATGAGGAACGTTTTGAACTTTTTATTTTTTATAGCAAGGATTACAACTCTGTTCTGTTGGCTGGGACTTCGTTGTCACGTTAGATCCGACAACGTTGCATAGAGTCTACGAATGTCATTTCCGGCTTCATCGTTGGATGTGGAATTTCTCTTTTCAGTCGTCGGGTGAAGAGGTAAGTCTTAATGTTTCTTGTTTTTTTTATATCGAAATATAAAAGGCTTTATTATTGGTCTTATTCTCTTTATTTAAGATTCGACTTATATATGTCACCATTAGCCACTAAATCGGCGTATAATATCGAACCGTTTTCTTCCTTGATATCTGACCGTCTGATTTTTTTTTATAGATTCTTATTCTCTTCTCCTTCATTTGCAAAGAACTATAAAATTTAGAAATTTCGGAAGAAATCTGCTTTTATCGAAATCAGTAACATGTAAGTAAAAATAACGCCTAAATTTTTGACAAATCAATATCGGGGTAAGCTAATTTTTTGTTCATGCGATTCCTCCATTTAGGTCGTTCGATAGACAAAATGGCGGAGGCCACTTCAGGAATCACCAAAACGGATTCCGACCAAATAACTACGGTAACAATTTTGTTCAGCGCAGTAATTGGGGTGGAAATAATGGAAATAGGTTTGGTAATGGCTACCAATCTGAAGGCATTCCTAAACAGTTGCAGGAGGTTGAATGGGGTAGCAAGCAATTGCATCCTTTTAAAAAAGACTTCTACATCCCTCATCCTACCATCACAAACCGATCTCCCTGTGAAGTTGATCAATTCCGTGATGGAAAAAAGATTACAGTAGAAGGCGAAAATATTCCAGCTCCAATTCAGAATTTTCATGAGGCAAACTTTCCGGATTATGTTATGGACGAAATCGTAGCTCAGGGCTATGAATACCCAACTTCTGTTCAGGCTCAGGGCTGGCCAATTGCTATGAGTGGGCGGGATATGGTGGGAATTGCCCAAACTGGATCTGGAAAAACGCTAGCATATATATTACCAGCTATTGTTCATATCAACAATCAAGCATCAGTGAGACGCGGTGAAGGTCCAATTGCTCTGATTTTGGCTCCAACAAGAGAATTAGCGCAACAAATACAAAAAGTCGCCAATGACTTTGGTCAGACCTCTCAAATTCGCAATTGTTGTGTATTTGGGGGTGCCTCAAAAATTCCACAGGCTCGCAATTTGGAAAGAGGAGTTGAAATTTGCATCGCGACTCCAGGCAGATTGATAGATTTTTTGGAGAGAGGCACAACAAATTTGGAAAGGTGCACCTATTTGGTGCTTGATGAAGCAGACCGTATGTTGGATATGGGCTTTGAACCGCAAATTCGCAAGATTATTAGCCAAATCAGGCCTGATAAACAAACACTGATGTGGTCTGCAACCTGGCCAAATGTAGTTAAAAAACTAGCTTCAGATTTTATGAAAAATTACGTTCAACTGAATGTCGGTTCCTTACAACTCTCTGCAAATCCCAACATCAATCAGATTGTTGATGTATGCCAAGAACATGAGAAAGAAAACAAGTGGGTTTTGGTCTGGTTGAGAATTTTAGTTTTATCAAGCAAATAATTTCAGATTGAGTCAGCTTTTGCAAGAGATTGGAGCAGAGCTGGAAGCGAAGATCTTGATTTTTGTGGAGACCAAAAAAAAGGTTGAGGCTATAACCGACACTATTAGGAGGACGGGTTGGCCAGCGATTTCAATCCATGGTAACAAGAGTCAACAAGAGCGTGACAACGTCATTCATCAATTCAGAAGTGGAAAGTCCGCAATTCTTGTAGCGACTGACGTCGCGGCAAGGGGCCTTGGTAAGCACAATAGGCATTTTTTTTTTCTCTCAATACCAAGTTAAATTGTGAAAAAATTGAGTAATTACAAAATTGAAAATATGTTAGTAGCATGTTTTGGATTTTCCAGACTGTTGTTGCATTTGAAAAATTATAATACAATACAATAATACTAGGATTTTGGGATATTTGACGATGTACAAGGTGTTTTGTGATAATTTATTTGCTGGTAAACTTTTTTTTTTTAAGAGAAAAAGAGTTTTTATAGAAAGTTTTATTGTTTTGATTTCTCTTGGTGTATGCTTTTTCTTTAAGATATCTCCATAAAGTGTCATCCTTGATCGTTGGTCATAGGCTCAACACTTTGAAGCTATTTTTTTTAAGACCAATCAAAATAAGTTAACAAATCAAACCAACCTTATATTTTTGAAAAAAGGAAAGACATCTTTCCGTGAAATAAAATACAGGGTGTCCCATTATGTAACTTTATATGAAGAAAACAATTTTTTTTTTGTTAAAAAAAACTGCAAAACTCATAAAAACTTTTTTTATCTCTTCAAATAAAAAAGTCTATAGGGTTGGCCAATTATGAGGAAACACCCAGAACATCACAAAATCATTGTTCGCTTAGGCTATCTTGAGAACCTGAAAAACCATAAACCATAAATGAGTCAACTCATGTCTTGTATCTTGTGAGTGTTTTGTGGTATTAAAACGTTAAAAATGTCTTTTGATTTGAAAACACAATCTCTACTTTTGGCAATGAAAATATATATTTTTTTAAAATCTGTCATATGTGCTAAACTTACATATACAACATCTATCAAAGGCCTTTCTAATATTGCAAGATTGCTTCTGCCCATTTCTCAAGAGGAAAGTTAATCCAACAATGCCAAACCTGGAAATTGGTGTCTTTAATGGTTCTCAAGCTACCCCATAGAGGACAATAATTTGGGATTTGGATATGCCTTCTCGCCTTTATCAAGATGATATACTAATCAGTCTGGTTGTTCCTTTTTTGTTTCAGAGGCACATGCAGGTTGAGCATGTTTTTTAACTATAGCCCACCCACTTATATGCATTTGCGCTAAAAAAAAAAAATGCAATTTAGTCTTGCCAGTGCCTCTTTACGACCAACAGGATTTTCATGGATAACTGGGTTACCTCTATTTCATCCCAATGTTTTCTTATTCCATACTTTCCTGTCTACACTATCCACCCTCACTAATCGGTAGAAGGCAACTCTGCGCTGGAATATGTTGGCAAGACGAAAAACTGTTGCTGTCGGCAAGAGTTTTCACTTCGTTCTGGTCAGCTTAATCTGTCGAAAGTGAAATTGCTGTGGTCCGTTGAAGCAGATAAATTTGCTACTAATTGCGTAGTTTACTCATGTGTTTTTTAAATTTCACAAAAGACACAGTTCACAACTTGACGGATTTTCGTTAGAAACTCGAGTTCCAGATGGTTAGTATATAGATATAGTATATATGCATTTGTTTGATTATTTCACATTGTAACGTATTATTTGCGCTAAAAGAAATGGGTGACATTCTTGCTTTCTTTATTTAAAATCTTCATTAATTTTTGTTCTTATTTAATTAGATGTAGAAGGTATAAAATATGTGGTCAACTATGACTACCCCCATTCTTCAGAGGATTATATACACAGAATTGGCAGAACTGGTAGGTCTGATACTACCGGTACGTCCTACGCGTTTTTCACACCATCAAACTTCAAGCACGCCAAAGATCTTGTCTCTATGCTGATGGAAACTAAACAGGTTTTTGATCGCAGCGTATGGAATGGGACCGTATGTGAATTTGCATTCCGTTTCAGTTTGTGAATCCCAAATTAAATGAAATTGCATCCAGGGCTAGTCGTTGGGGAGGTTACGGTGGAGTCCAAAAGCAGTTTCCTAGGTTCAATAACGGATTCCATTCAAACCAAGGATACTACCCCAAAAGTAAGAGATTGTTTTGAAAATTTCAAGATTTTGGTGCGAGTATTTTTTAAAAGATAAATGATGAGCATAATATATGAAAATTTCTGATTATTTCATAATTCCCTGTTAACCTCTAAGAAGAACTGATTTATTTCAATTTGAAAAATATAGCATTTCTTTAATTGTTCTTTCCATTAAAGGTATTTCTTTTTTCAGGTTATTAAGGGTTTCGATCATCTCACTGCATGTAAGTTAAACATTGCTTGATTTTTTTTTGTTTTATGTTTTTTATAATCAATAATATTTTTTAGGAGAATAACAGGGATTAGGATGGTCTGATCCCATTTTTGTTTTCCTTTACAAAATAATGAAAGATTGTATCTCACTTTAAAAAAAGTATTGTTTAAAATAATTACTATTTAGTTGTTAAGTTGGTTATTATATTTTTGTATTAATTTAATGAATGTTTGACTGTGATAGAATCAGATTCCTTCACTTTCTATGTATTTCACATAAAAAATAAAAATATATTCAGCAATTATTGCTTTTTATTTGCATTATAATAAATAATAAGCCCTAAAGCGTGTTAGTTTCCTCATACCAAAGAAGTCGTTTCTATTGGCGATTTTACAATTAAATGCTAGCTAATATGCTGGAACATCATTGGGGAATTGATCACCAAAAATGCTGCGATTGTAATTCACGGCAAGTGCTCTTCTGCATCCTAAAACTTTATAAAACAAATTTTCCATTGCAATAAACATTTTTTTTGTTTTAAATAACTAGAGAAACCCAGGAATTCTGAACTTCACTTCACACAGGTACTAAAATTCTTAGTTATCGCAACCATAGTTCTTTATGGAATTTTTCATCCATGTCCAATATTCATATTCAATTATAATATATAATAGTCTGCTATACTTTTATATACATTTTATCCTACTGTCAGAAGTGATATTGCTTTCATGAAAATTTTGAAACGCCAACACTCGCATCTATTGCTCTTACAATAAATAAAATTAAATTTTTTCTAGGGTAAAAGTATTTCGCTAACATCTTTGAAAATTTGATTTCATTTTAACCCATTATATTCGGTTTACGCGTTTTGATTAAAAAGTGAAATAGAAAAGCAAAGAGGGTATGAAGCTTTTTTGGATGGGAAATATTGGAATTTTTTATGAAACATGAAAGAGGTCGTTTATATAACTATAATTTTGATATTTTGTATAACCGAAACCCAGATTAAATATAACCTTTTAGAGTATAAACCAAAAATGTTGAATTCAAGATAACGTCAAAAAAATTATGTTATAATCCGTTAATAACCACTAAAGTCCTTTTTTCGGTGAACCAGGTGAAGTGGTGTGCACAATTTTACCTCAGTCTGAGAAAATTTTCATCTTTTTGGCGTAATTCTAGTCTTCATCTGAATTTTTCGGTCTGGGTGAGTTTTCTATTTAGTCAGCCGTAAATATTTGCTTTGGTTTGGTGTCGCAGTTCGCAATAATTTAGCGCTTTTCATATCATGGCATGTGCTTCGGGGGGTAAAGACCCCCCTGGTAGAAACGATCGTATCGTAGTTAATAGTCCGATCGTGTTCGCAAATGATTTTGATTCCTTTCAAGCACAACTAAACTTGTCCCAAGCTTCTACCTCCTCTAGCAGTGGTTATTCATCAGCCTTGACGCTTTCGCCTTTAGCTAAGAAAACAGCACATGCTATCGCCCAGGATCAATACTTCCTAGTACCCACTAAGGAGGAAATAGAGTTATTGGAGACAGAGTTACAAAAGCTTAAAACCGTCTTCGTGGAAGATCAGGATGTCCTAAACGAAATTCCAAGAATTTCAGTCAACATAAGGAGGACACTAAACCGAAAGTATAAATATGAACTTACAGACCAGGGACCATTCCTTATCATAATGGAGGGAATGACTTCTCAAGTTGGAAACATTCACCCGATGAATATTGGAAAAATCTTGCACAGAGCTGGAATACAAGGTATAACGAAAATCAATAGAAAAGGGGCTAATAAAAATGGAATTGAATTCAGAACATCAGAGTATGCTAATCAGTTTTTGTGAAATGAAAGTTTCAGTTCCGCTAGAGGCTATAATAGGTACATTCCACAACGTCTTGTCACTTGTAGAGGACTAATCAAGGATGTAGGGGACCAAATTACGGAAGAGGATTTTCACTCAGAAGCGGTAGCTTATAGAGGAGAAGGATCCCGGGCCAGGTCGATTAAGATATTAAATGTAAACAGAGTCTTAGGAAGGAAGAAAGTACTTGCTATTTCTGGCGAAACAGTAATGAAAACCATCCCCACAAACGATTATATTGTAACATTTGAAGGCAAATCATTACTCCAAATTGTAAATATTTTTAATAATGAAAGAGAAGTGAAAAAATATGTTAACCCGGTTATAATGTGCGTCAATTGTTGCAGATTTGGACATGTGAAAAATAATCGTAGAAGCAAGCCTCGTTGCGGTTTTTGTACAGAAGATCATCTTATGTTTGTTTGTGAAAAAAGAGAGCAAGCAATGAAAAAAATGAAATGTGTAAAATCCCAAATTGTGAAGTAAATCCAAAACCAAGCAGCGTAAATTGCAAGGGACACCACACTGCTAGTGACTGGGGATGTCCCGAATACAAACGACAAAAACAAATTAACGAAACCATGAGCTTCTACAACCTTTCTTTTTATGAAGCAGCTAAACTGCATCCGCGGCTAATTAATGCAAACCAAGGCTTTACCCGAAAACCAGAAGATTTTCCTAGTTTAAATAAAAAAACTCAGAGTAAAACTCCTCATCCAACAAGTCCCCATGGCGGTTCCTCATATACATCATACATACTTAACATACTTAAAAGAAAACGGCCTGATACCCATTTTATCAAAGGGTATGATAAAGTAGCCCATGAACTAACTTTGTTACCCTCAAGTGCAAAAAGAAAAGTCTCATCTATACAAGCAGGTGAAAACTTGACTTCAGAGCCGGAAATGGAAGTAACTCCTCTAGGAAATGGTTGGGAAGAAGTCTGCAACAAGTTTGAAGCTTTCAAAAAAGACGTCATGTCAATAAAAGGTATGGATGAAAATTGTGTCAACAATATGAAACAATATTTTGGTTCTTTTGACCTACGGTGGGGGGGCTGCTGCGATGGCAGCGGTTGACCAACAGGGGTTAGAAAAAGAAAAGGTAATCTTATTACTAGTTTTAATCTAACAGTAGTTTTTACGTAGCAAAACTAAGTTTAAGTTCTAGTCACAAGCGTTTTATAGTTGAGCTATAATGCATATCGTTCATTGGAACATTTGCGGGGCTGAAAAAATAAAGATGCTATCATTAGAGTTATAAGGGATTTTAAGCTACAGATCTTATTGCTCAATGAAACCTTGCTCAAACCCAACACTAACTTCAAAATATCAGGATTCTCTTCTGTAAGAGCTGATAAACCAAATGGTGCAGATGGTATAGCAATTTTCTTGAAAAACAAAATAAAATATAATATCATCGACTTAAGCAGAATCAATATACCAGAGAGGTGTCAGGTTATTCTTGCAGAGCTTGTCGATTTTTTTATTTGTTGTCGATTCAATTTTCGATCTAACCCGTAATAAACCAGTCCTCTTTACGGGAGACTTTAATACACATAATCCAATATGGGGTTCCCAGGTCAGTTACTCACGGGAAATTAGAAGTGGTAACATTCTTTATGATTTCATTAAGGATTACGATTTGTGGGTACTAAATGATTGATCAGCTACTCGGCTCACACGCCCAGGCGTACACAGCGCTCCAGATGTGGCTTTTTGCTCCCAGAGACTGTCTGGACTTACTGACTGCAGGGTTCTCCAGGATAGAGTGAATAGCGATCATTTTCCTATTTTGTGTATCATCGGAAATAACCGTTGCAACTCAGGTTCGACAAGAAACTACACTAGTAAATATAATTTCAACAAGGCAGACTGGGAGAAAATTTTCGATTTAATCTCCACGAAATTTAGAACTTTCACCTCCTATAAATTATGAGGATTTTATGAATATAATTTTCCTATCTATTGCAGAATCTGTTCCAATATATAAACACTCATTAAAATACGGGTTACCTTGGTGGGATAATAAGTGCACCAACGCCATTAAACGGAAAAGACAAGCATTCAGAGATTATAAAAGCCACCCCTCTGAGACCAACTTCCTGGAATCATTAAGGACCCGGGCACAAACAAGACAGCTGCTACGTAGGAAGAAAAAGGAAGGCTTTGTACAACTTTTGTGAGAATCTATCTCCAAATACTAGTGCAAAAGAAGTTTGGAGCAATATTAGAAGGTTTGCTAAAGGTACCAGGCACCAAAATTATCATTTTCCCTTGAACTTCTCAATCCTACAAAATATGTTTGATCTTTTGACGCAACCTCCCTCTATGTTGCGTACCATCCCCGAATGTCGCTTCTCATCTGCTGTTAAAGGTCGGAAGAGCAAGAGTCCCGGTGTGGATAAAGTACCTTTCAGTGTGCCATCTCCCTGTTGAAGGAGCAGACTTTCTTATCAAATTTTTCAACAAAATACTTCGGGGGGAAACCACCATTCCAAAGACGTGGAAAACCCAAATGGACCCCTCAGCGTTATCGTCCTACAGGCCCATCAACCTAGCTTCTTGCATAAGCAAAACTTTTGAAATTATGATCAAAAACCGACTGGAATGGTTCGTAGAGAACCAAGGTTTAATCGATGTTCGCCAAACTGGACTCAGAAAGGGTAAGAGAGCTTTCGACAATCTTGCAGTTATCTCCTCAGAGGTCCTCTGCAGTTTGGCTCGCAATCAACTAGCAGCAATGGTGACGCTGGACATATCCAATGCCTACGATAATATAAATGTTGACTTATTGACCTCGGTGCTGGCCAAAATTGGAATCGCCAGAGATTTGACTTTGCTCATTAAAGATTTTCTCACGAACAGAAAGATACAAGTTAAAGATCCGTCTACTAATACATTTGTGTCAGGCAGAACCACCAGCAAGCGAGTTCCCCTCTCTCCATTACTATTTAATATTTACATCAACATTCAACATTCAATTAAAGAAACAATGCCTGAGAACATAAGACTTTTACAGTTTGCGGACGATACCGCCTTGCTGAGTACTGGGACTGATGCCCAAAAAATAGTGAATAATTTGAATAGAACTTTGCAAAATATACATATTTGGTTTTTGAATGTAGGACTTGAGATTAACCCCAATAAATCTGCAGCTATATTTTTTCCAGGAAGAATTACAATGTTAATTATCTCCCCAGACTTCACTTCAACACTCGAACCATAGCATGGAGAAATTCCATCACTTATCTAGGAGTGATTTTTGATCCAAAACTGTCATGGAAGCCACAAATTAGAAATATGATACAGAAAGCTTCAGGTGGGTTGAATATGATGCGATTTATAAGTAGAATCTGGTGGGATCTAATCCCTCTACCCTTCTAACTTTTTACAAAGCTTATGTCAGACCCCATTTGGATTATGGAGCCTCTTTTTTAGGTGGTAGCTCAAGAAAGTCTATTGCTCAACTTAACAAAATTCAATTTGAGGCACTGAGAATAGCTCTGGGATATATGAAGTCCACACCTACTAACATACTTCTAGGGGAAGCAAGTGAAATGGATTTAGAACACAGAAGATACATGCTAGCGGCTAAATCATTATTGAAAGCCGCCAGTTTAGTGGACAGTGAAACCTTAGCTGCGGTTAGATGGTTATATATCACTTATAATGAACACTATTACTTTTTTCAGAAAAAGAGTATTCCTGCACTTGTGGACGCTTTTGAAAGAGTTGATTCACTGTTAGATACACTCTACAGGAGCCCAGTTTATTCCTGTTTTTCTCATCCACTGCCGAACCTTTTAAGCTCTGTTCAAATCCAAGACTTAAAACTAAAGAAAGATAATAATAACTCCAAATTATTTGAAATTAAGAAGAGCGAGACTTGGACCCCTGATTTTCATTTAATTTTTACAGACGCCTCAAAAGATAAAGAAGGCCGTGTAGGTTTTGGCCTTTACAACTACAATACGAACCTTAAAATGGGACAAGGCCTATCAAGTGAACTATCCATTTGCTCTGCCGAGATTTATGCTATTGTTAAGCTCTTGATTGGATTGAATTGAATGACATCAACAAAGCAGTCATCCTTTCAGACTCCAAAAGTGCCCTCGAAGATATCAATAAAACTGGGATGGATGCAAAGTCTAACTACCTAACCTCGCAGGTTAAGAAAAAAAACTATTTACCTTAATAAAAACGCAAAATAAGGACATCCAATTATGCTGGATACCAAGCCATACCAGTAAAAAAGAAAACGATATTGCTGACCAGATCGCCAATGCTGCACGCTTAGAACCACGGGAAAATATAAAATTGAGCTTTAGGGAATTCTTCCCTAAATTAAAGCATAACATCTGGAATGCTTGGAGCCACAGATGGAAACATATAGGATTAGGGAAAGGAGTTAATTTCACCTCACATTATTCTACTCCGCCAACTAAACCCTGGTTTCATAAGTAGACTGAGCAGCAACCATTGCTGTTCTCCGGCTCACCTAAATAGAATTAAAGTCAAACTCTCCGAATACTGTGAATGTGGAGAACTGGGCGAGTTAAGTCATGTGCTGTTTGACTGTGCTCTTCATTAGGAAAAATCACAACAGTTGTATGAGTCACTCATTAGTGCTAATTTTCCTTGGCCTCTGTATATTAATTCCATTTTATTTCGCCGCACTCAATTGAATTTTGCTGCTAGAATTGTTTGCCGCTTTTTAGATGCATGTGGATTAAAACTTTGAATATGGTTTTCACATTTTCTAATTCTTTGATCCATTATTTTTTTTGTATAGCCGTCCAGTAGGATGATGGTATCACCCAGACCCTCATTATGCAGGCATCCTTCATGGAAATAGTTTATTGCACATCACTACCGAGAAGCTGGCCGAATTGCCTTAGCAGCATTGGCCAAATAAAGCGTAATTAAAAAAAAAAAAAAAACTAAAAATTTCTACGAAATATTTAAATCTGGAAGTTGCAGCCAAGGATTCTAAGGATGTCCAATCAGCCTCCACAAATGGATCTTCCGCTAAACGAGAAACTTAAGCAATTGGATCATAATATTGGAAAACTGAACCAAGTAGTAGATCAGGCATTAAATATGGATCGAGAGAAACTAACGTTAAAAGAGAAAATAGATTTAGATTTGTTCGTCGCCTATACGTTAAATGCTATGTTTTGGACATATATAAAGACGTTAGGGTTGGATCCGACGAAAAACGAAGTGAAAAATCAACTTAATCGTGTCAAAGATTATATGGAAAAAGCAAAACAGGTAATTTATAATTTGTGCTCCCCTTAAGCTTTAATGTTTGTTTTTCAAGGCTCATGAGAGGCAAACAATACGACCAAAACTTGTTCAGAAAGTGGCCGCCAGATTCATCAAACATGGCATTAATAACAAGCAGTGATTGAAATATTCATTTTGACAAAGAAAAGTCAATTTCAATAATGTGATTAAACTTTTTTATATTATGTAGATTTGTTTTTGATATAGGTGAAATGGGGAAAAACCAAAGGTATGACTGCAAAGGAGACAAAGTTTAATTCGTAAAATGAGTCGAAAAACCTGAAGCCAACATAAACAAATATTTATGAATGCTGCGTCTTATGTGACTGATATTTTATTTATTTTATTTGAGATGGGAATGATTATAAACAGAGACACTGCGTTCCAGACATATATCCGAAGTTATTGACGGTCTGTTCATCATAAGGTGATTGATTAAGAATGAGATGTTGTCAATGTAGGTGCAGCTTACCTATGGAGACTGGTTATTCCTCATACTAAATGGCTCAAAACTATTTTGGACTACTCCTGAATCAATATAAATAAAACACTTCTCCAGTCTCAAAAAAAAATTCTCCAGTGCCATAATAAAATGGCTACGATAAAAACTGGTTTTTCATACTTTTAAAACTTTACATTAATGTAGTCATGTCTGCGAAATGAGGACGCACACAAATCACCGACAGATTGCCGGGATCTGTGTTACCGACAACATTCACAGAGTATAAAACTAAAATTACATTGCTACACCAGAAAAATTGCAGAGCAAAGCAGACTCAAATTTTTTATGTACTAATCCCATTCATGTATCGTTTGGGGGTCTCTGTCACATGGATATAATACCTTTACAAAAAAACACTTTTGATATCAAGGAACCAATAATGAAATACAAAAATATCTTAAAAGATTCATTTTATTACACCAAAGGAATAATACTAATCTAATTTGAAAGTTAACTACTTCCCTAATATATTCTTTGTTTCAGTCATATTACACAAAGTTTCATGACATCCAGAGTGCTCCCAAGTTTTCAAATGTTTTGCTCATCAACTGCCACAGACACTAAGAGCAATTCAAGCTAGAGATCACTTTCAAATATGCCAATTTAATATACCTTGGGAACATTCCGCACAAGAGCTTGCTTTAGTTAACAAGTATTGAAAAAAAATAATTATAATAATGCAAAACGAATACATGTAAATTGAAATAGTCCTTTTAAAATCAAACCTCGTATAATTCCTAAATGAGATATGGAATGAATAAATGACTAAAAGAAATTGAAATAATACCCTCAGTAACGCCCATTGAAGGGTCTCTGTATCCTTCCCCTGGTTCGCCTAGCCACCGACCTGGAATATTGGGGTGCGCCCCGGTTTCTCTCTGCAATAAAAAAATGAAATTTTGAATGTGACCAGTTTATTCCTGATATGCTTAAAATATATTGGGGGAAACAAGTTAAAAAGCATATTATGGACCAAGGATCAAGGAACTTTACCTTGTTGACGGCTAGGAGAAGCTCTTTGATTTTCCCACACAAGGTGTACTGGTCCAGACCTATGGCCTCTGGTAGGCAATGATAATCTCGTCGATCTTCTTGCAGAAGGGCCCGCTCCCCTCATTCTCGATTTTGAATTCGTGCTGGGAGATGCTTCAGCTTCGCGACCTTCTTCCTCACCTTCCTCAGTCGAAGGGGGCTTTTCACCCTCTGAACTAACTCCGTCCTCGGCTTCATTTTCGTCGACTTTTTCTGTCTGTTGTGCGCTATCGGATGAAGGTCCCGCCTGAGGCGGCGGTCCCATGCACTCCTCTGAGCTGCCTTCGCCGCGGTTTTCATCATCGGTGTCTGCATTTATCAGCGCCCCCGGCGTTTCCGCTGAAAATCAAATTTATAGCAAATGACACGTAGGGCAGAAAAAAAAATCCGGTTCATTATGCACAGCGTTTTATTACAAATACAAACATAAAGCACAAATTTAAATTAAGGTTGATTAAAGCAAACAAAAGAAAGGGCATAAAGAGGCTAAAAAAGTTTCAAATGTCAAAACAACTTGGGTGTAAATAGAATAAACCGTATAAAATATTTTCTGCCAGTTACAGATTTATTTATTGATATATTCAATGTGGAGAGCCTTGTGTGATCTTCTTTTCCTCACTTGGACAAGTCACTTGGGCGGAGCAATGTTCCTACGCTTCTCAACTTTGGAAAAGACAAAAGAACTGAATTAAAACTACAACTAAATTTATTTATCGAATAAGTTAATGCCCGGTAGACAAGATGCAATTTCTCCATGTACAGATAAAAATGCATGTATTTTTGACTGGTCAATTTTTGGTGGTAGGCACTGTACAATTTTTTTGAGTAAATTATGTGTGATTATTTTGGTGTAAAGTTGTTTTTTTTTTAACTTTTAACCCTTTAGTTTTTACTAAGGAGCGTTTTAATTATGCCTCAACTATATGTACACATTTTTTGACCACGTATTATAAACATGTAGGTAAGAAAAATCTAAATAATTAAACAAAAAATTTGGGTTAAATTGCAGTGTTTTTTTAAACAAATTGTAACCTGCTTATTGTCATTTTAAAAATAATAATATGTGGGAGACGACTCTTCTATCGCTAATGTGAAGCACTGAGCGATCAGTCTAGGAGAAAGCTGAGTTCTGTGGTGCAAACCGCTTGACTTCGTTCACTTACAGAATAATATTTAAGTTTTTATTAGAAACAATTCCATTTTCCTGCAGTTATTGGAATTTTCGTGAAGACGTCGACTTTCTAAAGAATAAGTCGAAGCTCTACAGTTACCTCCTGAATATTTTGTCCATTGCCTGAATCGATGTATAATTTCAAATAAAATAAAGAAAATTAAAGTTTTACGATCTCTTAGTCTCTCTAGTTTTTTCCTGTCACTTTACAATATACTAATAAACTCAGCTGCAGGATGGATTTAAACCTGTGGGTGCATGCAAAATTAAATTATAAGTTCCTTATATAGCTGAAGGTTTATCCATCATCACATTCGAACCGACCCTGTTATGTTCTAGTTCCATTTACATACCACTAATTAAGAACCCGGAGGTTGGTTCGACTAAGATATATCATTCATGTTAAAAAATTTTTATAGAACTAACTAAATATGTGGGCACTAGAACCCAAACGCAGCACACTAATTAATGCTTTTATGTACAAGTCCGGTGGGAGATTTTTTTCTTTTTAGAATGCATACATTATTTTGATTATATATTTTTGTGTAACAATGGTCTTTTCGGCATTTCCTGAAACAATCCAGAAGGAATATAACATTCAAGAAAATTTTTCTCAAATTGTTTTTTCGAATTAAAAATCTGGTCTAAGTAAACGCCTACATATTTAATATGACTTACTTTTAGAATTGTACTTTCACATACACAGTTTCTAGCAAAGTTTGATGCATTATTCTGTGTAAGACTTAAAGATATACATTTTGTTTTATTCAGATTAAGGGGTAATAGACTAAAATCAAAATATTTATTTTATTTTTGTAATAGTTTGCTCTGTTTTTTGAACAGTAACATCCTAACTATCCCCACCTATGATTGAGGCAGCGCATCATCTGCGAAATAAAACATACAATTCTGCTAAATTAATATTGAATTTTTAATATTTATAGTAAATATTTACATTTTACCTGGACGTTAAAACTATAAGTTAATGTAAACAAACGCATTGCGCCGATTTTTAGGCACTATTTCCAAATTACTTTGTGAATAAATATAGCTGTTGATTTTATATGATAAATTTCTGGTATCCTAAGTTGCGTCATGTCTACCTGGCTTAATGGTGCAATTCCATAGCGGAATGAAAGCATCCAGAAGCAATATGCGAGTGATGTTGAGCAATTAAGTATGAACGATGTTACCAAAGTTTTGGGAATTTCGCTATAACTTTTATTATTTTGACAATTTTCATCAATATTACAATGTAGGTTTCCAACATAATCTCCATTTCACTGAATATGATAAACTAATTTTTTGAAGATCTCCTCAAAGAACTTTTTTTGTGCCTCGTCAATTGACATTATTGTTAGAGATAACAATAATGTCAATATTCTTTATTCCCGATAAAGTCAAAATATGATAAAACAATGCACCACAAATACTAAGTACCCTACTTAGAAGGAAACATAATCGAGTGTGTAGATACAATAAAATTTTTAAGACTTGTTTTTGATAGCAGACTTATCTGGCAAAAACAAATGAGGAAACTCACCATAAAGTGTAATCATACACAAAATGGGGAGCCGATCCGAAAAGTTTACTTCAAATCTACAAAGCCATCATCCTGTCATTAATTGACTATGGTATTATTTATTCATCTGCGAGAAAAAGCTTGCGGGATCTACGACATCGTATTCAAAATTTGGGAATTAGATATTGCCTGGGTGCTTTTCCCAGAACACCTGTGCAGATCCCCTACTGTGGATCTGAATTGTATGTAACACCTTGCTTGGAAAAACAATACCAAAAGTAACGGGAACATATGAGCGCACAGATCTCCTCAGACTGGAATCAGTAAGAGCTTTTAGAATGTCTATAGGATACACAACCCTTACTCACAAACACCTCCTTAACGGTGAACCTCGTCCTAAATGTGACGTAAATTTGACAGTCGTTGACATAATCGGTGAATCTCCAATATATGGGTGATGAATGCCACGTTTTGCTTAAATGGTACGGTAAATAAAGAAAATTGTAGATATTGGAGTACAAATAATCCCAGATCCTCCACAAAAAATAAATGTTTGGACAGAGATTTTGAATAATGAAATTATTGAACCTTATTTAGTTCCATCAAAATCTTACTGACTTAATTCCTACTTTCGCAGTTTTCTTTCCCAAATCAAAAGCAGCCTGATATGCCAGATAAACAGATTTAGTTTTGGTTACTTTGATGATCTAAATCTAAAAAATTAAATTAGATATGAAATAAATCAAATTAATGAAAATATTCTGCTATGTTTTGGAAGAGTTTTCAAAACTGATTAGTAGATTGTCTAGAAGTTAATGGTTAAGTTTCAAAACCTAATCAAATCTTTAATATGCTCTGTTCCTATCAATTTCCCCCTAATTTTACCTACTGTGGATATTGTGGATATTTTGCGTTAGACAAATTACAAACTTCTTCTTGAGTTCTCGTTTTGTCTCCATATCTAATATAAATCAAAATTTCAATTATTTGGATTTTACTTAGATACTGAAAGAAATGTAATTGTGACAATTTAAGAACTTTACGGTACTAGCTACTTACCTATTGATTTCCAAATTAAATTTCTGTTGTTCATTCTTTTCCTCATGAAATGTAAGAGATAGGTATAGGATATGGATTTAAAAAAGTCGTGTTCCATTTAAAAAAAGGAACTTTGTATCGACATCCACTTTTTGACCCACCCTGTATATTTCAAAAAATACGCAAGAAAAATTATGATGGACGTGTGGGAGCTTTTTTTTCGAAATCAAATACCTGAGTTTGTTCCATATTTTAGCTGTTAACTGTATACTATATACTAACCTACTACACCATAAAACTATTTCGGATTACCGTCCTCGATGTTAGTGGTACTTGGGTAAAATTTAACTCCTGTCTAATTCATACAACTATTTACCTTACTTAATTACACACTTTTGCTACTTCTTTATAACCAATTTTTAGTTATAGTTTTATAGACGAGTAAAATTGTCATTTTCATAAATATACTGTTATCATCGAAATAAATAAGAACTAAAAATTCAGATTTTTACGAAATTATATATTTTGACATGAATTGTTCCGACAACACCGTGTCTTTATCAAATCTTATCAACATTTGATGTCGAAACAATTGTCATGTCAAAATATATAATTTGAATAATCTGAACTTTTAGTTCTTATTTATTTTGATAAATTGATTTTCATCAAGTAAAAGTAAAAAAAAATATTATCATCGAATATATCAGCCTTTCATAAACGTATTTCATAAATTCCTTTTTTAATCTTTTTAGAATGGACAAGTTAGGAAAACGGCCATCTCTTTTTGCGGCTTTGGTCAGATTGTAAATGGTATGACGCCAAAATAGGTTCCATCAATCCTGTAACATCTGATACTGTACTGCGTTTATTGACTTTGAGCACGTGGCGTTTATTGACTTTGAGCACGTGCTCAAATAAAATAATAATGGAGCATTCATAACACTTGTTTTCGGGTTTCATCCGGAAAATGGAAGAACTATTCTAAATACACAGACCGCCTGATAAGCGAGGCCTGGAAAAGGGACAAGTTACATCTCATGTCCCAGTATTTTTTTTATGATGACTAGTTTTTGCTTTTTTGCTATTTGCGTTATGCGTTTTTGTTGTTTTTGTTACAGAAGCATTGGAAGTATTTCAGAAATAAATCTATCTAATTGATATTTGTAGGTTTTTTCATAAATTTAATGTGTTTTATTTTGTCCGTTCGTATAAATACGCCACTGAACCAAGTTGCAATAATCTCAATATAATAAAATAATATGTACCTAAGTACGACTGGTTTCATAAAAAAACTGATACGATTCTAAAAGCATTTTTTTTTCAAAGTTTTGAGCAATATATTACAGGCCACTACGTTGTTGTCATGCAAACTTCATTGTTTTCACATATCTAATACTGTCACTGTAAAAAAAAATGTCAGCGTTGTTACAAATACGTTAGAAAATAAAAGAAAGCTTAAAATCGTTCCACATAAAAGCAAAGCTTTAAAAGCAAGAAGTGTGAACAAGTTGGAAGATGGTGGGTCCTTATCAGCGGTAGCTCAACATTTTAATGTAAGCAGAACCTTTTTTAGCATAGTCGAGAATAGCCCGTTCTGAAGGGCAAAGAACACAAGATTTCTATCGGAATTTCCAGGCAGTAAAACCACAGTTTGTCGAACAATTAAGGCATCGTACCTCAAGTGCCGGATTGCGGCAAAAAAGACCGCACTCACTCATCGAGTCATATTTTCCGATGAAAAGATCTTCCAGTCTTCCAAAACATGTAAAATCAAAGTGTACACACCAGACAACCAGTATTTCAACCCTCGATTTGTCGACAGGTACAGAACTGAGGATTGAGGGGACATTTCTGGCTCAAATTTATGCCGAAATATTGCAGAAAGCTATGGCTCCCAGCTTTATCTGGAAATTAATTAAATTTTCCAACAAGACAATTGCCTTGTCCTCACTGCAAACATCGTTACACCATGGCTCCAAAATGCAAACATTGAAATCTGAATAATGGTGAAATACCTGCATTGAAGAAATTTTATGACTCAAAACAGCAAGGATCTATGGCAAGGTATTCAGGAAGTATGGGAACAATTGTGGCTCGAAGAAAACTTCATAACTCCTTTCATGACCATGAGCCGAAGACTTAAAGCTGTGATGGAGAATGCTCAAAATGTTGAATTTCTTTCAAGTGTTGTTTATGTTTTTTCTTACAATTCTTGCATTTACCCAAAACTAATTATTTTCATTATTATTTAAAAGTTAAAAATTATCTTTTTATTTTTAAAATAAATAGATAAATAATAAATAATAAAAGATAATAAATAGATTACTTTAGATGTTTTTTAATGATAAAACTTACGAGAACAACCAATGGTAAATAATAAAATTGAACAAAATACTGCATATTCTAATACCTATATAATATAGGCCAATTATACATTTTTTGAACATGAATTTCTAGTAGGTTCTACCATTTGACTAACTCACTACAATTACTAACATTCACGTTGCAAAAACCCTTTCAAAATAGAATTTAAATTTAGTTATTGCGATTGCATATCCAAACTAATCAATTAATTAAAATCGGAACGCATCCAAAAATGGCAGCAATATAGCTAAGACATACGGATAATTTTTGATTACGTCACTACATGTGATGTAACTGCTCAACTGATCTGACTGAAGTTTACATTTCAAAAGAGGGGCATAGTTGGTTAAGTTGAGTAGTTCAGGAGCAAGGGATACCCAGACTTTATGATCGAAAAAATACTCATTTTAAATTTGAAGAAAGGATATTTACATCACGCTCAATACCGCTCAATATATCGGGTGTCCCAATCAATGACGTACGGTATTGGGAAAACTGATGTTCCTAAAAATATGAAAAAAGAAAACGTATTAAGTAAATCGGCCAAGAGAAAATGCTAGAAATTATTTTTGAGATTCCGAAATGGCCATGTTGGATTAGAGTGAACACTGTTTTAAAGCTGAGACAAATTCAATTCCTTTTTGTTAGATGCTAATGAGAAAGTGGTGGGGATGCTCCAACATTTCCAGAAATAAATGTCCATAACTCGAAAATGACTCAATGGATTTTAATAGGCTTGGAGTCGTTAAAAAGGGCTTTTCGTAGGCTATGAAACGTGCGATGATTTGCATTGCCACCAGATGGCGTTTTAAATTAAATTAAATGCAACGATATGAATGTTTTTGTCACTACATAGTTGCTTTGTTGATAGTTGGTTAGATGGTTGCATAAACGCGCCAAGACGTGTTTGGCACCAATAATAAGTTCCGCAAACTTTAATTATAGCCCAATTCCCACAACTTTGGAAAAGTCCCTCATAGATGTCAGTTAAATTTTTGGACAACACTCACCATCGGATTGTGTTGACGCGCCAGCCCTTTCCGCATCTTCGGAACCGCCTGTTATCGATTCCTGGGGCGACGACTGCAACGGCGTCGTCGGCACGCTACGTCCAGTGCCTGAAACAAAGGTCAATTATTAAAACAATCCCGAACCGTACGACCGTTTCACATACTGTTGTCATCGGGTTGGTTAACCTCTAGGGTTTGTTCGGGCACCGCTTCGGAAGCGGCGCCGCCCGACGGGCCGGCCACCAACGGAGATTCGTTGAAAGTGAACCGTCCTGGTGCGCTTGACGGCACATGAGGCGAGCTAATGGCCTCGCCGAACCCGTCGGAACGGCGTGGAACAAAAAGGGTGGGGGTGGACGGTACGATGCCGTCATCGAGCCCGGCGTCGTCTAAAATGCTGCCCAATTGCCGATAAGGCAGGGGAGCGACCAAACGGGATCTAGAATGGGGCGGGGTAGTCGTAAAGGCGGAAGTCGACGCTTGCGAGATCGTTACCCTGCCGGAACTTCCTGCAGATTCATTAGAATTTTTGTGATACTTTTATAATCGTTGCAAATTATTTTTTAGAAAATTTGATGTGTCTAGTAATTTTGCATCTGTTTTGCTTTTTAAAACGCTTAAAAGAAGCTTAGAGGATTAGTCAAAAGTTGCGCAACGGCCATACCGGGTGATGCATTGAAGGGGCCGGTATAATTTAGTCATGTGCCAAGTTTGAATAAATTTTAATGAACCAATCTTCAGTTACTAAATTAAACATGATGGCAAAATTTCAAAAGGCCAATACAACAAACACCAGCGAATATTTTCCATGACGCTATTTCCAAAGCTTGAAAACATCAAGCTGGTTAATGACATATCATATAAAGGTTGGTTTCACACATTCAAAATAAACTGAGGATGTAGGTATATCATTGTTTTTCTTAGGATCAAACTCATACTCGGTTCTTAAGACCTTCTTGTCCCTTAAAGCTTTCTTCGAGTGACTTTCATTTAAAGGACAGTTTAAGCAACAAGGAAGCTTCAAGAAACAACTACATATTTGACACTTAAGTGTTGTATTTAAAATAATTAATAATTATTATAAATATACAGCTACAAAACATTGCTAAAATGAAACATTATTTTTAAGCCAATGTTCTAATAACCCTCCATTATCAATTTAACAATATTCTAAGCGCTCATAAAATTCATTTCTAACATTGCTTAGAAATCCTGTCCCATTCTAAGGAAATAGCGTTTTGTAACTAGTTAAGATTTTCAAATTTAACATTTTTATAGATAACACTTTTTAAGTAACCCCACAGAAAGAAGTCGTTCAGTGAGAGGTCAGATGACCTGAGTATTTCCATTAAAAGCATTTCCCAAATACTCCCTGATCATACGGGAATTATGGGTAGGACAACCATCCATCTGGTACCAGCTCTCCCGATCTTCGCGAACAACTTCTAGTGGGCGTTCAATTTGATTTTGTAATATGTCCAAATAATCCAAATCCCTATCCTTTGCTTTTTTGCATCATTTCAAATAAAATGCTACTCTTTTTTCTTCATCGCTTCCCCGTAGTTCTTGGTGCTTTTCGTATTTATAGGAAAAATATTCATGTTTTTTTAATGAGCGCAACACTATGGTATGATGTTTATTTAGAACTTGTCCAAGAATCCTCGTACTCATCATTTTGTTTTCCTCCACATGCAGTAAAATGTTCAAGTCTCTATTGTCCCTTTCTTTTACTCTATGATCAACATTTTCTGGTGGACATTTGAAGTTAGTTATTACAGTGCCTTTGGACTCGCGTTGTGTAATAATACGTTTCCTGCATAATACTACTTAATTATGGTTAGTTTTTGTTCAATTCAATAACGCATATTTAGCTTTAATTAAAGCGCATTTAATAACATATAACAATCACAAATAAAAATATTGTTACTGTCACGAATTTTCGTGTTGCCATTGTCAAAATGAGTTTTACTGGTTTTAAAGCAAATAGGAGGGCTAAATGGGATCAAAGGGGACTAGGTGTATTTAAGTCCTGAATGCACATTCCAGAAAAAAAAAACTTTCATCGAATCTAAGAAAAATTTCAACAAACATTCAGCCTAGCCAGAAAAAAGAGAACCTTGGAAAGAGATGAAAAAAGGGTTGTTTTGCCATACCATGTCAGAAAAAATTAACGTAAATGATGCTTATTTAAAAAATGTTTTTTGGACCGATCAGTCATCGTTTTCACCCAGTGGTATGATAAATCGAAAAAACAGCACAACGGTAACCCCGCATGGCTATAGGGAATTTCAATTTCAAGGACGTCAAGCTGTAAATGTATGATGTTCTATTTTAAACAGATGAATAGGTCCTTCGACGTTACTTTTAATAGTAATGGTTATCTAAATTTCCTTCAGAACAAATTAGAAAACTATATGGATGAGCTCCCAACTAATGAACTTCGTCTTTCAACAACATATTGTTTAAATTTCTATGGGTTCTTGGATTTTTCGTTGGTAGATTAGCAAGAATTTAAATTTTATTGAATATGATTTGATGTCCAGTTTTATGATTGCATATGCATGGAATGCTCTAAACTCCTGGTACCCCAAACGAAATTTTACCTTCGGAGATGTTGAGAGATTATATTTTTTAAGATCTTTTGATATGTGCTTATATCCAAGACTCTATAGAAATTTAGAAGCAACCAATGACACAGGTCTTTAACTTTCACCAGTATGAGCCAATGTTTATGCCCCTCCTTTAGTTCCGCCTTCCTCAAACAATATATAAGCAGGTACAGAGAATACGAGCCAGTTTCCGCTAAGCTCTGAAGAAACCAATATGATGATTGGCGAAACGTCAGCAAGTTCGATTTATCAACAACGGATGCAGGAACAATACAGATTTGTGAATAGTATTACAGTATCCCGGGGAAGTTTCTTTAAAAAATTAAAGACTTCTCATGCTTTTTAACTCTGGACGATTGTTGTATTAAAATATGTTTATTACTCACCATCAGTTCCGCTGCTTATGGCTTCCGATTGGGCCTGTTGTTCGCTATTTTCCCCTTGAAGGTTTTCACTCCGATTTGGCACTTCACTTGAATCTTCAATCACTTCCACCTCATTGCCGCCTTCCTCTTCGTCCTCTACCTCCTGGCAATCTGCATCCTCATAATTGTCCTGTTCCATGACCTCCATGTCATATCCTTCAGTATCGTCTGGATCATCTTGATCATCGTCGGCCCCTTCACCTTCATCAGCGCCTCCTTCATCGTCGCTTTCAACTACAATGACATTGTCGTCGTCGTGATCCCTCTGACTGCTCGTCGGTACTTGATATTCAACTTCCAGTCCGCTGTCGCTAACGGTTCCCGCTTGCTGCATCCTTGTTCTCTTGTTTTGCTGTTGCATTTTAGATTGTTCTTCCGCTTGCGAACTGTCAGTGTCCGAATCCCTTTGCCTTTTCAGTCCCGCTTGCGTGGTCGTCACCGTATTCGAACTACTAGAGCTAGTTCCCTGCTCTTGAGTAAGGCCGCATCCGCTTGATGGATTCTCCACGCGCGGGGACACTAATGCCACAGCTTGTTGTTGAGGAGCAGCTTGGATCTACAAAAAGTTCTTTTGCTTAATTATACAATATATGTAGTAATTCAGTTTTCTTTCTTATCAATTGTTTTCACCAAATTTGGATAGTAAAAAAGTCTAGGTGGTAATAGCAGGTTTTTCTTGTTGCCACTGACAGATAAGGCAAAAAGTTTTTGCATTCCTGTTGAAAACAGTTAATTTCTTCAGTAATTTTTTTGTTTAACGCTGTTTTTCTAGTGACAATTCGTTACCCCAAATACCATTTTAGTAGAAGTTGGAAGAAGTTAATAACCCCTAAATCATACACGACAAACAAAGCCTATAAGTTGTGATGGTAGCAGCTACAGTGCTGCTTTTTAGCTAGCCCTCAATTAAAGAATCATATAAGCGTTACTTTTTCTCACGACTTGCAAAATAAAATTAATTTCCTCAAAAATTCTATAAATCTGTAATAGTAAATAAACGGACTGAAACCGAAAAAAAATTGCACTACTCGAATGTAATTAGGCAAGCAGAAAATAAAAATAAAAAGATCAAGGGAATTGATTTACGAAAAATTGAAGAAACAAAAAAGTCCAGCAAAAATGAATTTACAAATAAATGGCACATTAATTATCAACTTGAAATAGGAAATAATTTCGGAAACTATTTTGCCATTTCAGTAAAAAACAAAATAAAAACGCATAAAATAAAATACATAAAAATAAAGACAACTTTCAAAGAACAGTCTTTTAGAAAGGTAGTCCCAAAAAAATATCGAAAAAAAAATCGTATTCTGTGATAAGATCTCTTTTTTTACAGTTTCAAAAATATAGAGTTTGTATAACGTATTTTGAAAGGTTTTAAAAAAATATATTTTTTAAAATATTAAATTGTTTTAATGGATTTGATACGTTTCGCGAGGAAAGAGACATTACTTTGATTACAATTGCAAATTCAATCTTGTTTTATTGCAAAAAATAGTGTTAAATCATTATAACAAACAACAAAAACTAGAAATTATGTATTTTTTAAAAATAATGACAACATATGTCAAGCAAGAAGAGAATACAGGAAATTACTTAGGGGACCTGTGCCGTCATGAAGCACATTCAGATATAGAAAATTAAATAAGGGAAAAAAATCTTTAAATAGAAAACCGCGGATCGTTAGAGTCCAGTATTTTTCTTTAAAGGTATGAACTATTTTTATTTATTTATTATTATATGACAAAAATTCTCTAGCAGTATCTGACGGATTGATTGTTATCTTTTTTGGCTTTTTTGGCAATTATGAAAAAATCAGTATTGAGGGTGTCGGTATGTAACTACAAACCTGGATAAAAACAAAAAATATCTTGGGTATTCCTTGACTTATCTAAAGCAAAATAAATAAGAACTAAAAGTTCAGATTTTCACGAAATTATATATTATGACATGACAATTGTTTCGACAACACGATAACGATAACGGAGGGATTTTACGTCTTTTGGCCCTGGTGAGCCTCTTGGCCATGTCCCAGGGCCCGCGATCCTCGTTATTTATTTGCTGCAGGCGCTGTTGCCAGAGCTGGTCCTTGATCAGTCGGGAGAGTTGATTCGCCTCCCGCTTGATCGAAGGATCGAGGGTCGCTCTGGCTCTCCTGAGCTTTTGGTTACGGAGCCTGACAAGAGCTCAAGTTCTGGCCCGAGCCTTTGTACCGGGGGTGGCTTGGTCCTGCTTGTCGTGGCCCTGTCCATGGCCGAGACGATGTCGTCCGTCAGTTTCTCGACGGCTGCAAACTACCCGCTACTATATATACCGAAAAATGGCTATAAAACCTTAATTAATGTTGTTGTGAGAATTTAAGTTCAATAAGGGAGAGGTATTTAAATCTAATTGATCGTTAAGCAATACATTTGAATGTCTCATTTTGTTAATCTCCATGGCTTCCAATAAATTTATTTTCTACTTTTTGTGGCTGTATGTAAAATATGAAAATTGTCCTCAAAAATGTGTTTTTCTGGGTTTAAGTGTGTAGCATAATTAGAATCTAAACTATTGTTTTTAAACGCTCTTATATGTTCGTTAATGCGTTTCTTGAAGGATCTACCTGTTTGTCCAATATAAATTTTAGGACAAGATCCACATTTCAACCTGTAGACACCTGATTTTTGGGATTTTGGACATTTCGTTTTATTGTTTTTTAAATATTTTCCTATTGTGTTGTTAGTTCTGAAAGCTATTTTTAAACCACATTTTGACAAATGTTTTGAAACTTTCGCTAGGTTCTCCTAAGTATGTAATTGTTTTAAATTGTTCGTCTTCTGTATTTGGTTTCGGATAAATAGAGTTTACTATTGTCTGTATTTGTTTTTTATTTATAATTTTATCTATAATGAACGGATTATAGCCGTTGTTCAGTGCAATTTGTTTAATGATATTAAGTTCTTTGTTGTAATTTTCTGTCGAGAGTGGCGTATTAAGAAGTTTGTGTATAATAGAGTTAAATGCAGCCATTTTATGTGTATAAGGGTGATTTGACTGTGTCCGTGTGTGAAGGTTTATGATATATTGAAAAATCTAATTTGTTTTGCGCTTTTGTAAAAGTTAAGTCTAAAAAATTAATAGAGTTATCCTGTTCAATCTCGATATTGAATTTTATACGATTATGTAATGAATTAATGTAATTTAAAAAAGAATTCAATTGTCTGTCCGTTCCAACAAAGCAAGCCAAGATATCATCCACGTATCTATACCACCATAAAAAAACTTTTACTTAAAGGATGTTCTAGTATATTTTCCAAATTATCCATAAAAATCTCGGCTAACAAAGGACTAAGTGGGTTTCCCATAATCAAACCTTCTTTACAGATATAAATCTGTCCATTAAATTCAAAATAATTTTGGTCTAAAGATACTATTAAGCAATCTAATAAATCTTGTTTCACCAATGGGTTAACCTGTTTCCGAGTTAGGGTAAAACCTACTAAATCTATCACATCCATAGGTGGCATACTGGAAAATAAGTTTTGTACATCAAAAGACAATAGTGTTGCGTTAGAAGGGATTTTTATATCTTTAATTTTGTTAATTAGTTCAAAAGAATTTTTTATTGCAAATTTTGGTTTAAAATCTGTGCGGAACTTTAAAATATTTACTAATTTTGTAGAGACTTTAACTGCTGGAGCTGTTCCATAAGACACCACTGGTCTAATGGGCATATCTTGTTTATGTAATTTAACTAAAGAATATAATTTAGGCGGTTGTGGACTCATAATTGTTAAAAAATATTTGACTTTGTCACTAAATAGTGTGGAGCTAGTAATTACATCCTTGACTTGTCTTTGATATAACTCTGTAGGTTCGTGTTTGGTACATTGGAAAAGTTCTGGTTTAAGAAAATTGTTGGTTTTTGAAATATATTCTGGGAGATCGATAGCTATGACTGTCTTCCCTTTATCTGCACGTGTAAATATTATGTTATTTTCAGAAGCTTTGTTTTTGATAGTTTTAACTAGTGACATTTGAGAAATTTCTTTGTGTTTGTTGTTATCGATTAATTGAGAGTTTATTAAATTAGAATCGTTAATGTCCTTAATTGCTAATTCACAATCGATCCCAAAACAGTCTAATTCTCTATTAATGTACGAGTGTTTTAAGTTAAAGTTGAAACCTTTTTCCAGAAATTCAACTTCACTTTTGGAAAATGTTGTGTCTGTTAAGTTTATGAACCTGTTGTAAAATTGATGGTCGGTCTACTTTAATAACTGGCTTGCTTTCAGCTATTTTTGAATTAGAAATTAATTTGTCTAACTTAAGTTTTTGTCTAATAAACTTTTTATGAATGATAGATGAAATGTCTGTTCGAACTTTGTAATAAAATGTGTCAAATTCTATGGGATTAAGTCTATGAGACAATTCAGAATGTATTACCTTTACATAAATGTTGTTTGAATCCCGTTTTCTATACTCGTGTCTTCGTTCTTCCTTCATCCATTTCGTCTGGCCTTGGATCTGGGCTTTCCTTGCAGCGGGACTTCTGTTGTTGGTTTTTAATTTTATGTATTTGGGAAAAACCTTATTTTGCAGACATTTGTTAAAAAACCAAATGTTTTGGGAACATATTCGGCAACGTAGAAGCAAATTATCTAAAGCATCTGATACGGTTTTGCACCCAATTTTATTCCAGGTATTGGAGAACTATGGTACCAAAAATACATCTAAACTTTTACAGAATTACCTAACAGATCGGGTACAGTATACTGATTATTAACGAACCAAATATAAGACTTGTAATGCCACAAAGTAGAGTATTTGGCCCACTGTTTTATAACGTCTATAAATGTTTTAAACCTTTGGGGCAGAATAGTGTCATATGCAGACAATACAGCCACAGTATTTGTATGTGTACATGGCAAAAGCAACAACTGAATTAGAAGAAGTTTTATCTAGTGATTAAACATTTTTTAGACTCGTTTAAATTATTTTTAAATGCGAAAAAATTCAAATACCTATCAATGACGCAAATAGACTGAACTATCAAAATATCAGTGTTAACAATATTGTCGACCCTATTGAACTCGTATTTTTAGGTCCAATATATAACCTACCTTTTACCAAATGATATCAAGCAAAATAAAGGTGTTGTTTTGTAAAAATGTATCCAAAAACCAACGGTTATAGAAAAAGTATGGTATCCAATACACATAGTAAACTTTTTAAGTCACTTGTTTCTTAAACCCTCGCTCCGTTGCGCTACAATTTTTTTCTAATTTAACCATCCCTTTAACTCCTTATCTTGGACGGACTGTATATAACAATCCTTACCTGTATGTTGCTGTCATCATCTTCAGTATCTTGGGATGACTGTGTAGGAGGAACTGCTACCTGTCTAGGTCCAAGCATTGTAGAACTGGCAGAGCTAGTGGCCGGTACATAGTCGGTATGGGATGATGTAGGGCTACTAGACAGGGCCTCCACAGAGCCTGAACCAGTGGTATGAACCTGCAAAGATGTCTTCATCAACATAACACATTTTTTGATCTAAAAGGCTACCTGTTGTTGCGGTGGCACCATAACTGCACTTGGCGTCTGAGTAGTTGGTAACACTGCTGCAGTTCGTAGCTGCTGAGACATGGGTCTAATGCTGGCTAGCGGAGGCTCCCCCCCACTTCGCCAGGGTTGAATAGGAATTGATTGTGTTTGAGTATTAGTAGAATGTCCTATACATGAAAATCATATTGAATTTAGGATCTAAGATGGGGAAAACAATTTTACTCACCTGCCATTGGCTTAATGTCTGCGGTGGGCCTTTCGGTAGAAGTCTTGTCGGAGGATGCCGAACTTGTGCTAGGTTTTGAACCCTGCTGCTGACCTAGTTGTCTTTGCAGCTGATTAATTCTCTGATTTAGGGATTCAATTTCTAATGTGTGTTTTTCCTTATCTTGTTGCATAGTTTCCATAATATCTTCCTTTTCTCTTTCAAGGGAAGCAATTTTTCCTAATAATTCATTAATTCGGCACCTGTCATTTTCAGACTGTTCAGTGCTCGTTCCGGCCTTGTCATGTTTTGTTAATTCCTCTCTAAGGTTATTATTCTGCTCAGTTAAACTCACAATCCTATCCTTGGCATTTTTGAACAAAGTCTTGAACTTTTCATCTTTCTCTTGGTTAGTTTGCTTAAGAGTTTCAATTTCCTTTTTGAGATTATCAACTTGCTCTTGACTACTCACCGCCTGTTGATTTAACTGTTCTACCGCTTCCCTGTGAGTCGTTTCGAGCTGTGATATTCTCTCTTCATGCTCAGATCTCTGCTGCTCCATCAGTTGATTTTGTTTTTCTGCATTGGTATTTTGCTCGCTTTCTTTTTGTTCATTCTGCTGTTTAAGTGACTCGATATCCTTAACCTGGGTCTCATACTGATTTTTGTATTTCTTGGCTATCTTTTTCACTTGCGCTAGGTTATTTTTTAGTTCTTGGATGGTGATCTCTTTGCTAACACTGTCTTCCATGAGAATTTTGTACTTTTCTGTTAACTCATTGTGGGTCTGGGTTTGCATCTCCACTTGTTGGGTTAATTCTGACACTTGGTTCTGCAAGGTGCTTACTTCACTTCTCAATTTGCTAATTTCTTCCATTTGATTGTTGTTTTTATCTCTTAGCACCTTCAGCTGTTCCTCCAACTTAATCTTATCTTGTTTCAGAGTGTTGTTTTCATCATTTAATTTAACATTATTGGATCTCTCAATGGTCAGCTGCTTGGCTAAAGTTTCCCGTTCTGTTTGCAGTTTCTTCCAATCTTCTGGGCTAGTTCGATTTGTTCTTTCTATTAACTGATTAGCTCTCTGCCTCCACCTGGTACATTCGGCACGCAGTGATATATTTTCCGACTGCATCTGATCAGCCTTTGTCATCAGATCACGATTTCTTTCTTGCAAAGGAGCAGTCTCAGTTTCTAATTTCTCTGTTCGCTCTCTGAGCTCAGTAATTTCGGAAAGAAGGCTGTCTCGTTCTTGCCTCAGTGCCCTATTACTGTCAGTAATAGCATTGAGAGTTTCGAGTTTCCTCAACACCTTAGAGTGTTTGGCAGCAGACACAACTGACACTTCAGTTTTTTGCCTCTCCACTTCAATTTGAGTTTGAGCCTCTTCAAGCTGCTTACTCACAGTCTCAAACTGGGCTTTAAGTCGGAAATGCTCTGCTTCTATAATATCGGCTTTGCTGACAGCTATGTCCTTTTCTTGTCTCAGATATTTAATAACTTTTAGCAACTGATCAGAAGATTTTAGTTCGTCTTCTGCAAAGGACCTATTGAATGATCCATCACCTGCCGAAACATTATGGACGTCGGCAGACGTTTGAGCTTGCAAAATTGTAAGTTGATTATTAAGAGCTTGAATTTGATCGAGGAGCAGTCCATTCTGATCTTCCATATCCTTAAATCTTTGCTTCAACTTCTCCCTTTCTTCAGTCAAAATCTTTTGCTGCTCATCAAAACTCAGGCGATTCTCATTCAACTCGTCCAGCGCCTTCTGCCTATCTGATTCAAGTTGTCTGATTTGATTCTGTGTTTGGTTCAATTCCTCTTTTGAGTCAGTGAGACTCTGCAAATCCACGGAATGAAGAGTCACTTCCCTGGCGTACTTATTTTCTACAGCTTTCAACTGCTCCAACAGGGACTTGATTTCGCTCCTAGCATTTTCTAACTCTGATCTTGCAGTGCGAAGGTCCATAGTTCTAACATTCAATTCCTCTTGGAGCTGATGAGATTTGGTTTTAATATTGGCATTGGCCATGTCTTGATCGTCCATTTGAATAGAAAGCTCTCCCTGCAATTCTTCGATTTTCTCCTGCAGCTCCCTGATGGTGGTTTGTTGCTTATCAATTTCGTCTTTCAGAGTTTTCTCTTGATCAAGCACCTCTTTTAATTGTTTCTCTGCAGCCTGAGCGACGTTAAAGTATTCTTCAGAAGCGTCTTTAGTGGTCTTTAACTTAGTCTTGAGGGTGTTGATTTCCGCTTCGGCATCAATCAGTTGCTGTTCTAATTCCCTGTTTCTGCGACACTCTGAGCTGCTGTCCGGAATAGTGAAAACGGAACTTTTCAATTTCTTGGACAGGTCTTCCACATGGGATGTTTTATCGATTAATTCCTCTCTTAATTCAGATACCTGTAAAAAATATATCTATCTATCTATCTATCTATCTATATATATATATATATATATATATATATATATATATATATATATATATATATATATAGCCTCACAGCGTTCTCACAGAAACTTTATAGAAAAATTATTTTAAATGTGTTAGAACCAGACAATTCTCAATTTAGTTCTCTACAAAACAGAGTACAATGCTTGTGTTAAAGAAGACTAACTTTACAGTCCCATGTGTATCCATTCAGTTTAATATTATCAAAACAAAATACTCATTTGTTTTAAGAACATACGTTAACGACAATTAGTTTTACAAATAATTATTTTTGAATGGATCCTTATTTTTTTGAATTTTTGTGTTATCTGCATGAATTGTCACGAGCTATCCCTGCAACCATAGAAACAAGATGCTTAGTTAGATTTTGCTGCATCAGCTTTTAACCACATAAAACTGTTGTTTTGCTTACTTGTCAGTTGAATACGCCTTTCAGGTAAATTAATAGTTTTTGTAATTTACAAAAATAAAGTTTTTGAAAAGCGACTTTCGGTTTTCTGTAGGAAAAATCATGTGTGTGTGTTTTTACGTAATAATTCGCCCTTGTACTATTTAGCGTATATATTTAGTATAAGTGAAATACAAACATATGAAAATGAACAGGAGACCTAATCGTCATCTTCCATGGTTAAATTAAATTAAATAAAATTAAATAAATTCAAACTTGGACCCAGAGTTTGTTTTTTTTGTCTCTTGATATTGTTGGCAAAATTAAAAGATGCATTATGTAAACTACATTCAATGCAGGATTTTTTTTGTAAATAATTGAAGAGAACCATCGAGCATTTTAAACCATTTGAAAATAAATTACTTAATTTGTTTTTGTGTATTAATGTTAATTATTAATGTTTCTTTTCTAAGGGCAGCACTAATCAATAAACTTTATCCATATATTAATAAATCACCATGACACCGCAATTATAATGACAAGATTTAAAATTAAAAATGTGAATTAAAATTCGTGAGACTGTATTTTTCTAAATTACAAGCAATAAAAAAGGAATATAGTAAAAAAATAACATATTACCTGTTTCCGCAATCTATCTGCCTCTTTCTTCTCTTCTTCCATTCTATCTTCAGCCTGTTTTACTTTCTTCTCCAGGTGTTCGCTCAACTCCCTAAAGTGAGTCTGTTCCTCTTCCAATCTTCGTCTTATAGCTGAGCATTCTAAATGGGCCTGGTCTAGTTTGGCTTCCAATTTTAACTTACTTTCAGCATCAGTGCGTTCAATAGTGGCCTTAATTAGTTCCAAATTGGTGTGGAGCAGGCTGTGTTCATGGGAATGTCGTTTAAGCATTTCAACCTCTTTTGTTAGCCGCGTTTCGGCATCCTTTAACAGGGCGTTCTCTTTCTGCAGATGACTAAGCATTACTTCCGCCTTGGACAACTTTGTCTGACTTTGAATGGTTTCGTCTTTCAAATATGAAGCTGCCTGCTCATGCTTGATGAGTGACTCGCTGTAGATTCGGTTTTGCTTCTCCAGAGCTGTGATCTGCTTCTTGTAGATTTCTGAATTGTTGTTAAGTACCCTAAACTTCTCTTCATTCATTTCAGCGTGTGCTGTTATCTGGCAATTGGTCCTGGTCAATTCTTTGATTTCTCCTCTCATGGAATCAATCTGTTCAACGAGGATCTTTTCATGATCTGACTTCTCTTTCCTGTATGTTTCATATTCTTCCTTTATTTGATCAATCTGCTTTTTATATTTGTCGATTTTGGCTTGCAAATCATGAAGTTTGTCATCATAATTTGGAGTGGACTCTGAATCCGTTTGCATTTTTCCTTCTCCATTATCAAGCAATGAAAAGTTTCTTTCCAGATGCGAAGGTATATCTGTGGCACCCTTCATTGCCTGAGTATATAGATTCTTGTACATGTCCCTCTGGTTTCGCAGAGTTGCCATCATTTTAGTTTGCTGCTCTTTCTCTTCTAGCAGTTCATTCTGAGATTCCCTCATTTCACCAAGCTTCCTCTGCAAATTAGCAATGGCAGCAGGATCAAAGGATTCTACCTCCTCCTGTCGTTCACTCAGCTCCCTAACAAGTGCCAACAATTTCTGGTTGGTGGCCTGCAGCTCCGCGATGTCATTGAAGGTTACTAACCTCTTGGAGATTATGTCAGCTGAGCTAACGCTATCGCTCAAATCATTGTCTGAAGTTGAAGATGACCCCACGCGAGAATGTTCAACTTCTTGGAGTAAGTGGATCACTTGCCTTGACAAATCGGAAATTTCCTTCTTCATTCTTTCATTTTCTCTGATCACCTGATTCTCTTGTCGTTTATTTTCCATCGTGGCCTCGCGCAACTGCTGCAACTCAACCTCTAACTGATCATTGGAAGCCTTCAACATGTCTATTGAATCTAAAGCGTCACTGTATTCCTGACGTAGTTTTTTTATGTAAGGTCCTTTCTCCTCAATTTCACGCACAATACAAGTGATGTAGTTATTAAGTCTGGTACACTCTTCATCCTTAACTGTGACCTGATCAGACAAGCTTACATAACGGGAATATAGTTCCGTGTATGTCATCCCTGATTTGACGATTCGGGATGCTGAAGTTGCTGGTGATGAAAGACCTATCGCAAATAAATATCATATACTTTAAAATATAAATTTGCCTGAAAATCGTGAAGTTATACATTTAATACATATATATATATATATATATATATATATATATATATATATATATATATATATATATATAAATATAAATTTTATATATATATATATATATATATATATATATATATATATATATATATATATAATTTCATTAACAGAAACTGGTTTAAAAACTGCATTTATTACTTTCACAATTTAATATGCTGTTGTGTTTGCTGGTGGGTCAACTTTTTTTTTAAATTTCAAATGACCAAACAAATAAGAAAAACTTACCGAGAGTGATTCTTTGTTTAAAATAATGGGTAATTTGTTAAGTAAAGCTTGGGCCAAAAGTCAACCGTTAGGAAGATGTCGCCCTCCAAATACGGCGGAAGCATAATGTTTTTATATTAAAATCGTAAATAGAAACAATACCATATACCCAAGTATTACTATTATAAAAACACATCTTCTGCATATTTTTTTTAATGAGTAGAGGGGATTGAATTATGCTACCTCGCTAATCATTCGTAACTAAATTTAGAGCAAAAATGATATTTTAAAAATAATTTATTAATCAACATTTCAACATTCATGCCTAAACTAACGCAACATAAAAATACAGTATAGCGATATAATGCATGCATTTATGCTACTCATCATTAAGTCCCTAGTGCACAGGAATATGCCTTGATTATTGTTTATGACATTACCAGACAAAGTTATCCTATTTCTTAGGTCTTCTGTATTGCGCTAGTGTGGACTAATTCTTTTAGATATTCGCAGATACAATAATCCACAGGATTTAAATTGGGGGATTGAAAGACCACCTCTTCCTATCCAGAGGTTTTCATACGTATGAGTTAAAAACCTTTGCAAATTCTACTAGTTAATAGGGGTACATTTTCTAGGAAAAGATGTAATTCTTCTTGTAGAAAAATGTGGCCCAATTATATGATCATCAATAATACCTTATCAAATGTTAAAGGAAAACTGATTTTGGTGTTATTGAAAGCGGATTACCTTGAGTCCATACATGAATGTTGTGAAACTTTTTAATTGTATCCCTTGAGAATTTTTGTATGAAATAAAGGATTTTCGTTAGATGAGGTCACTGAGAAAAAGTCATCCTCAGTTCAAAATCTCCTGGTAAAAAAGTTTCGAACTCTGTGCATGGTATGGATACAACTATTGTTCTACTCTGCACCACCAAACAAATGGGGGTAGGCTTATGAGTCCACAAGAGAAGGCCGCTTGGAGGCAATTTTTGGCAGTTAACCAAAAGGTTGAAACCTTTAAGCTAGGAACTGTCTTTCTTTTTTTTAGAAACAAGTGTTTCAATTTTTAGTTCCATTAAAAATAAAATATACAGTCCACAATGGGTTTAAGTGAAGTTTATGCATTTTGGAAGCATTTACTACTGTGTTTTTATAACAGTAATACTTAAATTTAGTTAAGAAAGATAGGGGTAGTCTATTTCATTACCCCCTCCACTCATTTTTAAAAATAAAAAAGATGCATAGTTTTTTTTTGTTTTATCTAATTTTACTTTTAAGATATAAAAGAAAAACATTATTTACATATATTCCTAATGGTTGGGTTTTAACTCAACATTTACATAACAAACTAACCTTCATTTTAATTAAGTTTTTTACATTTGTTTTGAACCACCATGTATACAACATATATGGGGTGTGGAATGGGGGAGCTTTTAATACAGATAATCATATACCCTCAATATCTTTTCCAATTAAGTCCTGTTTGGATCTCTCAATAATTTCGTTGGCAGTTTCCAATTCTTTTTTTAACATCGCAATATAATCATTTTTTTTGGAAATTATTTCCTCATTGGCTAGGGTGGTTTCTTTGTGTTGGGTTTCCAATTTGCCATATTCCTCTGTGGCTTGCTTCAACAGATCTTGCACCTTAAACATTGTGATTAGTTGTAAAGCTTACACTGATAGAATTGTTTCAAAAATTATATAAAAACAAAAATCTACCTCGGCAAGGGCATCTTGTAATCCTTTGGCATGTTGTTGACTTTGTTCATACATTGTTTTATAAGCATTGGCCATTTTGGTATTGGCTTCAATTTCTGACATGTAAGATTCACTCAGCTTAGAGGTTTTCTCCCTCTCATTAAATATTTTTTGTGCCAACTCCTCATTTCTGGTTTTCAAGCTGTCATTTAGTTCTGTTAAAGTCTTGATCTGATCCTGCGCAACAACTAACTCTTGGATTTTTTCTGTTAACTTTGTCTCTAGCTGAACACATCTCGATGAATTGTCACGTCTCATGTTTAGTAGTTCATCAGTTCTTTGATGAAGTTCTGCTCTTAAACTTTCAATCTGATTATCTAAGAGTTGTCTATCCTGTTCAAATCGCTTTTCTTTATACTCTACTGTTGCTTTCATTGAAGCCAACTCGTTAACTTGAGCCAAAGCCTCACATTTTGCATTGATAGCATCTTCAAGTTGTTTAGTTAATGAGTTAGTGTCTAGTTGCATACGTTCAATCTCTTCAGTGCGCCGCTGAACTAATCTGAGTTGTTCTTCGCGTTCGTCAATAGCTAAATTGCGTTGATGACGATATTCGGCCGTTTCGGCTTCAAGTTTATTACTACGACTTTGAAGCTTTATCAGTTCAGAGGATAAATTGGAAACTTGCAGCTCCAATTCACTTATGGAAGTGCTAGCAGCCTGAAGTCTAGCGTTGAGCGCTTCTTTTTCACTCTGTAGTACCTCATTTTGCTCCTTTAAGTCTGAATGTGTTTTTTCTTGTGGAACAAAGATCATTTCTATCAAACCTTGTTGGCAAACCAAATAAATCAAACAACCTACCTGAATTTAAGCTTCTGGTTTCTAAAAGGGCTTTAGAGGTGATAAATTCTTCAAATTTTTCATTTACGAAATTAGAAATTTTTTTTCCGATTTCCTCCGGAATGCTGCTCCACTCTTCCTCACTTACCACCGAAGCAAAAATGTACGTTTCCATTTTAACCAAAACCAATATAAAAACTTTCGTATTACGTTTTGTTTGAAATTTCTTAAATTAATACATTTTTCTTTGAAAATTGTAGCTGTTTCTACTTGCGGTTATCAAATTGTCGAAAGAGTCCACAACACTACCACCGCGCATTTTCACTTTTGCCATCCTGAGAAAACATGCCGGTAAGTGTTCGCTGTGTTGCCGATTGGGTTTTGGCTGCCCAATTTATGAAATGCAAAATGCTAAAATTTTCCTATTTTAAAGATATTTATTACGTGACAAACAAAAAAATTAAGTATCCAACGAAAAAAAATGAAACAATCCTTTAGAGACAATGAATGGAGGAAATTCGATTGTTGAAATGGAATGGCGGTATTCTTCAAATGTGCGAAAATATTTGTAGAGTTGACAATGTCTGCTACAAAATCCTGCGTAATCGATAGGAAGCACCAATCCTAATTCAAAAATATGAAACACAATTTATATTTTATTTTTATTTGCTGGCAGATAAATGTTTTCTGCTTATTCCAATTATGTATTTAGAATAGATTAGAGACTGTTCGGTGACTAAAAATAATCCTCAAAGTAATTTATAATTTGCAATTCGTCAATACCAAGTTGGCAGCCCTGTCGACGTTCCAGGTTTTTGTTTCACATTAGCATGTTCTGATCCCTTATTATTCTGTGCTTCTCATTCCAAACCTCAAACAACATGGTGATTCAGGTTTTAAAAGTTTTTTAAAGTAATTAATTTTAATAAACATTTCTCGAATTTAGAATGCCCAATACAGACCTAAATGAGTACACTGAACAACAACTACTGAAGAATTCTGCTACATTTCTGCAATCTGAATTCCACAGATACAAGCGATGTAAAATGTTATTGAATGTAATTGAAGAGTGTTCCCAGGAATCCAATTTTTTGGACAGTGGTCTAAAGAAGAAGATAAAAAATATAATATTGAACGGGCATGCTTCTCAAATTCGTTTGGGAAACAGTTATATGGATAAATTTTTGCAGCCTTTGTTGGGTGTTTCTTTGGAGTTGAGCGATTTAACTTATGCTGAAAGTGATCTGCTTCAACATGCTTTGATGTCAAAATTGAATCAAAAATCGGAAGAGCTGAAGAGTGAACGAATTAAATATTTTGAAAAAAAAATAACTGCAAGCAAAGACAATGAGTTATTTGACATTGATACTGATGATGCAGCATTACTTAATTTTAAAAGGCAATTACTAGAAGAGCAACAACTGTGTTTAGAACAATATAACAAACTCTTAAAGCTTCTTGACGAACTGAAGAAACTGGTTTTGGAAGTAGTGCCAGAAGAGACACAGAAAAAAATCCAAGAGTGTGAACTTACATTAAGAGTGAACTCTTTGAAAAGTCAACTTGCTAAAAGTAAATGTCGGATTGACACCTTTATGGAGTCGAGTAATTCATTAGAAGCATACACAGTGATAATAAAAGATCTGAAAGATCAGCAAAAAGAATGTATTACTGAAATTGAAATGTTAAAGGATCTTAGTCAAAAGTATGTCCAAGTATCCTGTAAGGAGTATAATGAGCTTTTAAAAATGTATTTGCAATATAAATCTGTACTTGAGAAGAGAGAACAATTATCATCACAGGTTTAGTCCAGCTCAAGTCAAAAGCAAAATGTAATATTGTTTTTTTTTTCAATTAAGTATATTACTTATTATTTATATTACTTATGAATTGTTGTTGTAATATATGTGTTGATACATGTTCTAACAATTGTGTTTTTGATCTTCGGTGAGGTCATTGCTCTTGCTAAACTTCCAAAGAGATATATCAATTTTTGTACATTTTTGTATTATACGTACTAGAATTAGGCTATTACAAATTGTAAATAACTAGTAACTAATTTTAAAGTCTGCTACTGCCTTTCAATCAGTTGTCAGGTTCTGAAGTTGGTTAAGCAAATGTCAACAAAAATTCCACCTATTCAATAAAATTCTCTCTTGTTTCCTTATTTTCATTAGATATCACATCTAACGTTAAAAGTGATGTGTATTTTCTCGAAGGAGTTGTCAAAATTTGAGACGGCATATTTCTATCGTCCAAAAGGCGAGAAACGGAAGATAAACAACTTAGTTTTGGTATTGACCAAAACTAAGTTGTTTATCTTTAGTTGATTAACCATGGTAAAACATTGGTTTTACCATGGTTAATCAAAGTTGGGCACGCGCCAACTGAAAATAGTTGAGCCCAATGCCGTAGTGTTCTGTGGTTGAGTCTATCACCGGTATGTGGGGTTTTAAGCTTAGATGACATGTTTTATGATCACGTGTATAATCTACAAAGTGGTTTCATTTCAAAACCAGACTACCATGGTTGAAACTCTCATGTCTCTGGATTTGATTCTAGGAAATCTTTCTTCGGGTACTAGGCCATTATAAATCTGCTCTCTGTTTTTGTCACTTTAATACAATGCTAGTTAGAAATTCGAAATGTAACAAGGAACATTTGGGTCTCAAATTTTCAAATAACGGCGCTATATGTCTATAGCTTTTTTAAAACTTATTTCACTAATCTTTCGATTAGTGAGTTGGTAAAGGGCGCTTATCAGTTGAACCTGAAAAAAAGAACTAACTTTGGTCGAATGATCCCGGCAATTTTGATTAACAGTAGTAAGAAACAAAATTAACCTTAATTATTGTAGTCTTTCTAGAATTCAATCTTAAATATTTGTTGTAAATTATAACTATATTTAACAAAAAAAAATCAAAAATGTCTGCTCCAGGTACAGCAATCGAGTCTTTAACTGCAGCCATGAAGTGCAACATAATACCAAACCAAGAGTATTTGTTGCAAGGATCTGTGTTAGATCAGTATGTGGAAGTCTTATTGCACAGGTTGCGGGGCTTGTGTGATAACGTTGACAGTGGTCCAGAAACTTTTCACGATCGTGAACTTTGTTTTACCTTGAGAGCTGCCAACACAAACACTCCTATGGTACTTCCTCTTAGAGTAAGAAAAGCTTTAGATGTGAATGATGCTCCCTACCAGTTGCGGTATGTCGGTCAACAAGAGTTAGGGGACAAAAATCGACCTACCATAGTCAGATCATGTATAGATATGGCATGTAGTTCTACTATTTTGGAATTTTTAAATGAATTGGGTTGTCGGTTGGATTTTGAATATATTGCCAGAGGTTATATGTTCAGGAAAGGCAGAATGAAAATTACAGTGTCCAAAATATTTAAAATTAATGGCATAGGAAATAAACCAGGAGAAGGAGTTGAACCTATTTCACAAAGCTATTTAGTGGAGTTATCGGTTCAAGCGCCATCAGGACAAGATGCTATTGCTGAAGATATGAGAGTTTTTGCAGAACAGTTGAGACCTTTAGTGCAGTTAGAGAAAATCGATTTTAAACGTTTGATATGAATGTGATTTAGTATGGCAAATATCAGTTCGGTTGGCAAAATATATACTTTTGTAACAATAAAAAACACACTGTAGCACCTATTCCAATATATTAGTGATATTATCCATTTAAATCAGTTTCAATTTCTTCAATATTTGCATCATCAGCAGTGGTAGCCACACTTTCAGTAATTTCTGGGATAGTTTCCAAATTGTTGGTAAATCCTTGCTGGGTGGATAATATTTCAGGCATTTCAAAGGGACCTCTTTGGGTTTCTAATTGATCATCATCTTGTGCAGCAAGCATGGATAGATATATTTCCAAAGCATCAGGGTGCGTTATTGGTATTTCATTACCACTAGAGTTGAAGTCAACTGCAGGGGAATTTGGAAAGCCTGATGCATCTGTAGATGTACTAGGAGTATCTAAAATTACATTTAAAGTATAATTTATTTAATCTGTTAATTCAGTTTGTTGTTTAGATTGATATGTAATTGGAACAAAATTATGAATTCTTGTGATTTTTAACTAATTAATCAGTTATCAGTTTATTAATAGACAAGTGGAGCAAAAATTTATCCATTTATCCATACTTGAAGAATGGCCTTTGAAATAATCTCAGTTCTACTCTAGTTTAGTAAAAAACTGAATCACTACTTAAAAAAGATTATACATAGATAACTACATAATAGTTTGTTTAATTTTGGTGAAGATCCAAAAATGTGTAGTACCTTTGTAGAAAGTTGTTATGAAGAATCTAAGAAACAACTTTCAAAAACTGTAAATAAGGATAATGATAAAACACAGATGCTTTAACACTATCGCAACGCAACGGGTGCCTTAAATATTTGCAATATACATACATACTTTTAGATAGAAAAAATAAGTAGAAAGTTGCATAGATACATAAAAACTTCTACAGGCTGTGGAACTTGTAGGTACAATTCTTCTCGATCTCTCTTGCATCGGATATCGTGTCTGCGTTATCGTTTCGCCAAACATATTGAGCTAACTAAGTGAATACCAATCGAAGGGGAAATGCAGAAGTGTATCAACAACAATTATTTTAAAAAACTTAAAACTTAAGCATTGTCAATTATTTATATAGTTAATTTATTGATAACAGTGAGGCATATACCATATAATTGGGTAAAAGTGTCGAATGATCTAGGTCCTGCTCTATCTGCCCGTCATTCAAGAAGCGAAACCTTACATCGCGGAAATATAAATAATAAACTTGTAGAAATAATGGACGTTATATAAATTATTATCACAAATATTAACAAAATTGAAAATTTAAAAAAATAACCTCTCACAGATACTTACCCGATTTTGGTATAGTTTCAATGTTTGAATAAATGGTGTCGTGTATAAGTTTCAAGTTTTCTTTCTGCTTTTTGAGCATTTTCTGCCTGATGATATTTTTTTCGATATCGGGCAATACAAAATGATGAACCAGATCAGCAATCATTTCATCCTGGGTATAATAAAAAATATTAACATAAAAATATGAGGCGTTTCTTAAGAATCTAAAATCAGGCATGGGATTTGAAGAAAAATGCTCGCGCACGTTCGTCACAATTAGATTTCTGTCAGTAAAGAAAGTGAATCTAAATGAAACTGAGAGTTGAAATTTTAATTTTATTAGATATTTTAGATCTAATTTTTTTTTGGAGTTTGCTCTTAGACTTAATTTTAAATATCCACAGAGGAATAAATCTATTGTCGATTCTATTCATCCCCTCCTAAATCCACTTCACGCACTTGTCAAGCAAAATGTATTGGATTGGATTTGAAAAAGTTATTTTGAAGAAATTGTAAATATCGGACTCCAGTAAGAATCTGATAGAAGGAATAAGGTTCAATAATTTTGTTATTCAAAATTCATGCCCAAATATTTATTTTTTGTGGATATTGCATATGATTTTCCTTCATCCGTCGGGGATTATTGTACTTCAATACCTACAATTTTGTTTATTGACCATACCATTTAAACAAAACGTGGCTTCATCATGATGAAGGCAAAACTGTAGTCTGCGGTCGGGTTCATCTTAAATAAATAAAGAAAAAAGTAAATTTTCAGCACAATTCAACAAAATATTTTTTTTTGTGTGTTACCAACTAAACTCAAAAATAGAATAAAGTGTCAATTCTGATATCTTAAATAACTAATATAATATAAAGAAATCGAAAAAAAAAATATTATGATTCTGTTTTGTGTCTAGAAATTCTGAACCTAGGCAGGTATCTTAACTGGTGGTTATTATGAGGCAAAATTTTGTTATACAGATAGGTTGGCTTTTTGTTTAATAGGATTTTATGAAACATACACACTGCATGGAAGATTATCCGTTTCATATTGGTATGAATTTACTATCGCATAATTTATGAGAAATATGTTGTGTTCGTCTGATTCCACCAATGAAGAATCTAAGCAAATAACAATCCGAGGATTCTAGCTTGCGCGACGTGAAGTAACTTTCGTTATCAACTTTTATGAAAGTCTTGTTCGCGGAGTTTTTTTTATTTTTCTTTGTTCCAAAGATCATTAAATTAGTCGGTTATTTGACCAATTAACAAAAGTAGATATGTCTTCGTTGATCATATTCATGACCAATAAATAGTTTCCGGCTGAAAAAGATATATGTAATTCAGTATCATCTGCATCCTGGTTTCCTATATCTAATATCTGAGTTCAGGTTTATACGTGTAATAAATATAAAGAAGAGTCTACTTCGGATATAACATTTCTAGAATGCGAAAGATGATCATTATACTTGACTCTTTGGGTTCTTCCTGACAAAAAAGTCTGCATTCCGATCCTGCAGTATCTAATATAATCTCGAACGGATGATAGTTTTGTTCTTTTAATACATACAAAGCTGTTCGTTGACTAAAAATGGCTAACTTCTTTTTGAGTTTTGTCTCCATATCCAATAAAAATTAGGATTTCAATTCTCTGATTTCATTTGAATGCACCACATTCACTTTCTTTACTGATTTAACTATTTCAAAGTACTTAAGTACTTAAAGAAAGAGATATGAAATTTGACCCAGAATTCGAAAATGGATTATAAATCATAGGAAGTTGGTATCAAAATTTTTTGACATACTCTGTATATTTTCTATTTACTGCAAATAGTATACAAGAAAAAGTTATGATGATTTTTGCGATTATTTTCCTTTAAATCCAATATCTGGCATCGATATTTATAAACTTTAAAAATTTATTAATAAAAATGTATGCCACTGGCCGTTTCATTCAGCAAAATCTATCCAAAAAAAAATTACTAAAATTCATCAATAAACAAATATCTTACAGAAGTAGTATAGCGAATCACCCGCGATTATTGGAACACCCTGTATTCGAGCTTCATGGAAATTAGTATAGTTAGGTTTTAGATACTCTTCAATAATAATTCGTTGACATTTTATTCTTAAAGAAATCCCAGGTGCGTTTTCGAGAGGTCAGTGTGCAACAAAAAAAAATCAAAAATCAAAATCAAACCGTAATCAAAGAATGTTAAGTCTCAAGCGGAGTGCAAACGATATTTCAAAAAATCCGTTTTTGAAATATCAGAGAAATTGATATAGTTGCGTTCTATGTATTCCTGAATAAGAATTCGTTGCCAATTTATACTTTAAAAAATTCCTAATAGTACTTCTCTCTTTTTTCTTAGAGCCCCAGTTGACTATGACTTTAGGTTGAAGCACAATTAATGCATTTTTGAAAGATTTATCTAACAAAAAAACCATAAATACAGGTTTACAGGTGTGTACGGTTCTTCAGTTTTTAAGTACAGTTCTCAACACTGTGTATTTGAGTTTGAATTTTTTTGAACTTTTAATTAAGAATGAAGGTTTCTGTAGGACTGCCTTACTACTTTCAATTATTAACTAATTAATAATTAATTAAGTTTATAAAATGCGGTATACAAAAATAGAATAAAAACATACCCTTTCTATTTAAAATAAGAAAGTTTGGTAACTAGGGAAAAAAACTATAAATGTGACAGCGCCGCCTATGTCACCATTGGAATCAGCCTAATCAGAAATACCGGTAGGTATTTCATAAGTTTAAGCCTAATAATGAGATATACGGCCGTTCCGCGACTTATAGAAAAAGATTGGATTGTTTCTAGTAAAATGATCTTTAATTTTTTTGCATTATTTTAATTGTCACTCAGTTATTTACAGGGTGGTTATAAAAGTTATATTTTTTATTGTATTGTAAAATGTTTCTCTAAAAGACGAATCCAACGTTATATATGTATAGATATATGGGTATTTAATGCATCGTTGTTAGCGAATACCTTCGGGATTCGGTTTATGTTAGAAAACTTTTTGTTACGTTGTATATTAACTTTTAAAACAGTTTTCTGCGTAACATATTTTAGAAAATAATACTTTTTCTTAGACAACATTCAAAATTGAAATATTTAGGCGGTGTTGTGATGTTTCTCTAAATGTTACTTCTATCAATTTTTGTACACACTGTATATTTTTACATTTTCGGACAGCCCTTTAAAAGACCAGTCCAACGATATATGTGAACATTGGCCTATAAATTACATTTCTTAGCTTTCTGCCTTAGTTCTGATGGGGTTTCTAATATTTTTTTAAATAAAATTCCCGGTTACTTCAAATACCGTTAAATATTATAAAAATTCTTTATTGTAAAATAAATAAATTAAAAATAATTTATAAATAATGAATTATTTTTATTTTGAATTTGATACAAATAAACAAGGTAGAAGCTCAGTTGAAGTGTGATGCGATATTTGGAGAGAATCTTGGGGGCAATATTTTATGAAGTAAATTTTTAAACGGAAATTTCAGTCAATGGATTGGGCAAAATGACACCATCTGGCTAGCAAGGAGCCTGGATTTAAGCCCACTGGGCTTCTTTGGGGCACTTTAAAAGAGGTAGGATAGAAAAATAAGCCAATAGAAATTAACCAATTAAATGCGACCAATTATATATTAAATGCCATCAATCATTTGTTAAATGTTACTGTTTTAAAAATAAAATAACCTATAAATTTTACAGTATTTTAAATAAATGTTCATCAATATAGCAATTTTATTAAAAAAATATGAGACACCCTTTCAGAATTAAGGTTAATTGAGTGAATATTGCCTCGGAATTGATAAAAATTCTCAATAAACCAATGTTCATATACATCGTTGGATTCGTCTTATAAAGGACTATCCGAAAGTGCAAAATTGTATAGAGTGTTTGATTTAAAAAAAAAGAGAGAAGTAACATTTTGCGAGACATTGCAACACCGCGCACAGTAAAAAATATTTGTGTATATTTACCTTAATTATCATTGGTAATATATTGCCTTCGTTATTCAAGTAAATATTCTATGAAACGTTACGTAAAATATTTACATGTTACTATATTAAAATTTAGGTTGTCCGTTATGTAAAAAAATCTTTTACTCCAGACATTTTTCAAATTTAAGTAACCGATAATGTAAAAATACATATGCAGTCGTATTAATATCAAAAATCTAAAATTAGCCCGTCATTTATTTATTCGCATACAGATAGGTAGATAACATGTATGATCATATAATTTCGTGATAATTGTTTTGCTTTCCACCACCAATAAATATGTGGTAAAGGTTAATTTTAATTGAATGGAAACTTTAAATAGTCCAAAAATAAAATATTTTTTTCTTCAAGGGTAAATTTTTATTGTGGCCACATTGTAGCTAAAACATTTAAATCATTAAGCCTCTTTATATTACATTTTGACGCAAAATAAATAAATTTAGCAAAATTTACATACGCAAATTTTTATTTAAACATAAATCGGAGCACATAAGTGCCAACTACTTACCGACTAATAGAATTACGTTTCAAAAAAGCATGTTTACAATACCCATTGAAACCAAATAATTATACTTGATGTGTTTTATAAAATCCTCTTTTAAAAACACACTCCTAAAGACTCCTTCAGGTGGATCATTTACTCATTAAAATAAATCCTTTTTAATAATTTTAGGGGGTGTAGTAAAAACTTTTTAAAAAGTAAATGAGTAGAAGTAAATAAGTTGTGTTTAACTTGCCAATATCTGAAATTCCGGAAATTAAAAATTGTATTGATGCTTGATTCGTAAACAGATTTAGCCCTGATGATTGGATATAATTTTTTTTAAATATCAGATTTCACTACGTTTTTGGAATATGCTCTGCAAGAATGCATCCTTGGTGTTTCATTCTTTGGAAAAATTTGAACCAAAGCCTTTGACGTACAGGTAAATGTGAATAAAAATGCTTCTTAAAATTTTTAACCGAAGTTGTTTTAAAAATGCAATTAACTAAGGTGCAAGTCAAAAAAATTGTTTTATTTTTATCAGATTTGTGACTTCATTGAGGTATAGCCTGAAAACTGTTAATATGTGTATGAAAACCATGGTACAATTTTCATACAAATACCGAAAATGTCTTTTCCTATAAATAACTGATGTAAGATACTTAGCACACTTTGACAAAAAATGCACTTATACATTTTCTTACCTCATGCTAATATAATATAACCACTGTTAAACAAAACTTTAACAACGCTATGAGGGTCACATCATTCGAAACCTGTTTAGAAGTAAACATTATCACACAGAAGGGAGAAAACACATTACATGATATTTATATATCTTTCCTCTTTTAAAGGGGCATTGAAAAATTAATAAAATATGGGGTGTTCCATTTAATTTTTTTTAACAAATTTAATAACCTTTTTTATAACACTCACAGATTTAGAGATAAACCGGCCAGTCTGTACGTTCTTACTTGGGGTTCAACGCCTTCCGTAGAGTACGCTTTATCGATTTCGTCAATTTGTCCCTCCAGTTTCGAGGCCAACTTCATTACATAGTTGGTCGCCTCCTCTTTCGACGCGAACTCTATCCCTTCAGTTATTATCTCTTGCAGGTACACGTCCACCGAATCATGAACCACTGTTACCACTTGCTTGAACATCTCGTCATGTTCTTTCCTGCGCCGTATCTCCTTTTGCCTGCGGCCCGCTTCTACGGCTTCGCGAATATTCCTTTCGCGCTCGTTGGCCCAGCAAATCGCGTGGGCTTTGCGCTCCTCCAGCAACCTCCTCAATTCTTTGTTCAGGAAATCCAAAATCGACCCGACTACTTGCCCTTGCAACTTTCCGAGGGTGCTTTGCAAACGCGAAACCTACAAGCAAAATTGCAATACCAAAAGAACAAACTAAGCTTTATAAAGTTTACTACCATGACACTCTGTATGGCTTCTTCGCGTTGCTGGGACCTAACTTTGTTTTTCTCTTTGGCGCGGAGCTCCTTTTGTTCCTTCAGCAAGCCAACCGAATTTTTCAATTCCCCGATTAACTCTTTGCAATTGTCTCTACCTTCGTGCACCTACAATTTTTGTAGCTCACCCGAACTGCGTGCTTATGGATCGGCTTTCGAATTTACCAGCATTTGGACGGCTCTGCCTTTAATAACACTTTGCAAAAACACCATTGCTTGGTATTGGTCTTCCAACTCCTGAGGGATACCTTCTACTTCCGGCGTATTGGAATCCTCTACAGTTTCTTTGTTTCTAATGCGTAAAGTGCAAGGCGGTTTTCGACGTCCCTTTTTGAGATCTAAAATTTCGTGAAGTGAAGTGAAGTAGATCGGATCATGTGCGGAGATGGTACAGTGTCGAGAATTAAGGAATTTTTCAGAAAGGTGTAGAGTAATAAAATCTCATTAGGTTTGTAGAGAGAGTATTTAGTGACGCCCCAACGAATGCTAAACCATTTTCATTGTTCGGCATTGATTTCATTGCAAATTTTTTTCTTCTTATCTAGTGCAGGTGGTACCATTCGGGTTAGGGTCAATTTATGGATTTTGCCTGTTTTTGTCTATTTACCAATACCGAAAATGAAAAAAGAAAAAATTAGGTATTATGAGTAGTCCATTAAGAGTGTTACCTCCTCAAACTTTTTTATTTTGCGTTTTAGAAAAATAGAGTTTTATAAATAAAATTCGTAGGGATTAATGTAGATTTTATACTATTTGTGTACAAGGTGTGCCAAAAAACCACAGAAAGTCAAAGTTTTTTTTTTCTAAATTGGCCGTGTATTTTTAATAAAGATAAAGGTTTTACGCTAATTTAAAAAATATGTTGCATGTATGCCATGCATGATAATGGCATTTTGCCAAAGCCATTTCTTTTGTTCAAAATTCGATCAAACAATAATTTTTTTCTACTCCCTTCTCTAAAATACCTAATTGTACACCGACCTAGCTTGCGGAAAGCGCCATCTTATCACGTCAGTTTCATTTCCTATTTCGTTTACCGATAGTACTACTTTCCAGCCGGCTGGAAGACCAGCAATCGCTGTTGTGTGTCCCATCCCTAATGTAAGTTCTCCTGAATCGCTTTAATGATCTAAGGTCGATTACCTTACTACTTGTTGAATACTTGTTACTAGTTTTGTTGAATATGACGGATCGAATTTTTCATCGTTAGATGACAAACTTGGGACCATACAAATTCTACTCGACTTTTCTCGAGCTTTGGATTGTGTGAATCATTCACATTTATGCGCTAAATTGAAATACTTTGGACAATATGACGATCCACTGGCCTTCTTTTGCAACTACTTCCAAAATAGTAGAAAAATTGTTAGGACGACTGCTGGTGGGTCTCAAGGATCAATTTTGGGGCCGCTATAATTTTTAATGTATGTTTTCCATTTGGGCACCGCGTCCCAGTTTTACCAGTCTCAGTCATATGCTGACGATACGCAGCTTGTTTATATTTTTGATCCGGTCCATTATGACGAGGTAGAAGCAGGTATTAATTTCGATCTTCAGCAGGTTTTTACTTATAACGGGAGACATGGTTTAAGGTTAAATGCGGCTAAAACTCAGCTGCTACTCTTTGCTCGCGACTCTGCAATCCACTTCCTGACAAGATCTTGCATCTTGAGATAAATCGGGAACTCTTGTCATTTGCTACCAATGCCAACAGCACATTTCAAATTTAAATAAAAGAAAATAAAAGAAATATTGTTTTACCCATGTTTAACATCCTTCAAAAAATACAAAACAATTGTTGTGGGTTTGACCCTACGTGTCCCCTAAAATTAAATTTTTGCAGTGATTGAGAAGAGATAATTTCGCTGTGTTAATTGTTATTGGAAAGATAAGCTATTTTTCGCTGTGAAACCCACAATGTAAATATTTGGGAGAATACGCTAACTGTGCCTCAACACAGATCTGCTCTTTACGAGCGGGGGTTTAGACATGCCTTTGCGGTATCCTTAAAACTATTTTGAAAAAACATTAAAGATGTGTTATAAGATAAATAAAGTGCTTATTGGGGTTTCCATCTAACTTATTATTATTATTCTACAATTATTTCCTTTTTCTTTTGTTTATATTTTATTTTTCTTTACTACGGGTTCTCTTGTAATAAATTGTCTGTTAAAAAGGTGTGTAATATATAGATCAATTGTCTTGGATTAATGTTGAGTTGACTTAGTCAGCTAGTTTGCTCTTTGAAATTTTGAAAATTATTGTATATTGTGTATTATGTATCTTATGTACCTCAATTCTCAATAAAGAGTATTATTATTGCCATTAATCGGATGATTTCTGAGATATTACCGCACGGCTTGAATTCTGACGGCCATGTCAGTAAATGTATTCGTGTTATTTTGCAAAAATATACCCAAAAACTAATGGTCGTAGAAAGAGTATGCAACACGTTTGGTAAATTTGCTGTAAAATGCCGTTTAAGACCCTTGTTGCATAATATACCATTATTTACGACCTTTAGTTTTTAATAATATTTCTGGCAAAAAACACGAAAACGCTCACTGAGGGATATGTGACTTGGCCATCAGAATTGACAAAAGTCAAAATACCAAAAAAATCCACCGAAAACATCCAATCGCTGAAGTCTTAAAGTAACACTTTGAGGAGGAACTGGACGAAATTTCCCATTTTATTACTCTACGCTTTTCTTCTTTCTTTTCTAACTTATAGAGGGCATCTAAAGTGCTTTACTTTTAAGTTCGTCGTGCAGCTGTTCAAGTACGGGAGTTGTCCATTTGGTTTCCCTAATGCATAGCTGCGGTGGTCCACGTTTACTTTCCTTTTTATCAAATTTCCTTAGTTCGGTAGCTCGATCCAACCATCGGGGAAGTGTACTGAACTGCTCCACGCCTAATTACAACATAGGTTCAGATTGCATATAATGAAAAAAAAAGGATAAATGATAAATTAAAATGTGTGAATTGCAAACCAAACTATTCTCAGTCTCGCAGCAAATTAAGAAATTAGTGGGTCAAAATTGAAGGTTATTGGTTTTCAAACCCCGCTGTAGATTTGACGAGCCCAAATCGTCTGAACTACATTAAACATCTTAATCTGCAATAAATCGCTATCGGACATACTTGCTTTTTTTGCTGATTGCTTCACAAAAATATTGGTATATTGGCATTTGGTGTATTGAATGCGTCAATCCAACTAAGCAAGGATAAGAACTCTCGAGGTAAGTGTTTTAAAAATTCTTTGAAGATTCAGCATTCAGTATTAATTACTACCAAACAATACATATTTTGTTTATCCATTTTTTTTTTCTAGATACTTACAGAAAAATAGTTATTCATTTAAAACATTACATAAATGTAATTTATTTTGTTCGATGGATGGTATAGGTTCTCTAAATATGGACTACTGTAAAGATTTTTTGAATAAAAGTAAAGAAAAAATTTGCTGGTTTCTTATTTCGATCAGTCAAGTACACATCTCACAATGCGTAAAGTTCTTCCTTAGAAAAAATAAAATAAATCAAAACTTAGCTTTGACCCATAACATTAGCGGCTACTGCAAAACTCGCATATAAAAATGTATTTTTCGATCCCGGAGCAATCTTCGTGTGTCCATCGAGAGCAAGCACATAATTCAACACAACCATCCTCCGAAAACAAGCCATCACTGGGCTGTAGGATCAGCATCTTTATCTGACGTATCTTTAAGCGAAAAATCACAAGAATCCTGAGAACTGGATCATTCTTCTCCTGATTTAAGTTGATATTTTCTTTACATTTTTTCTGCCACTTTTTGTTTTCTCTCCTTAGGTGACTTTATCTCCAAAATTTTGTTTACTCTTTTATTTGTCTTGAGATTTATTTTGTTTTTAACCCTTAAATGATTGTTTTAATTCCAGTTTGTATGGAAAAGATATATAGCTTTTCTTTCGCTCTTGCTTTTTGTTCTATTTAAATGCGGTATTGGACTAAGATTTTCTGGTGTTATAAAAGCGGGAGCAGTTGAAGGACATGGAAGTTGGAATGAACGATTGATCTTACTGATTTGTCCGATTTTCAGTTGGTACTGCTGTTGGATTTCCGTTATCTTGTGTGGAATGATCGTTATCTGGCTTATCGTTTAGGGTTGTTTCAATAAACTGATGATGATGAGGTTGATTAAGCAGATAAATCCCTGTTGTTCGATTGCCCTTGATAGCCAGTTTTGCGCTCTGACTTCGCACATATCGACGACCATAATATCATGATACCATATATCCTTTTAAGTGGCCCGTAAATGTTTTGTCCAAAGGCTGGCCTTTATGACAAGAGTGCGGCAGTATTGACCGTCAGCGAAGATTATTTTTTCGTGCCAAATCAATTGTGTGCTCATCTAATATCAGAAGCTCCGGAGAAGCGGCGGAAGGTTTAAGAATTTCCAAAAAGTGTTTAAATCATTTAGTGAAAAGCTCTGACGGATGACAACGGTATTGATCCAGCTGGAGCACTATTCATTAGCAGTGGATGATCTCGCTTCCGAGGAAATATCATCATTGAGGAAACAAACAATCTAGCTGCATTCACACAGATTATTCACGTTATTATTCAGTCTAAGACTCGGATTCAGAACATTCAGAATAGCTGTTGTAGGTGCGGTTGCAATCTTTGTAAATATGATCATGTGTCAGAAAAAATAAAAGAATTGAGCTGGTTACAAATGAAAAAGCGTAAGACTCTCCATTTGGCAAATTTTACTCATCAACTTATTACAGGGAGTCACCTTTCCAAGCCAAGTTTCAGGTACGTCATCAGAGAAGTTCACATAGTAATTTAAGAAATGATAGTGTGTTTTCAATTCCTAAATATCATGTTTAGGAGAAGCTAGGTCTATAATGCAATTATGTTGTACAATTCGCTGCCAGAACATTAAAAAAAAAATCTCAAAAAAAGTTTAAAATAGAATTTAAAAAATACTGACTTTCTTGGTAAAAATATTAATCGAGGTATACCTAATGTGGAGAAACAACTTGTGTGTGTGTGGACGTCTATATCACCGATTGTTTGTTTATTTTTTTTATACACTTTAATTATTTATGAAATGTAATTTTGGAAAAAATGAAATTCATAAAAGACGTTTTATTATTATTATTATTAGCATTTTTCCTCTTTCGAGATAAAATTTGTGGGATCTTATTGGGTAAAATCGATATCCCGGTTTTATCAACATTGTAAATATTCGAGGCAGGATATTTAAAATCGTTCATTTCTTTCTCTAATATATTAAAGAAAATCGTCACCCTTTCCTTGTTAAAACCTTTTAATCGTATAATCGCGGTTCCTGTTGGACGGCGAAAGGATCAATTAGGATGACGAGCCAAAAACGGCTGTATCCATGGTTTGCCTGCAGAATTACTTCGTCGTAAGAACGGGTTGCTTACGTTATTACGTAATGCCTCTTGATAAGCAATTAACTTAAACTCAAACCAAACCCAGTTTTTTCCATACTAAGGATGTAATTTACCAACTCTGCTTTTAAATTTTCTGGTAAAACGACTCTCCGTCCTGGCTTTGTATTCGTAAGTCGCCGTAGAAGTAAAACTGTTTTTAAATAAACGAAAGAGTGTTTTTTTTTTAATGATAAAGGATCTGGCAGCTTATAGATATTCCATTCTACTCACTGCAAGAATAGCATTTTTCATTGCTAAATATTCTAAAATGAAAAATAGGGCTTTAATATTGATCGATATTGGAAACTGATAGGTGTTTCATATTATAAGAACAAGAAGTTCTTTTGGTTAAGCCTTAAAAAAAAATACGCAAAAATTTGCTTAAATATTTAAAACCGTAATTACTAACTAACCTCTTTTTATAACTATACAATAGAGCGAAGATAAAATGATATGTTGCACGTTGATGAAATTTACCGAAAAATGTACATCAGACGTTGATAAAATCACAAAATGGTCTCTACCGAATAAACCTTCCCCACATCCTGCTTAACAACTTCTGCCTTTATGCAGGTACAGTGGAGACCAGATTTGGTTATTTGCGCTATTTCCATTGAAGAAAATCAATGTGGTATTATCCGCCCAGTCCAAATTTGGACAACATTCTATACTTTCATGCTTCCTGTTTTCACAAACAAATATGATTTTTTAGATAGTTAAATATTAAGTGGTATGTAAGAAAAGTTATTGAGATTTATGAAGAGGGTGTTAAAATTGGTACGGATTATTTTGTCAGTATTAATATCTAGAATAGAAAATTTTGGATCATAGATACGTTAGAAATCTAATACTTGATAATACAGGAAATTATGAAGCAACTATGACAAAAATTTTTATGGAGGTTCATTCAACATCAACAACAACGTTGCGGCATTCAATAACCATGGCCGCTGACAGATCGGCAATAAATTCGGATGCGGCATTTTTATTGCAATATTTTCTTCAAAGAAAAAGGCACCAAGTGAAGAGGGAACGCTTGAAACCCAAAAAAAAACTATCTTTTAGAAACGCGCTAGTCTTATGGGAAGCGGTTATCCAAGTCAGTACAGTATAATAAGTAAAGAGATGAAGGGTCACTTACTGTTGGCGTCCTAAATACTTATTAGAACTCGGCACACTAGCATACCGAATGACGCATTGCCGAATAGAACATAGGAAATCACATGTAAATTTTTAGGTACTCAAATATTGGCTCCCCTGTCCATTTGATAGTAAAGTTGCAATATAACTTTTTGAATGGGCTCGGTATGATAAAATTATGTGCGGAGTTTGAACAAATTTTAATAAGCCAATGTTCAGTTATTGAATTAAATATGATGGCAAAATTAGAAAATTTTTGTATTTTAGGTAATAAATCAAAAACCAGTAAAATACATTTTGACAATGACAACACGAAAGTTCTTGACAGTAATTAAAGCTAAGTAATTAAACCTAATTATTCAATTGAAGAAGAAATAATTAAGTGATATTATGTAGGAAACAGTCTTAGACCAGTGTCAGAAATGTTTTCATGTTCCTTGAAGCTTCCTTGTTGATTACTTCTGTTCATACTCGAAGCCAATATCCTCAAAAAATAAATGTTATGCTGAGAATTTACGTACATCATATTATTGGGTCATTTTTATGGGCTATAAACTCACGACAGAAACCTATTTGGACTTATTACAAAATCAAATTGAACGCGCATTAGAAGAAGTTGTTCGCGAAGATCAGGAGAGCTGAGCATAATTCCCGTATGATCAGGGAGCATTTGGGAAATGCTTTTAATGGAAATACCCAGGTCACCTGACCTCTCGCCGAACGACTTATTTCTGTGGGGTTACTTAAAAAGTGTTATCTATGAAAATGTTGAATTTGAAAATCTTAACTAGTTACAAAACGCGATTTCCTTAGAATGTGACAGGCTTTCAGAATATCAACTAAGCAATCTTAGAAATGAATTTTATGAGCGCTTAGAATATTGTTACATTGATAATAGAGGGTTGTTTGAACATTGGCTTAAAAATAATTTAAAAAAAAAAAATTTTAGCAATATTTTGTAGCGTTATGTTTATTATAATTATGAATTATTTTTATTACAAGACTTAAGGGTCAAATTTATGGTTGTTTCTTGAAGCTTCCTTGTTGCTGAAACTGTCCTTTAAATGAAAGTCATTTGAAGAACGCTTTAAGGGATAAGGAGGTCTTAAGAACCGAGTATGAGTTTGATCCTAAGAAAAACAATGATATACCTACTTAGTTTACTTTGAATATGTTAAACCAAATGTTCATGTTTTTATTATAAAATATTGTGCAGCTTGACGTCGTCAAGTTTAGAAAATGGAAAATATTCGCTAATGTTTGTTGTATTGACATTTTGCAAATTATTTAATTCAATAACTGAAGATTGCTTGGACCCTTTAAAAAGTAACTTTATAAAATAGCTACCGCTATAGCTATATGCATAAGTAGTGGCAGTGGCGATTCTGTTACAGTTTGGCAGCACCATTCAGTTTTTAAAAATAATTTTGTCCGAAGTATATGTCTGTTAATTAGTCTCCCGCGACGTTTGTTTCTTGGTTAGTTTCGGTTAGGGAGGTGATATTCAGTGTATTGAGTACTCGAAGAAGAGAGCTGAGATCTTGTTAAGTTTTTGGCGCCTGGTTTTGCTTGGACTCCACTTTTAAGAGTCGAGCCGTGTCTGCATTTGAACATATTAAAATCAAGAAATAGTCAAAAATCCATATGATATTTTCAAACACACGCTTCAAAGACTACGAGCTCGAAAAAGTAGTTAGACCTTCCATTTTTCTCATATATCAAATTTCATCGTCATAGTTCAGAGTTATTTAATTAAAAAGAATCGAATCAAATATTAAAAATGTCAAATTGTAAGTTTTTTAGAATTTCAAAGCGTGATTTACAAATTGATAGTTTCATAATTAGTTAATTCCAATTAATAAATCGGGGCCCGACATCTGGCAGTTCTAGGGAAACTGAAAGTAATGAGGATCTTCTAAAGTTTTTGAAGACAAAATGCAGTTCCACTTCCGTAGTTGCTCTAAACCGGCCGTTTTGAAAATTTTACTTCTTTTAAGCGGATAATAAAACGCTTAATATAAAACGGTGGAAAAGTTAACAAGTTTAATGCGACACAAAGATTGTTGCCTAATTTTTATTTTATTTAGTCGCATGTGATACAAAACAAACAAACACAAGGCCTCACAAAATATTAAATCTTACCCAAAAATGTTCATTAGGCAGCCAAGATAGAGAAAACTAAGGACAAAAAAAGTTCGTGTACAAAATCAAATCAAGGTAGGACTCCAATAGCTTTTTGTTATAGAAATGAGGGGTGTTTTTTTTTCGATGTATAGAACTTTAAGTTGCAATAAAACAACGATGGATTATTCGATTGACATGAATTTTATTTGTCCGAAACATAATCTTGTGGCATTACATTTTAAATATGATTTCTGGTATATGACCGCCACCGCTGGCGCGGATGTAGCCCAATCTGGACGTCCAATTTTCGATGACTTTTTGCAACATTTGGGGCCGTATATCGGCAATAACAGGGCGAATGTTGTCTTCCAAGTGGTCAAGCGTTTGTGGCTTATTCGCATTGCCCCACAGAAAGTAGTCTAGCGGTGTTAAATCACAAGATCTTGGAGGCCAATTCACAGGTCCAAAACGTGAAATTAGGCGGTCACCAAACGTGTCTTTCAATAAATCGATTGTGGCACGAGCTGTGTGACACGTTGCGCCGTCTTGTTGAAACCACATCTCCTTGACATCATGGTTATTTAATTCAGGAATGAAAGAGTTAGTAATGATAGCTCTATACCGATCACCATTGGCTGTAACGTTCTGGCCATCATCGTTTTTGAAGAAGTACGGACCAATGATTCCATCAGCCCATAAAGCGTACCAAACAGTCAGTTTTTCTGGATTTAACGGTGTTTCGAAATAAACTTGAGGATTAGCTTCGCGGCGGTTTTGTTTGTTGACGTAGCCATTCAACCAGAAGTGCGCTTCATCGCTAAACAAAATTCGCTTATGAAAATCGGGGACAACGGCAATCTCGTTTTGGGCCCATTCGACGAATCTACGCCTTACTTGATGATCGTTTGCCTTCAATTCTTGCACGAGTTGGTAAACCAAGATCCTTCCGCAGAATCTTCCATAAAGTGGATGGACACAGATCGAATTCCTGTGCTCGATGGCGGATGGACTCATTCGGGTCTTCCTCTACAGCAGCAATTGCTTCTTCTGTACGCACCGTACGGCGTCTCTGGGGATGCGAGCTATCAATAAGAGTAAAGGTAAAATTGTACTAATTACACTATTTGCAAGCGTTGTTCAGGCGTGAGTCTATTCATGATGAATTGCCAAACCAAACTGAGAATAAATCACTTGACTGCTGTTATATCGCCATCTTGAACAGTAATGCAAACTTAAAGTTCTATACATTGAAAAAAAAACACCCATTATATAGTTAAACCACATTTTAGCTTGGCTAAACTAAATACGCTGGCCACACTCTTACCGATAAATTGGGCTCTATATTTTTTCAATCTCTCGTCCACAACATGATGCCAGCGTTTCGGATGTTCGCCGTGTCTCATCAGTGGACCGTATATTTCCGACTTTTTGGAGGTATGTTCTTCAATTATGTTCTCTTCTCGATACTTACACCCCAGCCGGTTTTGGGCCAAATTCAGTTTTCTTAATTCTAAAAAAAATACATAAAGCTATAGTTCAATTAGATTCAAAAATTATTTTCACCTCTAGCCGCTTTTTTGCGCACTTTCTCGAGCTGTTCTTGTTTGCGCTTTAGTTGAATCCTCATAAAATTGTTCAGTTTGCGTTCTGTCCTATCCGCCGCTTTTTCGTGAATTTCACCGAGCATTTGTTCTAAAAGGCCCAACCTAAGCTCTTGAATTTCTTGTATCTCCTTCAAAATTCAAAGCATGTTATTCACTGCCCTTATATCGTAATTATACTGAGTTCAAAATTTTAATATTTAACTACTGAGTTAAAATAAATTAAATTGAAATAAGTAAATAAGATACACTTTTTCATGATGATAATATCATCATTTTATGAGAAAATTAAAGTTAAAAACTATAAATTTTTAAAAATATTTCAAAAAAATCTACAAAAAAAATTCAATATGTGTTTATTTTTTTTATTTTATATTTATATATTATATTATTTTATACATTTAAGATCGAAAATCTTCCTTCCAGCATTGTACAGGAACTCATCAAGGCGAAAATTTTTGAATATTATAATTTTGAAATTGTTGGTAAGATACACCTTGGTAAGTATCCGCCTGCAGAATTCAAATGCTGTAGCCAAATTATTTCAGTCAGTGGCATCAACTTTAATATTTTAAATTGGACAGCCAGTATATTATTTGATTTTATATTATCGGCGGTTTTCGAGAAACTAATTATTTTTCCTATTTTCCATTATTCTTAGTTTAGTTTATTTTTTTAAAAATAAGGAACACAGTTATTGTCATTAAAATGAATCTTACCGCCTCCCTAAAAACCCATTCGTCCCTTTCCAATGCTTCAACATAATCCCTAAACTTCATTAGCGATGCTTCATCATTTATGTTGGGCTTGATCACATTTTCCCAGGCCCTTTTCATCCTTGCTCGTTCGATTAGTCTAACCTCGTGCATGCCAACAGGCAAACCGCTTCCCCACTTCAAAAAATCCAGTTTTAATATTTCCGGATCACCATCACCGACGATTTTGTGGTCAGGTTGCCAAGGTACTGTTTGCGCGGTCGAATCCCTATACACGGTTTCAACTTGAGCATCTTTTGTGTTCTTTTGACCTTATTAAATCAGAAAAAACGTATTTGGTATTGTTCGGATTTGTTATCTCTGTGACTTATCTTACATGAAGAGTTTTCTGAAAGAAATGTTAAGTCTGGAAATCGGTCGATTAATATTTTTGATAATTTTTCAATACTGATGAAGTTCAACCACATAAATAATAAGTTTTTTGTAGATACACATCTACTGACTGTTGCCTTGATCGAGTAATGAATGTCCGTTGCTGAAGTTTCTTCAAACTATGTACTATGTATAGTCTCACACATGATTAATGGTCATAATTGTAATAATGATATTTGTGTCTTTATCTACTCGTAGGCATTTTTGGGATAATAAATGAAACCAATCCACGGTAGTCGTAAGGAAATTGAAACACAAAATATATGAATACGTATTATATAAAATTAGTCGTCAAAATAATTTGAATCTTGCTATCAGTATCGTTCAAGGATATAATTAATAGTTTTATTTATTATTTATTTATTTTAACGTAAACAAAACAGCTTTTCAAAACTCAAACAAAAATTTTATACTGAAATTGTTTTTATAGATTTTTGAATCGTATCATGAATTCGTAGACTAAGGGGTATTTGCTGTTTAAGTAATTTTAAAGCCCTAACAGTCCAGACTCACATTTAAAAAAATATTTTATAATAGTTCCATCCCTAAAAAAAATCATTTGAAGCCTCTGTATATTATTAAAACATTATAGAAATTAATTATGAAATATTCAGTATCCGATAAATTAGAGATATTAAGTGTTGGTCCGGGATCATTTTAGCCTCACTGATTGCTACATATTGATTGGGTTATACATTTACAGGAACCAATACAATTATGCCTAAAATGTTTTGCCTAATTTAAAAAAAATTATTTAACAGAAAAATGAATGTCTCTGTACCTTTTTTACCTTTTTTTTTATATTTATTTTTGGGTAAGAATGATAAATAATAATAAATAATTTGCACTACCAGTTCTGATAGCAAACTTGAGCCTAGAATCAAATTAAAGCCCTTAACGAAAGAAGCTGCTAACACTAAAGGAAAAGTTTTTAATTTCCAATTGTTTGTAATTTGTCAAGGAGGCGGGAATCTCATAACGTAACGGCAAAACAAATATTCAAACACAAATTAATTGAATGTACAAAAATCCGCACCGGCAAGGATTTAGTGAAATGTCACACTGAAACGGAATCCAACTCCAACTCTCTATCCTTTAGTTCGTCAGCAATGACGAAGATTTGCCAAAATATTAATATGGAAATAAATGGCATACCAAGTAATGCAAAATTTAAAAATTTAAAAATTAAATTTTTAAAAAATAAATAAAAAATTAAGGATTACACAAAGCACATTCCAAATAATTTATACTTTTTAATAAGTTTTCTTGTCTCCAGCGAAACATGTAATGCCAGGAAAGAAACAGAAGTACTTAACATTTGTCAAGACATTATCTTTGCGAATTCAAATGGAAACAAATACACCCCTGAACATATTGGTTTGGGACTATTAGCCCATCAGGAGACCAGGTCAAAAAAACTTGTTGAAACCATACACGCTTGTGGTCACTTAATATCTTACTCGGATACTCCGTCGCTCAAGAATAAATATATAAATAATAAATATATTTTAGTCACATTAAAAACTACTTTACTCCCTCAAGGAGAACTATTTTGAAACTTAAAACGCAGACATAAACAATACATAAAATCATCCTCGCTGCGAAAACGCGTCTACAAGCGCACGTCGGAACCCCCAAGTCGTTTATTGCCTGACTGTTCTCGCAAATCTGACCCTTTCTCGCAGCTTCTCTGGCGGCAGCGATATTCACGACATGGCTTCACATTTTGCTAATTAAAAAAAAACTATTCATCAGATAGGGGTTTTTAAAAAAGTAACGGATTCGTTGATCTTTTTTGATAAACCATATAGTATTCAAGTTACAGCGAGCTAACCGATAACATAAAAATGAGTTTTCAGAGTAAGCGTTTATTTGTTAAAGACTCCCATGTAAAAGCATTATGTGTTTTTAAAATGAAACAAAATAGCATTTCTAATAAAAATATTGAAAATCGGTCTTGTCATTTTAATGGCAGTATAATAATTTTTTGACATTTTTTGAAAAATTCACTCCCACCACCCCCTGCATGATTTTTGGACGACCAGTTCATTTTGCATTCTTAGAGTATAAGAAATGATAAAAAGTGGTTCTTTCATTTTAGCAATAAAGTGCAAATGAAAATACATTTTAATAGACTTTTCCGAGCTTATTAACTCTACTAGGGAAAAAAGGCATTTCTACTACTACAAGAAGGAAAAAATATAAACGAAGTATGGAAATATTTACATCTTAGCTTTTCAAAACCCAATAATATATCCCCACCTGAAAACCTCCAGAACATAGATCACATAAACCAATATTTTATCAATTTTGCAAAAAAAATGGCTGTAAATAAAACACTATTGAATATTATTATAAAAATAAACTGCAACTATTTCTGTGGCAGACGTTCTAAAAACCATATCAAAAATCATATTAAAAGCGATCGGGGTTGATTGATTGGATTTTTGACCAATTTTTGTATGAATATTGTACCGTACAAGGTGGTCGTAAGTGATTTTTTTTTAACAGAAAGAACCTGTTTTTGAACTACATTGGGCAAAATCGACTTGCATCTCAAGGGCCCCATTTTTGAGAAACATTTAATTGTTTGGAAAATTGCCCATGACATTTTTATTTATGAAAACTTTGGATCCGGATAAAAACATTGTTAGGGAATTTTAATGCAAATGCAGTGGCGTACTCGGATTTTTTTTACAGTTCTCAGTTTTGTCATTAATGAATACAACTTCCTTATTTCATATGACAATCATCTATGGTGTCAAAAAAATGTCCCTGTAATTATAATACGAAAACGCAGTGGCAGCCAACGAACTTTATTTTAATAAATATCCAGGGAGGCAACAACCAGACAAGGAACCAAGGCAAAATCAAACCCACTTAAATGGAGAACAGAAAATCCTGGAATTGAATATAAATGGAATAGTATTGGATAACCCAGGCATATCCTTAGGGGCGCTGGCTGATGCAACAAATGCTGAAAAAACTCAAGTTTTCACTACTTCAAAAAAACATAAATAAGAAAAGGCCAGCAAATACATAGGGAATGCCGGTAGATGAATACAATTTTGCAACTGGTTTATCGGAAAATGCAATGAAAACATTTTTTTCCCTGGAGTGATAAATCGAGAATTGAGTGTTCCATATTTAACAGATATCATTCTTATCGCTGGAGCACAGTAAATTCTCATGCTGTAGTGTATTAAAATCGGCAAGGTCGCTTTGGATTCAATGTATGGGTAGGAATTTTCCGAGATAAATTTGTGGGACCTCATTTTTAACATATGCTATTCCATTCTTGGAAGACCTACCATTAATTCTTGAAAGTAGTATTTATTATCTGCAAGATGGTTGCCCCGCTCCTAACGCTAGGATTGTAAGTGAACTTTTAAATGAAGAATTTTTACAATGTTGGATTGGAACTAGTGCTCTGCGAAATCGTGTGATGCTAACTCCTCTAGATTCTTTTTTATGGGGGATATTTAAAGATCTTTTATTTAAAGACAGATTTTTTTAAACCAAAGCAGAAATAGAGGAAGCCATTCGAGAAGCGTTTGCTTCCATCAATCTTATAGAGTTAGTGAATTCAGTAAGACAAGGTATGTTCAGTGTATTCAAGTATTCAGTTTATTTTGTATTCTATTCTTAGTGCGTTCTATTTATTAAAAAAACTATAATTTATCAATAATAACTAAAATTCCAATTAAAATATTAAATGCTTCTTAATTTATCAATAATAACTAAAATTCCAATTAAAATATTAAATGCTTCTTAGGTTTCGTGTTTTTTACTTAAGTTATTTTAAATTGTCCTTAACTTATTTTTATGTTAGGTTCCAAAGTTTATTAAATAAAGTAGGCACTCTGTCCAAAATCCTAAAAAAAATTCTTCTCAGTCGTCCTGTGACAAATAAATTACTGTGACGTAGTGTTTAAAGCAAACTAACTATAACAGATTTCAGCGATTGCGGAACTCTTATTAAGCTCTAGCACACTAGAACTCAAAGTGAACCAATACAAATAAACATATCCTAAAAATATCCTTTACCAGCATTTGCCTATTTAATTTATCTAGCGAATTCTTCGATATTTCAGGCTTCTTACATTTTATTTGATGTTTTCCTTTTATTTTATTTATTCTCTTGACATTAATGTGCGTAAGCACCTTTTGTGTATAAATAAATTTTTCAAGGCGAACAAGTTTAAGATTTGGAAAATTATATATTTGTTTATTTTTTATCATAAAAGTCCTTTATTTTTATTAAAGATAGAAAAATAATTAAACCGCCAATATTCAAATGGATCCTGGATCATATCTTTTTGAACATTTTCTTGTTTTTATCCAAAACCAGACAATGCATTAATTTATTACTCCATCCACTTTTTAAGTAAGTCACAAAATGCCGTTCGTTACCCGCAAATACGCCACAAATATAGTCGAAATGAATCTTTTTAAGAAAATCATGCGCGTAAAATAACGGCCTTGAACTACGCAAAAAATGCAACGTTGCCAGTTTACTATCACGTAGGAAGTCGTAAAGTACTACGACTAACCATATTGCCCATGGTTTACCACGGAGATTCAAAGGGAAGTCGCTACGTGCGACAGGCATACAAAAATTACATTAGGGATTGCGATGCGAGCGCTAACGATCTACGCCTGAACTAAAATTGATAATGTAGGAATAAATGGCCCAACTTGTGACTTCATTAGAAATTTTTGCAGGAACGTTGCTTAGGCCCTCAAGGTCATATTTTAAAAGTTTTACATAGGAAACATTGTGACTTCTGAAATCGGAAGTCACAACGTTGTAAATGAAGTCACAACATTAATTGAGTATCTATTTTAGAAGTCGTAGAGTATTTATGATAGTACCTGGATAGTCCTATCTGTACGCGATAAAGAGAAATGAGTGCCAGACTATAAAAGTGGCTTGAGTATTTCTTTAGTCACTCTGCAGCTTTTTGCACACCTAATGGGATTTTATTACTCTACACCTTTCTAAAATAGACTATAGTAGCTATATGATTTCATCTGATATGAGGGTACATAACATTTTGTTGCTTTATTTTTATTTCAGTGAATTTCTTTAAATAATTCATTTTGATATTTTACCGTATTAAAGATCTTACCATTGGCCGCAAGAATAATACTCGATGTTGCGGCCTGTTCGGATCTCTGTTGGTCTTGCCTCTGAATACTAAACGAAGGCGTTTGAGCAGCATAGGGCATAAATCCCTTGGGTGGTAAATTAATTACTGCGCAAATAAATTTTGCCCTATCTGCACCGCGTAGGTCCACAGGTCTGGTCAGTGCCGCATCTCTCTTTCGCGAATTGCGTAGCTTTTCTGCGTAAGATTGTACGGGTGGGGTTCTTCTTTGGACTAATTGAATTCTGGGGTGGCTTGGCAAATCCGAAAACATATTCGGGAAAACCGGGCATATTTGCTAAAAAAATTGACGTATAACGTCACTGATATTATTGACATTTATTAACCGCACGTTAAGTCTTGCTGCGGGGCGTATATTGATGAAAAGATCTCTACTTACGAATTTTAACGACGACATTTTCGCCACCATAGCAGCTTTGTAATGATCTGCTGGACCCGAAACTGTAAATATGGGATCTGCAAAGCAACATGAATCTCAAACAAAAATTTGGGATATAAAAATGTGACTACCGTATTTGTAGTCGTGAGGCCTGTAAGGTATCAGTTTCGAGGAAAACATTCTGAAATGTTCTTGGGCCGTGATACGTAAGTAATGCCCCAAATATGCTTATAATGCGTAACTAAGGAACGTGTTTGATCCATAGACGCTTTGTATACAGGGTAAGCTTATCGAAACCTTTTCGCAAAGCATTACATTAAGTTTGTTAGTTGGAAGGACATCATGTTTGGATGGTTTGATATTATATAAATTTTTCAAAAATTCTTTTACAATGCGTTTATATAGGTCATAAATAGGAGGGAGGCGTGATGGGGTGTACTGGGCAGGGAACTTGCAACTCAAAGTCCAATGAGAACACACGAAATTATATTTTGAGCACTTATTAAAATTGAAAAAATAAATAATTATATAATAAAACGCTTGGGAAAACATATTACAACAAGATATTTATCGTATTATGTCAAGTTAGTCGAATGGGCTGAGGCTGGCGCTTAGACGCGTCTTGTTATAAAAGCGATGCGCCGCCCTGACTAGCCAGTCAGTCGAAGACAGAAGCCGGAGCGTGCCTATATAGGTGTGCAAATAGTTAATGAGTTTGTTATTTTGAACGAAATTTTACTCGGAGTGACTTGTGTAATTTCCCAATGGCTTCAAAATACCAACATTGACACCTTGCCATGGCCAACGAATGGTCCTGGTGAATGGTAAAACTGCTGTATCGAAGAAATACAAGGTATTCAGGAAGTATGGGAAGAATTGTCGTTTGAAGAAAAGTTCATAACTCCCTTCATGACGATAAACCGAATGCTTCATGCTGTGATTGATGCGGATGGAGGTTGCACACAATACTAAGTGTTTTTTCTTGTCCTGTTTATGTTAAAATGTATTCGTACTAATAAGGTTCAACCATCTTTTAAATTTGTTACAATTCTTGCATTTACCTAAAGCTTAAGTAAGTTAAATAAGTTGTTCATTTAAAAGTTAAGATTTATCTTTTTATTTTTAAAATAAATAAAAATTGTGTATGTTTAGTTTAGACGTTTTTTAATTATAAAACCTAAAAGAACAACCAACCAAAGAGGATGTCTCTCTCGTATTGCTTACAATAATTTCAAACTGTGTTCAAACAAACTTTAAGGCCGTATTATCGCAAGACTTTTTAGTAATAAAAATAGGTTTAATAAAATATTTTATTCCAGGAAATGGATACGCTTTTCTTGTAGTTATGAAGTGGCTCACGCAATGACAATGCAATAGAAATACGAGTTTTTACGCCTTTAGTTAAAATAGCTAAACTGAACCATTCGATATTCACAAAGAAAAAATTTTTATTAGTCAAAAAATGTTTCGATAAACCTGCCTTTCAGGTCCTATATTCAACCTCAAAACAAACTTTGTTTTGTCAAAATGTGATATTTTACTGCTCAAAATATAAAGTGGAATTTTCAAGCTGTATTAGCTAGTACCTGTGACTTTGAGATAGGGACTTTTCCTCTATTGAAAAATCCATATCGATTTGGCGCCAATGGATTTGAAAAACTCTACAAAAATTTGTAGACCGCAAGACGGCACGTGACATGCATCAACCAATTAAAATTGCAGCATCCACTTGCTTTCGTTTCGAAGTAGAGTTGCTACTTTTATCAAAATAAACCTATTTAGGTATGATTCTTGTATGCATTTACTTTACTTTACGGATATGTGAATAGTAGTTTACTCGTTTGTTCCAATTTCTGCCCGTCATATTTGTATTGGAATTCGTTATCTAGCGTGGATCTTCAAGTTCCGTGTAGACCTGTAGAAATTTTTTCGTGTTTTAAATTTATTAACTACAGTTAACTTGTGCTTAATGATAATATATAAATTAGGTATAGATAATATAGTGGCCCTACTACGGTGAAAAGTGTTGCGCCGCAAGCGACATTTATATTTTCATAACCTGTAATTTGCGGTATTTTCTTTCTAATTACCGGATTTCCACACACTTAACTCGTTTTCCCAGAACATTTAACGAGATCTAAAGCTTATTTTGGGAAAACATTGCCGCAAAAATGGCGAATTCAAACGTATTGACGATTTGTTAGCGGCCATATTGCTTGTTGAATGCCGCAATATCATTGGTTAAAGACAAGATTTTAAATCGCTCGCATGCGCATATTGCACAGACCTTTTAAAAAATTGTTTTCACGTTGGCTTCATAAGTTCCTGTATTATCAGCATAGGCAGGGCCTCCATATTTCTAAAAGCTATTTTAACATCAACCATCAAAGTTAAAAAAAACTGAGAGGTGAAATCAGTCTTTGTTTCTTTAAAGCGCGTAGCCGAAGGGAAAATTAACATAAATGCTGAAATGTTATAAATATTGCTATTTTTATTTAATTACTATTATCATTATTTATATAATTGTTTCAAATTAAAGCAGACTTTTGCCTTTACCACTTTTAATAAAAAGAATGCGAAGGCATTATAGCCCTAAGTGCAGTTATGCATTAGGTTTGAAAACATGTAATCTTTAGAGAACACATAATTAATGTAAGATTCATGGAAAAAATGTTTCTTTTTTGGATAATATCTATTGACATTTTTCTACGCTGAAATAAATCTGCTGTTTTTTTGTACAGTAATGTCCCATTATAAATTATCGAGTTGGAGCATTTTTCCTAAACTTTCCGTTCTACCATAAAAAATATAAAATAAAAACTTTATCCGTTAAATTTTGACTGATCCACATTTTTTAAAAAATACCCTGATTTGAAATATATATGAGTAGTTTTGGTTTTCTGTGACAAATTAGCCATGATAGCTGGAAACTGGCGTAGTTAACTGTTATTATAGATTGAAAGGGTATTTCCACAAGCGGAAAAGTTGGACATATTGTCGGTATTTTTAAAATGTAACCAAAATCAGGCTACTGCTTGTATTGACTTGTATATCTTCGCAGAGTGATTCCAAGTAAAAAAAAAAACAGTTTATAACACTTACAGTAGCTTGAAAAATAGCGGCTTAGTCAAAAGAAAAACAAAACAAGTTCCTTGTAATGTTAACGAAGAACTTGGTGTCTTGTTATATTTTCAAAGTGAGTATTTCAATCCTTATTATTAAAATGTTTTGATTTGAATTGCAGAAACTAAGTTATAAAATATTTCTTTTCAGAGCATCCCAATTGCATGCGGGAAACGAATTTAAGTAAAAGTAAAATACAGCTGATTTTAAAGAGCCACAAAATGCAGGCTTATAAGCTGACAAGAGTTCAACATCTTCCCAGATGAAGATTAACAGAGACGTCTTGAGTTTTCCACATTGTGTTGGAACGAATTCAAGAATCTTCTAATTTTATTCACAACATACTGTGTACACATGAGTCCTCATTTAATACGGTCTTGTCGCCTAATTTAAAGAACACACATTTCTGGTCAAGCGAAAGTCCCCACGAAATTTTGCCGATTAAAAAATCTGGTCGCCAATCTATAGCAGTTTGGTGCCGATTTATCAAAGAGTTGCTGTGGTTCCAAATATAGTATGGCAACAGGATGGGGCACCATATCACAATGTAAGAGACTATTTGCAAAATAAATACAATGTCTGGATAGAAGAAAATGGTGTAATACTGTGGCCTCCAGTCCAGATGTTACTCTGCCCGAGATCTTTTTATGGGAATTCCTAAAATCGAGAGTATATAGAAGAAGGCAACAATTCTAGAAATACAAAACAGAACACGAGAAGAGAAGTTGAAGCTCTAACTGGGCAACCAGTACTTCTTAGAAGGTGTATCGAAAACCTACACAATTTTAGAACACTAAAGACGATGCTTTAGTAAAATGTTGTTTGAGAATGCTTAAGTATGCAACATTGTTATTTTTTTTGTTATAAGTAGTAGGTAGTAGGTACCGGGAGAAAAAATGCAATCGGAAGGTTTGGAAAGAATACTCCAACTTTGGCCAATTAAACTTTATCGTAGTAAGTTATAATAGGACACTAGGTAAAATATGTGGCGGAAAAGAATATTTTGACTGGAGTCTGATTAAAATCAATAAGAAACAGCTTCTGTTGTAATAAGCGGGGAAAAGTAGATTTCGTTTAATGGCGTACTGAAATTGAGTAGAAAGTGCTCCTGCAGAATTTCATCTGCATATTTTGGCAGACATGGATGGTTTACCACTGATTTAAAATTATTCTTACAATCTTCAATCATTTTGAAAGAAATTTAATTTCTTGATTTTTTTGATGTACGGTATTCGCGTAAAAAAAATCGAAACCTCGTCTTTGCATGGCCATTACAAAATCGTTAATGACACCAAGCAGATAAATTAGTTTTGATTTTTAAGTGCGACGAACTCAAATAAAAATTAAGACATTACATGTGATCATAAATGAATGCAACTGTGATTATTTTTTAAGAAAATCAGTAGCGTGCCAATTTTGTTTGTTGCGTAAAAAATTGTATTTAATAATAATAATAAAATATCTATCTAAAACAAAATATCTAGGTTTTAGTTAACAACTAGTGTCCTTCAGAAAAAAAAATTTGAAGGCTGTTCTTTTTACTTTTACAGTTTTAATGAAATAACATAACATCCTAATAACAAGAAAGAGATAAAGATAAACGATTGTTATTTAAAAAAAAACACTACCTACTATTAATAATTTTTAACAAAATTGTCTGTTAATAAATTAATAACAACTTTTTTGAAAAAAGGTAGAACATACAAACTAGATAAGTTGTTGAAAGTGTGCTCCACCTTGAAGGATACACGATTCATCCCTTTTCCTCATATTGCGGCGCACTCTTTGAAGTATACTTCCAGTATTTTTTATTAAATCGCAGTGTTAACTGGGTGTGCGATAAACTAGACTTTTAAGATGGCCTATAAGAAAAGGTCCAAACTATTTAGATCTGTAACCCATCGGTTATTAAATATTGTCTTACTGCAACACTAAAGTGAGCAGGCGCGCCGTCATGCATTAACCACATTCAGTTCCTTATTAGATACGGTACTTCTTCTGGTAATGTTGGCAAATCCTCTTCTAATAACCGGCGATAATTATGGCCATTTAGCCTTTCTGGCAGGAAATAGGGCCCAATTAAGTAATTTCCAACAATTACAGCCTAAATGTTTTCTGAAAACAATTCTTGGTGTTTAAATTCTAATTACTGCCTGGGGTTTTTCATCGGCCCAAATATAGTTATTGTGGAAATTTCTCGTTACATTTTTAGAAAAGGTAGCTTCATCTATAAATAATATTTCTTGGTCGAACAAGGGATAATGCGCAATTTTGTCAAAAAATCATTGACAAAAATTAACACGCAAGGGAAAATCTCTGGGAAGTAACTCTTGGACTCGATGAATATGATTTGGGTACAATAAATACACAATCGTGCAAAATTTTCCAAACCAAGCCATGGGAGATTTAAAACTGATTTTTCAATTTCTGTGGTTTTTACAGTGCGATGATTATTTGCCCTCAATGTACCTGTTTCAGTCAACCTTCTATGTACATTTGAAAATGTTCGCCTATCTGGTATGATTGCATTGGGAAAGCGCTCTTGATACAATTGCCTAGCTTCCGGCGCACTGCCAGCAACCAAACTCTCGACCATTCTATTTTAACATTACATTGCTTGGATATTTTAAACACCAAATTAATAAAACGAGAAGAACCAAATTTAAAAACTGATGTCAATCAACTGTCTTGATAACAGAATTAATTATTCTTATAGACACAGCCTACTACAATGATAAGAAATAATTATAAAGTTTTTCAAAAATACGTCGAGTTTACGTACTTCATATTAATACTTCGATTTTTTGAAGTATTTTAGTAAAACAGATAGACAATTACTTATGTAAGAAATGATAATGATAATTATTCTATGCATGTTGTCATATTAATGATGAGAAGAGGTTTCTATTTTTTTAAGCAAAAACTGTACATAGGATTAACAAAAATAAAGAAATTACATTTCTTTAGAAATGATTGGAGAATGTAAGAATAATTTTTATTTTAAGAGAAATTAATGGCGTACCATCAATGTCTGCCGAAATATGCAGGTGAAATTCCGTACGTCCGCCACTGGTGTATTTAAAAAAATTGTGGTACACTAAATAATGCCTCTTAATACATAGTACATTTGTACGATATTTCATTAAAATATCTAAAGTGGTTTTAAGCCGGCCACTCACATAGAGGGAAGAATGTGCAATTAAACGTGTGCACGCTTGTCCTAAGTTAAAAGTTTACTCTTTGTACCTCCACACAGACTACGTCCTTCCAGTCATGTTCATGGCTATGTCGGTAAAGAAGGAGCTATACTACATGATAGTGCCGTGCATTTGTGATATAATAAAAGAAAATGTTATCAACAATAAGAAAACAATTCGTCGATCACGATGGGTTAAATAATGGCTACAAAAGCGCAATGAATATTCTAATGTTAATTTGCTTGAAGAATTGCGACTTGAACCTGCTTATTGGCATAACTACTTGTGGATGGATGTAGAAACGTATGGTGAGCTATTGAAGTTGGTTACTCCTCTTCTTCAAAAACAAGACACTTCGATGAGACCTGCCATATCCGTACACGAAAAATTAACTGCTACTTTACGTTTCTTGGCAACTGGCCGAAGTTATGAAGACCTCCAATTTTCTACATTTCGCCATATATTCTGTATTAAAAAATGAGTTTATGAAGGTAAGTGCATAATAAGGCTATACTTTAATAAAACGTATGAACTTTATTTTTTTAAAAGCAGAACACAGACAAAAATCAAAGAAAAACCAAGACGGCATAAAACAGAACGTCGTTGATTAGCTTTTCGGCAAACACTCTTTTTTCTGCTGGCAGCCTTCTTAATTTTTGAGCGACATTGTGGCCCACCGCATTAAACTCATCATCTTTTTCTGGTTCACTTTGTAACTTGTGACCAATTAATGTTAATGTTACGCACGGAAAAGACTTTACAGAAACATCAAAAAAGAAATTAGATATGCTAAAGGACATGACACTTTTAATGTACACAAAAAGATAAAAGAAGTTCGGGAAACGTAAAAGATCAAAGTGGCAACCTAGTTTACATTATTTTTTTGTTTTAGTCGCTGTATTCTTTGCTTTTAACATGCCACAAACAGGGGTGTTCTCGATATAATTCAATGAATTCTGTAATAAATTCTCGCGACATATTTCGTAAATCAGCCATATTAATCAATGTAAATTATTTTCTTAATTTAAAAAGTTTGCCTTATAACAATAATTAGCACGACGCTACTGAAACAATAACGCAGCGTGCAGCGACTTGTCCCCCATCCACAGTCGGCTTTCCCCGCGGAGGTTTAATTGCAAAATCAAGACAATTCTGATTTTAGCAGACTTCGCCACACACGAGGAGTTTTAACTGTTCCCCGTGGTATGTGCATTCAAGTCTTGAGTCTTCCCTGTGCGTGAGTGGCCGGCTGTACAGATATTAAAAACTATGTATTGTTTTTGAAAAATTTACCACCCTGTATTCCAAAAGTTATGACGTTTAGGACATATGTTCATCTAAAGTTTTCTTTTTAAAATAAACCCAAAAATAGCCTGACTAATTATTAACATTCAATTAGAAAATAAAATAATTAACTGATATAAAATTATTAGAAGTGTGTAGTTTATAAGTTGTGTGAATCGGCAGAATGTAAAATAAATAAAAATCTGAAGATGTCTACGATAAAGAAACGACTCACTGAGAATTGTACATTTATTAAATGCGCTAAATACAAAACCTTGCTAACCAAACTATTTTTAAAATAATCAAAAATGAAAACACACGTAGTCGGGCGTTTTTTATTTTAAAAGCGTTATTTCGGGGTCTACTATCCATCTTCGACCTCGCAAAGTTCGGCATGGCGGCGACGATTTTCGATTCAAGCATCTGAAACGGCTGGAGCATCAGGAATTTGAACAAACCGTTTTCGCCCCACTCGGTATTCCACGAGTTGACGCCTAGCCAATAGGACTGGTTGTTTTCGATCCCCCATCCTATCAACTTCGCCGACGTGGAACTTACAAATTCGCTTAGGTCAACAGTCGAGTAAATACCTACAAAATAGTTGCGTGAACACACTGCAATTTTGTTTTGATAGCGATTTTTAATTTGATTTGGCGGTTCTAAACCTATTGACGATCTGTCAGCGACCATGTTGCTTGTTGAATGCCACAAGGCAATTGGTTAAAAATGTTCTCAAAATTTCTTTTATAGTTGCTTCGTGCAATTGCTATACCTCTGGTAGCTATATGATTATACTAGTTTTACACTGTCACTTATCCATTAATTAATGAAGTTGATTCAGTAACGCAAACTAATGAAATAAATCAAAAAACAAGGTTATGTTATTATTATAAGCTAATTAATCCGCGCATCTAACCAATCTTCGCTTTGTGGATTTTATATATAATGTCTTTGAGTGTGAAATTAGAGCTATAAAACTATAATAATATGAACTGTGTCACAGATAAGGTAAGTTTACCCCCAGAGGTATCGGATATTATTTGGTAAGCAATGCCTAACTTAGGCAGGTAGAGTAGGTTCTCTAAATATGGACTACGGCAAGGATTGCTTTAAATAAAAGTAAAGAAAAAATGTTCTAGAGTTAGTTCTTTATTCCCATCAGTTACGTACACCTCTAAAAAGCTTAACGAAATGAATAAAAACTAATTTTCTAAAAAATATTAAAACATTTAACATTTTAAAGAAAGTATAATAAAACTAGTATTTAATATGGACCAAAATGATTCTTTCATGACACCACATTCTACTCCGGTAGAAATTAGTCTAATAAAAATAAAAAAATAAATCAAAACTTAGCCTAACTTAGCCTATAACGTTAACATCTACTACAAAAGTCATATAAAAATGTCTTTTTCTACTCCCTTTTTTAAAATACCTAATTATACACCGATCTAGCGTGCCCGAAGGGTCACTTTATCACGTGAATTTCTTGTCCCCCGGATCTGAGCCACTTCGAACATTTCCGGCATATTACGGCAGGGGTTTGGGAGCAATCGGATGTTTTCGGAGATTTTACCGCACGGCTTGAAAGTTGACGGTTGTCATTTCTGTCTACCCAAAAATTAACGGGCGTAGAAAAAGTATAGTACGCAACATGTTTGGGAAACTTATTTCTTCTCCTTTCTGTAAAATACCTAATTATATACCGACGTAGCGTGCGGTATGCATCACTCTACCGCCTCCGGGTTAGAATTTTGACGTTTGTGCATTCTGCCGATCATGTATGTCTGCATTCGTGTGGTTTTGCAAAAATGTGCCGAAAAACTAGCCGTCGTAGAAAAAGTTTAATATGCAACACGTTTGGTAAAATTTTTAAGTCTCGTGACTCACATGCCCCTTACCACACTTGTTGCATAATATACTATAAGTTACTCCTTTATTAAACATTCACTTCGCTATGCTCCGCTCGTGCAAAACAAACTAATTTGTTGCATAATATACCATTTTCTACAACGGAGTAATCTTTATGTGCCCATTGAGAGCAAGAAATGCGCTAATTCACTTTAATTCACCACAAACATCCTCCGAAAACATGTCATCCCAATATAAACATGCTGCATTTGGGCTGTAGGATCACGATCTTCATCTGAGCTATCTTTGAGTGAAAAATTACTAAAATCCTCAGAATTTGATCATTCTCCCGATTTACAAGTTGGTTTTTTCTTTACATTTCTTCTGCCAGTGTAGTCGTTTTCTCTCCTTAGTAGACTTTATCTCCAAAATTTCTGTTACTCTTTTATTTGTCCTGGGATTTATTTCTTTTTTTTCCTTAATTGATTGGTCTAATTCCAGCTTGTATGGGGAAAACGTTAATAGATCAGCTTTTTTTTCTTCCCTTGTTGCTTTTTGTTCTATTTAAACGCGGTAATGGACTAATACTTTCTTGTGTTATAAAAGCAGGAGCAGTTGAAGAACCTGAAAGTAGATTTGGAATGAACGATTGATTTTACTGATTTGTTAGATTTTCGGTTGGTGCTATTGTTGCGTTTAGGGATGTTTCAATAAAATCATGATCACTAAAAACATTATTAAGCGGATAAATCCGTGTTGTTCTAAAGCCCCCAAAAATATGTTTTACTGAGTGATAGCTCTGGTATGAACTCGCATCCATACGCGGATTTCTTCAGCTATATATTTTTTTAAGAAGCCCATAAACGTTTTGCCGAAAGGTTGGATTTTTTGGCTAGAGTGCGGCGGTATTGATACTAAGCGAAGATTATTTTTTCATGCCAAATCAATTACTTCGATCTTACGGGTATGACTTGCGTGCCCACTTTTGTCAGGAGCACGGGAGAAGTAGTGGAAGGTTTGATAACTTCTAAAAAGTGTTTAAACTCTAAAAATGAAAAGCTCTGTCTGTATCCAGTCTGACGGATAACAAGCGTGTGTTGATCTACCTGAAGCACCATTCATTAGCAGTGGATGATCTCGCTTTCAAGGAAATATCATCATTGGGGAACAAATGATCCAGCTGCATTCATACAACTTATCCATGTTATTATTAAACCTCTTTCGGCTGACGTGACTGCAGCTAATTGATTTTTCCCCTTTAAAGATAAAATTTGTGGCATCTTATTGGGTAAGTCCGATATCCCGGTCGTTGTAAATATTCGAGGCAGGATATTCGTCCATTTCTTTCTTTAATAAATTAAAGAAAATGGTTACACCTTCTTTGTTAAAACCTTTTAATGGTGCAATTGAGGTTCCTGTTGGACAGTTAAAGGATTAATTAAGATAACGTGCTAAAAACAGCTTCAACCATGTTTTGACTGCAAACCCAGTTGTTCCATAGTAAGGATTTAATTTAAAAACTCTTAATTTTCTGGTAAGCTGGAGGTAAATCTCTGTGTTTAGATAAAAGAATGAATGTCGTTTTTGGATCGCTAAAGGATCCGGCAGCTTTTTAGATACCCTATTCTGTTCTCTTTAACGGCAAGAATAGCATTTCGTTGCTTTTCTATCCCAAGTTTGCCTGGAAAAAGGATTTTGCTTTTGCGACGAAGCCATAGGTGGTCCATATTATAAGGACAAGAAGTTTTTTTGGTTAAGCCGTTTAAAAAAAAACAATTATTTAAAAAAAATATGCAATAGAGTTAAGATAAAATAATATAATAAATTTAATCTTTTCAAAACACATAAATGATTTTCTACCTAACAAAGTTAATGAACTTAAGTATATTGTTGCTTCATCAAATAATAAAACTATGTAAATGATTTCAGTAATAGAATCCACATTAGTAACCGTCGTTTTCGATTGTAACATTTTGAGTTCATTGGGTTCCAGATAGGATTCACCTCCTCCAGCAGTAATATTAAAAAAGCTGAAATAATTTTTCAAAGAAACTTCCACAGGCTACTGTAATACTACTTACAAAACTGCATTGCTCCTGCGTTTTGTAAATAGCTGCAATAAGTTTGGGATTTGTCATCTTTTCAGCTCAAAATAATTAAAATTAGAATAATTCACACTTAATTAATCATTTTTTAACATTTATTTATTTTTAATTCAACTTCTATTTATAGTATCGTTACTGCCTTTTTGAAACTACATTGGGTAGGTTCGACTCACCGCCCTTATAACTTAAAAAGTCCGCGTAAACGTCAAAGGTTGCTTCGACGGGGCCATTCGTCATGATCTCGTACTTCAACTGTTCGATGCAGCTTTGCGTAGTGTCGCAGTACAAGTTCTCGTATGGTTCGAATCCGAAATATAGTGTTTCGTCGTAGCTATCGACGTTTACTTCAGAGTGAGCGTCACACGTCCTCTGACAGTTAGGAATACAAGCGGGCTCCAAAGTCGAGCAAAGCGTTAAAGTGCTGGATTTGGTGTGGCCGCATGGCTGATTCGTATAGGCCTTGCACCCCTACAATTTTCAGTCATTTCAGTTAACGAATTATAATTTTAGTTTTGAAGGTTGAAGGAGGCTTTGGGTTATACAGACCAACAAAGATTTTGTGATTTGGTATTTTTCACATTTTTGGAGTTATAGGGACTAAACCAATAGAAAAACAATCGTTTTTGTTTCTATCACGCAACATTTTTGAATTAATTTCCGAAATGTCATATTTATTGTTTTAAAAATAATGGCATTATATAACATTCTAAAAATTGAAATTTCTAGCATACATTGTGCATAAATTAACAAATGAAGTGAAATATAGTTTAAAAAACTATAACACGCTTATTTTAAAGTAAAAATTGGTGATTAAGACAAACTTTGGGCACCATATCTATTGTTGTAAGGTATGTTGTAAGGTTTGTAAGGTATGTAAGCTTTAAATAAAGTTGGAGCATGTTTTATATACCTGTGGAAATTTTCCTGCTCTCTCAAAATTGAAAGGAGGAATTTTTGTAGGTCCTCGAATAAGGCGATTAATGGAAAAATAATATTTTGTGGATACCATGCAAAGGTTGCACGGATTTCGTCGATTGATGTTATTAAAGGTTTTCTATTAGACAACAAATATCCAAATTACAAAGACATTGTAGAAATTAATGTTCTAAAAATTTAGGGAACTGGGATGCAATATGAGGAAAAAACTACGCTTTTTACACTCACATCTGCACTACTTGAAAATCTTGATGTTGATGTGAGTGAAGAGCAAGGTGAGGGGTTCCACTAAGATATAAAAGAAATGGAATGAAAATATCAATGGCGATGGAACGTTGCAATGATGGCAGATTACTGCTTGTCGTTAAGAAGAGACAACCCGGACATGAAAATGAAAATGAAAATCCACTAAATGAAGTATTTCGATCAAGAGACCCTCCAAAGGTAAATGGTCTTAACTATTGTTTGAGGCTCCGTTATTTAATTTATAATTTTTATTCGGTTTTGGTTCTTATAGTAATAAAAATTCATTCATTGGCCCTTTTAATGGTGATATGGTGATAAAAAAACCTTACCTCGTAGAGGAAAATACTTATCAGATTTAAATTTAGAAGACCTAAATTATACAGAAGCAAATATCAGATCGAAATCAGCTTCCAAAAGTTTAAAATTTGTTGTCCCGTGTTCTTTTTGGGTTATATGAAAAAATTTTAATTTGCAGATCTTCGAACAAATTCGCCAAATTCGACCTGAAAACGCCAAAAGTTCATGACGACTGATATTTTAGAACTGTGGCTGTGAAACAGAAATAACGAGCTATCTTATATAAAAAATATCTCTTACAAATAAAATAAAGTCCTACACTTTGCGAAAATTATGGTAAATAATTAATTATAAATTAAAAGGTTGACTGGTTTAAAACGAATTAAAATAGTCTAAGACACAGAACATTTTAGGCAAATGTCACTCCTGGGAGTGAAGTGTATTGATACATACATCTGAAAAATAGGCAATCGATACTCAATGCATTGACAAATAAATATGTTAATTACGAGAATTAAAAAGTCGGAAGAATTTTTTTGTTCATGAGGACGATGTATATGTAAAACTCTCTACACGTTTGCAATCCGTTGACAGTCTCCATAGATAATAAAAATTGTATCACAATTTTAATATATTCTATTTATGTTTTAAAAATCATTAATAAAACATTTGCCAATGCGATAACTATGGTCAAATCTTATAATTGTTACAAAATTGCTTTTATTTCGAAAACCTTACGATTTATGCCCATGATGGTGAAAATTAAAAGCGGTTTTAATTATCTCTCAGCGTATTTGTTCCTTTCATAAAAAAAATAGTTTTGCTGTGTAAGACTGAAAAATCATGAACACCCTGTACATTGTAAAAGTTATCACTAGTGCCCAAGAGGCTAGCAAATTGCAGCCACAATTTTAGCTTTCCAAATTCCTTGAAAAGCTTGAAATGGATAAAAGGGAGTATTCCACTGCAAGGATTAGCAAGTGACATGTCTTGACAAAGTTGTCGGGAATTTTTGGTTACAATTTTAGGTCGACGGAGGAGCTAGAAACCTAGATTTTCACAAAACGTCTAATAAAACCTGTGTGCTTGCAAAAATGAAATCCAGACAAACTGAAAAATAGCAAGACCTCTTAATTATCCAATAGCGTTATATTTTTCCTTTCTAACACAGTAGCTGCCATTAAGATGTAATGCCTAGTATTAATTTATTAATAACTAAAATAGTATATTAAATATAAGTTTCCAGGCTTTTATGGACCACTCTAAAAGAAATATGGATCGAAAGCGATAAAAATTATTTGGTGTATCTGCTTGTATCCTAGTGAAACGGAGATTAATGAAATTTGTATACCACAAAAAATGTGACAAAAGAAAAATCAAAGGCTTGTTAGCGGGCACTAATGTTAGAAGTAGAAGTGGAAAGAGATTTTTAAAAGGAGGTTTGCTGTACTAACAGTTGTACCATACAGTACCACGAAGATAAGAATTCGGATGTTTGAACACTGTTTCAGTGAAATAATAAAATGTCTTCCGGGTGATTGAATTGAAGAAAACAAAAACTTATTCACTGAATATCCAGGTTAATAAAGAAGAACTGCAAATTTACACAAACATTGTTTTATAGAATATGACGTGGAAGATATGTTACAAACATAGTGTAACTGTGCCGTGCAGATCGGCATATATCATTGCGAAAGCGAACAAAGCAAGAAAAAACACGACATTCATAATTAAAGACCTATTTACTATTTGATCAAGCCATTGAGGGAGTGATACTAGAGGACTGCAAAAAGCAAATAATAAAAGAGGAATGTATTCATTGGATCCATTTAGCTATTAGATAATATAGTAACCTTACTGTACTACACAAATTGCTGCCCATGCGCATGTCGAAGGGCCATTCTCAATTTTTTTTCATAGTTGCTTAGTTGCTATATTGTTCTATAGCTTTAATAATTTGATCACTCTGTAGACCCTTTGCATATGACGGTTTTTGTCAAACTGTAGTGAAAATTATGGATGGATTATGAAGGCAATGGCAGTTCTAATCTTAACAATAGTTTGATAGTATACTTACTCCAGTTGAGTTGTAGGCACCCCCCGTTGTGATTCCGTTGGTGAACCAATATTCCCAAGCAGCGAAGGGGTATCCTCCATCGCATCCGTACCTGCAATCCGTGCAGCAGGACATCAGATCTTCGGGGGAGAGGATTGGGCGGTCCGTGAAATTGGAGTGTATGCAAATTCTATCGGACATAGCCGACACCGCAGCTATCGCCTAACATAATTTTCAATTATGGTATGTATAACTTCTAAACCATTAAATATATAGGCTCGGTTAAATGGGATAACAATTTTATAATCAAATGCTGTCAAAATTGGTGGATCATGAAATACTTTAGAAAAACCAAATTCTTTGATTTTAGTATTACCTTCCTGGCACATGCTTTTAAAACTTTCTAAACAAGAATGTTATACAAAGATTATAGGGTTCAAAATGAATTCTTTCGGAATACATTAGTTTATTTTTTTATAAATAATCTGAAAATGCACAAAAGTACAGGCTGTTCTATATTAAATTTCAATGTAGCAGTAGTAGTAGTTCAAAATTGAGATACTCTCCAAACAAAACCAGTCAATACTATATTATCAAACATACTATACTAAAAGCAAGTAATAACAGAAAAATTTTGAACCTGGGCGGAGCTTCTTCTTCTTCACGTGCCATCTCCGCTGCGAAGGTTGGCAATCATCAATGCAATTTGTATCCTTGAGACTGCAGCACGAAACAATTGGTTGGAGTTACATCCAAACCATTCTCTCAGATTACGCAACCATGACATCCTTCTCCTTCCGATACTCCGTTTACCTTGGATTTTACCTTGCATAATCAGTTGTAGCAATTTATATTTTTCTCCGCGTGTAATATGCCCCAGATACTGCAATTTTCTTATTTTGACCGTATCCATTATTTCACGTTGCTTGTCCATCCTTACAAGTACTTGTTCGTTTGTCATTCTGTCCGTCCAGGATATCCTTAAAATTCTTCGGTACGTCCACATCTCAAAAGCTTCTAGTTTATTCAGGCATTGTTTATTCAAAGTCCAGGCCTCCACGCCATACAAGAGGACCGAGAAAACATAGCATTTAAGCATCCTCACTCTCAAACTTAAGCTCAAATCCCTGCTGCACAACAATTTCCTCATATTATTAAAAGCACTTCTGGACTTTTCTATTCTTATTCTGATTTCTTTGGAATAGTCATTTGTCTCGTTAATGTTCGTCCCCAGATAATTATAATTCCTTACTTGTTCTATCTGTTCATTCTTTATATAAAGGTTTGTATTGATAATAGATTTTTTTGTAATTATCATAAATTTAGTTTTCTTTGTATTGAGTGATAGCCCAAACTCTTCGCTTACTTCTACAATTTTGTTCGTAATTCTCTGTAGATCATCCATATTTTCTGCTATTAGCGCGGTGTCATCGGCATATCTAATATTACAAACGGGTAAGCCATTAATCTTTACTCCAGCTGTTTCATCTTGGAGTGCTCTCTTAAATATTTCTTCGGAGTATAGGTTGAACAGAGATGGTGATAAGACACATCCCTGTCTAACACCTCTTTTTATTTTTATTCTGTCTGTCACCTCATTGTGTACCCTTATCACGGCCTCTTGTTGGTAATACAAATTATTTATTATTCTTATGTCTCTAGAGTCAATGTTCTTACTTTTAAGCAGTCTTATGAGTGTTTTATGTTGGACGGTGTCAAATGCCTTATTGTAGTCCAGAAAACAAACGTACACATCCTGATTTACATCTAAGCACCGCTGCGTTAATACGTTGAAGGCAAACAGTGCTTCTCTAGTCCCTAGTCCATTCCTAAAACCGAACTGCGTATCCTCAATATCTATTTCTAACTTTTTATATATTCTGCGATGGATGATTTTCAGAAGTACCTTAAGTATGTGACACATTAAGCTGATGGTACGATGGTCCGAGCACTGTCTTGCGTTGGTCTTTTTGGGGATAGTTATAAATGTTGATTGTAGCCACTCTTTCGGTAAAATTCCAGTTTTGTATACACTGTTGAAGAGATGTGTTAGAAGATGTATGTTATGATTGTCAATGAGTTTAAGAACTTCTGCTGGTATTTCATCCAGTCCCGTAGCTTTCCCGGTTTTCATTTCCTTGATGATGTGTTCTACTTCGTCCTTCGTTATTTCTGGTCCAATATCATCACATACATACTCACTACTTTCTTCATCTCGCTAATCTTCGTACAGTTGTTCTACATAGTTTTTCCATACTTTCAATTTTTCTTTTGTGTCCATAATAATATCTCCATTTTCATCCACCAGCAAGTTGTTATTGTAATTGCGTTTGTTGGTTAACTCTTTAATTCTCTTGTGCGCATTGAAACCATCATGTTTACTTTGTAATTTCTCGATTTCCTCACACTTTTCCCTGTGCCAGTTTTCTTTGGCTTCCCTAATTTTACTTCTGATCTTGCTTTGTAGATATCGGTATTTTTGTTGATCTTTGTTTTTGTATGTTCTTCTCTCGTCCATGAGACCTAATATTTCAATTGTCATCCATTCCTTTCTTACCTCTGTTTTCTTACTAAGTTGTTCCTTGCATGTTTTTAGTATTTCTGTTTTAAACTGGAGCCAGTTGTTGTTTATATGTTCTTCATTGTTATTTTCTATGCATTGCAAGGTTTGCAATGCCCCATTTATCTTATTTTTCACTCTTTCCCTTGTTTCTGGATTACGCAATTGATTAGTGTCAATTGTATCTTTCTTTGTTCTATGGTCAATTCTTTTTAATTTTATCCTTACTTTTGCAATTAGTGGGTTATGGTTAGAGGATATATTTGCACCCGGATATGTTTTAACTGACATTATACCATTCCTGTATCTTTCATTGATCATTAAATAATCTATCTGGTTTCTAACTATTTTCTCTTTGCTATCTTGTGGTGATATCCATGTATATAAACGTCTATTAGGTAATTGAAAGCATGTGTTTGTGATAACCATATTTTTCTCTTGGCAGAATTGTACTAACCTTTCACCTCTGTCGTTCCTTTCCCCCAGACCGAAGTTTCCCATTAGATTATTTGTCTTTCCTTTACCAACTTTAGCATTTAGGTCACCCATTATTATTGTTACATCTTTTGCTTTGACTTGTTTCAGTATTTCGTTTATTTGTTCATAAAACATTTCTACTTCCTGATCATCTTTGTCTGCTGTTGGCGCATATACTTGGATTACGTTCATCCTTCCTATGTTCATCCTAAATTGTAGTAACATTACACGTTCTGACAGTGGTACGAAGTTCAGAACATATCGGGAAACATTTTTGTTGATTATTATGCCTACTCCATGTCGGTGCTGAGGGTCGGAGCTACCTGAGTAATATATTAGATGTTGATCTTTCAACTGACATTCTCCACTTCCCGGCCAACGCGTTTCGCTTACACCTAGGATATTGATGTTCATTCTTTGCATTTCCTGGACAATATTATGTGCTTTTCCGGGTTCATACATGCTAGTGACATTCCATGTTCCAATCTTATATGTTTGTTTATTAGTCATTTGACAGGGTTTTCGCATGTTGACGACCTGAGAGGCCCTGTTTCCCCTCCTGCCGGATCTTGACTTCCGAATATCATGATCAGTAAGGTCTTTGGTCTGGTTTATTTGGGCGGAGCTAAATGAGGGCATAAACACCGTCTCGGGTGACTGATTCCCTTATTGGTGACAGGTAGAGACCTGAGTCACGGTTAAGATTGTTAGGATGTTTATAGATTTCTATAAACTCTGGGATTTTCGTTGGTAGAAGAATTGATTACATGCAAGAATTTTAGTTTCATCTAATAAAATGTTATGTCCGTGATTGTTTCGTGATTGTGTTCGGCAACAGCTGTTGACATTTTTCGACCGGTCTCTCCAATACATTCTTTGTCCAATGTAATTTTGTCTTTGACGGACCGAAGATGTTGAGAGATTTTTGGAAAGGTAGTAAATCTGGTTTTAACGTTATACTTCTTTAGAACTTTTGATATGTTTTCAGTGGTGTTTTGAATGTAAAGGAGGACAACAGTGGTAAGTGTAGGATTGCTTCCGGCCTTATTGCTATTGGAAGGTTGTGTTGAAGTGTATTTTTTGACGGATTGCTTAATATCTTTAATGTGGAAATTATTAGAGAGAAGAGCAGAGCAAACTGCCATCTCAAACAGCTAATGAAATTCGATTTGAAAACGCAAAAATCCTTAAAATATCAAAACCTCCTAAATCCAATATTGCAAAGTCTAATAATAGTAAAATAGTGACTAAAGTATGTTGTTCAATGATATCGCCGAGAATGTAAACAAACAGAATGAAGGCAATCTTATTTCTCAATGAATAAAGTATATTTTTAAATGTAGCTGTACCATCCTAGGGTAACAGCCCCTTTGCGTGTTTTATTGTTTCGTCTTTCAAATTCGCTATAAAAATTGTGAGCGAGCAGAAGTGTCTCTAGCGCTGTTTTTCTAATTTATAATGTCAACTAAAAAAAATGAGAAACGAGTTTCGATACGAAAAAATTTTTGCTTTGCCGCTTAAAGTGAAAATAGATATGCTTGATTATTTGCGCCTTGGCGAGTCATTTGGATGCATATCACGTTCATTTGATGTCAATGAATCAACTTTATCATCGATAAGGAAATCCGAATATAAAATATGCTCGTCTGTAGCTTCAACTTCACTGTCGAGGCGAGAATTGTTCGTGATCCAGCAATAGAGAATATGATAATGACGTCGTCATTATGGATCGAGGACCATGCATGACATTAAATTCATTGGAGAAGCAGCATCTGCAGGAGAACGATATCCAACCAGAATCCAGAAACCTGAGCAAGTATTTAATGCAGATGAAACTGTACGTTATAGAAGAGAATGCCAAACAAAACATTCATTTCTAAAAGCGAAAAGGTCTGCGCCTGGATTTAAAGCAACAAAGTATAGAGTTACACGGTTGGTCCGTTCTAATGCATCTGGAGACGGTGTCATTAAGCCACAGAGCGAAAAATCTCGGGCTTTAAAAAATTAAAACAAGGACAACCCGCCAGCGTTTTGGCGTACTAATAAGAAAACGTTGGTTACTAGTGCTATTTTTTGTGAATGGTCCTGGAATTGTTTTATTTCTGAAGTTGAAACTTATTTAAAAAAACAGAATTTAGACTTTAAAGCACTTATAGTTTCAGAAAATGTACTTGGTCATCCTCGAGAACTTGAAACTATGTATCCAAATATAAAAGCCGCATTTTTACGTCCCAACACGACGACTTTGCTTCAATTACATTAGACGAACCTTCAAAATCATATTGGATAATGTGGAAAATGCATAAACATAAAAAAATAGTTGGAAAAACTGAATCCACATACAATTAAGCCATGCTGGAAGAAACTTTGACCTGGAAAATGACGAAAAATCTGAGCAAGTTCAAACTTTGACTGCAAACATAGCCAACATTGCGAATAGAATAGGACGAGATGGTTTCAAACAGATAGATAGAACATCTGTCTATAGAACGAAGTCTTACTTTTAAGAGGAAAATTGCTAATGCGACTGCTGCACATTAGATTGAGGGAGCTTTTAACAACTGCCAAGCAAGAGAAAATTACAAAAATCTTTAAACGATTGCCTAAGCCTTAAGATAATTCATCAAAATGTTCAAAAACTTCAATCAACTTGATTTTTTTATATATTTGTTTTTTTTTTGTCACCTAGGAACGTATTCCCTATAATCCCCTATAATTTAATGACACTTTGGAATTTCACTTTCCAGGGGTCAATATATCTGGAGCCAGTGAGTGACAATGACCTTGTGAAACATATTCGCAGCTTAATGTTCGCTGGCGCCCCCGGCTATGTTCAAACATATTAAAATGTTTCATAATCTTATAATTGCACCAATTTAATTAATTATTAATCTAATATTCAGTAAATATCCCACTTAAGGCAGGTGATTCCAAATTAGTTAAAAATTACAGGATCATCAGTTTGACAAGCAACATTGCGAAAATTTTCAAAAAATGAACAGAACTTACTAAGTTTTTGAAAATCAGTAGCCTGGTTTCAGAAAACCAATTTGGGTTCACTAAGGGACATAGTTCGTGTGGTGCTATGCGGGGGTTAGTGTCTTTTGTGATTGATGAGATCAATGAGAACAATAAATGTATCGCTGTTTCTGAACTTGGCCAAGGCGTTTGACACAGTGCAGTGCACATGAAACTAATGGAATTAGAGGCACTGGCACACCTGGCAAACAGGATGCAAAAGATAAGAGATGCAATACGCCAACCGTAAATTATATAGTACTGGGACCCACACTTCAATCTGTTTATGAAGGGGTAGACATTGTTTAATATAAAGGGAAAGGTTATCTCATACGCTGCTCTTACTGTCTTGCTTTTTAGGAGTGATAGCTAGGATGGAGTGAGAGTTCAGGCAATCAGCGAACTTCACGAGGTAAAAGAATGGTTAGACTGCACTTAGACTCTCTCTGAATATAGATAAACCTAATTATTTGGATTTTTCAAAAACTATTGTTGATCGTCCTAATTTTAAAAGTATGCAGGTTGAAAATTTGAATGAACAAATTTTGGAAGGAAAAACTGTAAAATATTTGCGTGTTTATATTGATACAAATTTAATTTGCTAAAGCAATGTCTAACTAAGCAACTTCTGTTGATACTATAATACCTCTTAGAGTCGATTTTGCAGTATGGGATAATAGTACAGCACTGCAAGTGTGGATCAGGATGGAATGAGTTACAAAAACATCACTTATATCTTACGAATCTTAGTAATGTTTGATGTTATCAGAATAAAGATTCTTTAAACCCAATCGATCATTGGTGGCTTTTACTTCTTCAGATTTTCACCGCTATTTATACAATACAACAATACAAATATATCTGTACATATATCTATATCTATACATATATCTATATCTATACATATATCTATATCTATACATCTATTTATCAAAACAGGTCGTAATACATTCTTAATTACCGTTTTAGGGTAATAAATTGAAATTTAACACCAAGCTAATTGGTCATTAAGTAATAGGTTCGTAAAAGATTTTGTTTATCTTCATAGATTCTAACAAATTTAGTATTTTGCTTTTTGATTCATTATGTAAAGGATCAAAAATATCGTCAAACTTGTGCATTTATGAATTTAAGTGAAAGGCATAGTTAGATTCCGAACTTTTATTTTTATACGCTCTTTTATGTTCGTTCGTTACTATAATTATCTATTTATCTATTAATTTTTTAAAGAAACTTCCACAGGCTACTGTAATACTTTTTACACAACTTCTGGATTTTTCCTGCGTCGATTTTTGTTGAGTCAAACTTGCTAGCGTTGCGCCATCTATCTGTTTCTATAGACAGGGTGTTTTCTAATTGAATGTCGATAATTAAACCGACGTACGGTTATCGCTTAAAATAATCAAAAATCTCTTATCTGTTTTATTAAAATACTTCAAAAAATCAAAGTACGAATACAAAGTACGTAAACTCACAGATATATTTTTGAAATCTTTATAATTATTTTTTATCATTTATATTTACATAGTTTAGACTTTTCCTTATGGGGGCATGTTCAAAGTCTGGTCTATCTGGTAGTTAGTAACTAAAAAGTAGATATTTTGTTTTGGATAGATATTTTATTTTTCAAAAAAAAAGTTCTCGATTTAACCAGTGCAGCTGAGGCTAATTAACCAAAATATTATTTGTTCATAGACAGTCCTTAAAGAAAATGACATTTGCATTCATTTATGAGCAGATTTGTTATCCTATTTTTTTTTTATTTGATTATGCAGAGAAGAGGTTTTTATTTTTTCAAGCGAAAACCGAACATTGGCTGAAAGAAAATCAAGAAATTAAATTTCTTTAGAAATCGGGGAATCAGGGAATTAAGAGAATCTACATAGTAGGTGTGTGCCAAATTTCATAAAAATATTTAAAGTGGTATTACAGATATAAAAAAATATATTTTATTTTTGAAAAGTTACCACCTTGTATCTCAAAAGTTAGGATGTTTAGGACATATGTTCATATGAAATTTTCTTTTAAGGTAGATCCAAAAATGACCCCTTAATTATTGACATTCAATTAGAAAATACCCTGTTTAGATATCGGAATATTGTCATATTTTGTATTTGATAAAAGCACGGTGTTACCGAAATAGTTGTCATAAACCAATAAATAGCTGTGAAAATCTTAATATTTTTTGTTGTAATTTAATTTTTGGGGGTTGCACTGCATTATATAATAAGGTAGTATAGAGTGTTAACATCACTATTACCTTTGTGTTTAAAACAACGCATATGGATTATTAGAAGCCTATCCTAACTAACCAAAAATAACTAACCAAAGCATAAGTTTAAGTAAAACTCTTTGAACTTTAATCTAGTTGTACTGTATTAACCCAGCATGATAAATAAATAAATAAAAATAAAATACAACTGCACAATGTTTTTTAATTCTTATAAAAACTCACTGCGGGTTAAAAAATGAAATAGTTAGAAGGTGGTTAAATCTTATCAATAATCCTGTACGAGACTACCAGTATGCTATTTGGTAATTGCATTGTTTTAAATTAAAAATTTAAAATAAAATATTTTACCCAACTAGAGCCGCAAGCTCCTTGATCCCATACTTGTCCGATAGACGTACAGTTTGGCCATTTCTCTCTGGCGTCGAACATTTCTGGTATATCTGTCACTTTGATATCGTACGATCCGGTCATTCTAAGATTTGATCGCGTGCTTCGGTTACTTTGTCGATGAATCAGAGTCCCGCCGGCCATTTTCTTGACATACGACCACATCTTCGGGTCGTTGTTAAATTCGAAATTGCTGCCCGCCATCCACAGTGATTGCTTCGCGTTCAATTGGGAAATGTATTCATCGGAAAGGGGATGGGGTTTAGCCCCCAACGTCACTTTACAGATCAGAAACAGCAGCGTGACACTAATCGGAGAGTTTTCCATATTTTCTGTTCCGGTCGCGAAGCACTACTCGCTTGATGCATAATTTTGTCGCTCGGAAGACGCTTATTTCGTTCGAATTGGCGATTGTCTGAATTGATAAGAAGATAAAAACAAGCACCACTCGAAGATTGACGTTTAATTATGGATAAATAGCCAAAAAGTTTAGTGATAGAGTCAAACAATGGCATTTCATTAAGTGAGTAATCATTTATTTTTATTTATTAAAATCTATTGCTCCGCCAGCACTCCATAAATTGAAGAAGCGAAATTTTCCAGTTTTTGGAAAAAAAAGTATATATATATATATATATATATATATATATATATATATATATATATATATATATATGTTACATGTAGGTAAACACACACAAACATTATATATATATATATATATATATATATATATATATATATATATATATATATATATATATATATATATATATATATATATATATATATATATATATATATATATATATATATATATATATATATATATAATGTTTGTGTGTGTTTACCTACATGTAACCCGCATCCGTGGGAGCATCCGAATACAGAACTCTCACAGATGCTGGCTAGTTCTTCTTTTCCTAGATTTGTAGCATTTTCCTTTTACTAGTGTTACATTTAATATTGTTTTCCAAACATTTTTTGTCTTCTTTTCTGAAAATGCTATAATGTCGATCTCGTAAACATCAAAGTCAATTGTTTTGTGCAATCTATTTTTAATCCTTTTGACTGACCATAATTCAAGACCACTGGTTCTCAATTCCAACGCAATAGGTTTCATTTTCGTAGGATTCAACTCACCGTTAGCTGTAAATAAATAACAATATTCTAGTATGTGAAATTTCTGTTTAACTGTTTTCCAAAAAAATAAAGTCAATCACAGAAAACGGCTTTTCCCTCAATTTAAATTTATTGCAAAAAAAATATTTTTATTATTATAAAAAACGATTTTCTATCTATTGCTACGAAAACTTGGTTTACCAGATATCCTGGTTCTAAATCGTTTGGACTTCTTTTCTCATCTTCTCTCTTGATGAGTAGGCATCGAAAGCAAAAATGCTTGAACCTGTTTTTTTTTAGTTAAAAAGTCTTTGATGTACTTTTATGTATTCCTATAATTAACGGAACCTATTTTCACAAATGAAATCGACCAACTTGTGGGTTTCTGTGACATTGTAATTTTACGTCATTGTAGATCTGTTATCAAAAGTGAACAAGGACCTATTGTTTGCAGTAGCTCATAACATACATTGTGAATTTGTTTTTTAAAACCAGTAGCTACTAAATGTTGTTACAGAGGGATATTCAATATGCGTATGCCGAACTTATTTCAAGCCTCGCATGTAACCAATAAGTCTCTCAAAATATTCCCACCTAAGATGTAATCATTTTATCGTATTAAAAACAATATCAAGGATTCCAGTCTCTTTGAGAGTAGGCGTTTTATTTCAATGGCGAACTATAAAAAAAGTAATACATTTTTTCTTTAATTTTGTATTTTGCACATTGATTGGTTAACCTAGGCTTCAAATGTTTGGTGGCAATAACTAAATTTTTAACTTTTATTTTTTAAATCTTCTTTAATGCAGGTATTAAGTAAAATATTTTTGTTTTCTTCAAAAGTAACTCTTTAAACGTAGTCACTTCGTTTTAAACAGGACATTATGTAACTTACAGCAGCCAGTTGAGATGAACTTGCTGAACATCCGGAGACTTTCCTTCTTAATCAGGTGAGGAAAAATTATTATGGGTAATTAAAGCAAATTCAAGATTTTATAAAATTCTTTATTATGCAAAATAATATATGATTTATACTTATGTTTTTCTAGTGGCTAAGTTTACGATTGATATACATGTAAGGTAAGTATGTGTAATAAAGTCTCCATATGAAATGCTTTGCGTTTTCAATTGTGAAGACAGCGTTAGGAAAGGTATTGTAAAAAATAGTTTCTTTATAGTTCGTCGAATTCTACAGGGTTGGTCAAAAGTAGCGCAATTAGGCTGGATCCAGTATTTGTCATATTTATGTTTTTTCTCTAAGCTAATAAATATTGTTATGTTAAATAATAAAATTTTAAGTATATTTCATTTAATATATCGTGTACCCAAATTCAACCGTTTTTACAGGAATGACAAAAAACGAAAGAATTAATGATTTAATAAAATATAAATAAATATAATACAAACATACCCTTGCTATTCAAAATAAGAAAGTTTCGTAGGAAAGTTTCATTGGATCCAGCCTAAATAGAAACCTCCGTATTCTCAATTTTATATATTTAAATCTAATAATTCCTGAGATATATGGCCGTTGTGTGACTTTTGATTAACCCTGCATACAGATAATACGCAAGATTCTGTGCTAATAGCCTCGAAGTTTTGTGCCTTATTTAAACTACTAAATTGATTTGCAAGCTTGGACACTTGATTACGGAGTTGAAAAAATTATACAAAAATATACACACCATATAAAGAAATCTTAAAAAGTTTCTAAAGTTGTTTACCCTATTTCATGATTAAAATGTTTTTTGATATTTTTGAAACAATTGCAACAAATAATAAGTAATATTTTGAGCAGTAACTATAGAATTGGTCCAACTAATTAAATATTTTACTAAACAAAAATGCCTATGATTTTCATATGGAAATGCTTGTTCTTGTAACATCCTGGTTAATCTCGGCCTTCCTTTTCGTAATTTTCCATTTTAATTTTACTTAATTTCCTACTTCTCTTCGAACCACAGAAGACTTACAAGCTTTCTTCAGGTATCCTTCATTTATTTCAGATTTCTTTTATTTTTCATTTATTTCAAATTTCAATATGTGAAATATATGTAGAATATACGATAAATCCATTAAACGAAAGATTTTGAGTACACATCATCACAAAATGACGTTTCCCGAATACGAATAGACCACGCTAAAGCCCTCTTCAGAAGGATGAACAAAGTGCTTGGCACCAGGCATTCGATGTTGACTGTATATAAAATTCTTGGATTTTGAATAAGATGGAGATGGAAAGGCTAAGGATAAGGCGATCGTGATTAATCAAAATCAGTAATGCAGGATACTTGAGATGCTGAATGCAGTACCGCAGTGGTGAATATTTTGACCACCTAACGAGACATAAAATTACCAAATATTACAAAACACAATGCAAGTTGAAATAAAAGGAAAACCTTTGGTTGAAACCGGCAAAAACAACGGTCTAATATGACAAGGTACAAACAAAAGAAGATTTCACATCGTCTTAGAAGAGGAGGGTAGACAATGTTTTTGAAGGACATCTTTGTTTGCACAGCCTATTCGGCTAGCTTCCATCAAAACACAAAAGTAACTAACCAACCCACACTATTAAACTGTTAAGAAGTTTTTGTCATTGATTGTCATAAAATGTTTGTCATAAATTTTAAGCTTTAATAAGGTCTTTATTTCAAAAGTTCCGTACCTTGTCGCCTAAAAAACTTTGTAAACGAAAAAACATGCTTGTTTAATTTTTGCTTTTTTATGGTAGCTATTATACGATTCTCCGTTGCCGATTTAAACTTAAACTTCCAATATTGGGTAATATTTGTTACTAGTTTTCGACTATGGCTTCCGATAAGCTCGTTCGTTTCTATTATTTCGTGAGCCTATATTTGTATTTGTGTCTGTGTTATCGAAGTTTGAATTCACAGACTTGAAGAGAAAAAGAGAAAAAGAGAAAAAACACAATTGCCAGAAATTTCACTCTATTCATAGTGTCCTAATATCACACATTTGTCACTTGGTACCTATTAAAACCTACTAGACATCTAATCTACCTAGGGAACGGAAAATATGGATAATTAAAAAAAACTTTTTTGATCTAAAGATATACAGGGCGATTCACTATGGCAGATTAGACTTTAAGGGAAAAATAAGGTAAGGTAACATTTGATGATTTACCTAAGCGCCAGCGATGTATGTATCTAAATCATTTTTAGAGATGCAACGTTGCCGCTCCTACGAAAAAGCTGATATTTCAAAGGAAATTATTGTATCTTCCCCGCTATTTTATATAATTTATTTAGCGGTTTTTTAGAATTTGTAGACTATTTTCAAATAAAATTAAAAACTCTTCTCCATATTCATATACCTAAATTCCGAAATAAAAACTTGATACAAAAATGGAGAAAGCTCATTTAAATGATGTGTTATGTATATGACTAAATAGGTAGATTGTATTTTATTGTTTACATTATTATTTTTGTCTCCACTGTATAATGGCAAATGTTGTTTGCGAGTTTCGTAAACTATATCCAAAATTTCGGCTTTTACCATCATAGTAGTTTATAGAATTATTCTCGCGGTTGTAAGAAGAAATTTCCAGGCAAATAATAATGTGCGATAGAATAAACTGCGTTCTTTTGTTTGATTTTAAACCAAACCACGCTGTTCGCATAGAATATCTGTGCTGTCATCTAATAGTTCTTCGATCTTTTTCAATTAAAGTGTCCGGGACATGTTAACTTTTATGCATTTACAAATTTTGTTATAGAAGCTCTGGAAAAATTTGAATTTTTTGACAATGCATACCGATGTTTCATAAAACTGAAATAAGTTTAAAATATCGAATACTGTATACTTGTTTGATATTGAATGTGAGAACACACCATGTGTAAAAAAAACACTTTTTAAATTTTCCACTCAGTTTCCTTAAAAGTCTAACTTGCTGCCAGCAGTGAGTGAATATAACTGATTCATTTCAAAACCCATCTTCGTTACCTAAAAAATAAATACCACAAACCTCCATTGTACAGCAATATTTACACTCATGTTCTTCCTAATGGCTTTGCTTTATTTATGAAAATGGCGTTGCCAAACTTCCCCAAATACGACGACCAATTCTGTCGATTGCCAGGCAAAAACCTGACGCACCTTTCGAACTGGTTTGCTTTTACCGATTCGCATTCGCACTCGATCCTCAGCCTGTACACGGTCATCTGGCTCACTTTTAACCGACTCAACTCGTTCCAATACTTGAACGAATCCTTCAGTGTTGTTTGCTCCTCCAGACATATTTTTTTTTGATCTAGCGCGTTCGATGACGATTTGTTTGTGCGTTCGCTCACACACTGTTCAATGTCCTCGTTTAGAAGATTTTCTATGGGTTTCCCGTCAGACTGCCAGTATTTAATAAAGACTACGTCGATGGAGTTTGAAGCGTTCGAGTTGTTCAACGAGCTTAGCACCGTACCTGAAAGATGGTCAAATCAAATACCGAAAAGCAACTTTTTCTGTCATAACGTAACCGTTGGAAATACAGGATTTCTCACCCAACCCGATGATTAAAAGTTTAATAGCATGTAATATAGACACGCCTTACAATAATTGAAGTTAAGGTAGGTTCCAAGTGTCTTATAATTAATGTTTTATCGGCTCAGGATTAATATAACACACGCGTTACTATTAACCTAACAGTGATCCGTGTGTACAATTTAAGTGGTTAGATAACTCGTCGTTTTAGGATCAGCGGCTATCGAACATACTTATTCATGACATCAAGTCTACAAAATAAGAAGATATTGCTTTAAAAAATAAAATCATAATTTTTAAATTTTTGTGGTTGTTTGATAACCCTGGTGCTTTTCTTGGTGCCAAAATAAATTAGAATTTTTTAAACAAGTCTTGGTGTCGATTTCCTCTTTATAATTCATCTTGTTCAGTACAATGTGGCTCAGTATTGTAGTCAAAATCTGATACTTCTCTTCTCAGCTGATAATGACCACGAGACAGTCGTATGTGGATACTGTCTCTCTTTATATATATATGATCTATATCTATATCTTCTTGGTAGCTATTGCTGGCTGCCGGAATGACTACATCTTACTTTTCTTGAAATTAATTTCTTTTTCTGCATGTTCGTCATAATAATTTTTGTACATCTCCCTGTTTTTCTCCAGTTTCTTATTTTCTTCCTCAAAATTTGCACGTTCTGGAAGAGGCAAATGACTAGCTGAAGGAAATTTTGTTCTTAAAAGTCTTCTTGTTAGCAGCCGAGCAGGACATTTATTTAATCCTGTACCAGCAGTGTTTCGATACTCAAGCAGAGCTAGTCCTAAATCATCACATTTACGCAGCATATCCTTAGCCCTGCCTACAGCTCTCTCAACCAACCCATTGGATAATGAGGCCTTGATGTTAAAATTTAAAGTTCCAGTTTCTTTAGAGCTATGCAGCATATTGTCAGTTTTCTTTAGGTATTCCATGGCTTGAATTTATAAACCTATTTCCTAGATATTTTTCCTCACTGGCTCTGTATTGTATTTTATTGCTGTTAAATTTTACATTATGTTGTTTAGCTCGTTGAATAATGTTATTATTGTTAAATTCTTCGGTTAATTCCATCTGGTAAAAACTCACCTTAAAATCTAAAACTGTAAAACAGCTTTGACCTTAAAGTTTAGAACGTTTGTCGTCTAGCTTGATAAAAATGACCTTAGACCCTTATCCCTCTTTTCTACTATCACTAAGTTACTTAGTCAATCGGTAAGCTTGGAAAGCAATCTTGATTTTATCATCCTTTGAAAATTTCGGAAAGGTTTCACTCAAATGAAGTGGAGGCGGCAGTTTTACGTCGGTCATTTTAATTTTCTTTTAGTCCGATTTTTGTTTGCAACAACTTTTTAATTGATTTTACTTCCACAGTTCTGCACCATGTTTTATAATTACTGTTTTGAAAAGCAGTTTCAATTAAGCGAAGTGAAACGCCAACAGGTTTAATATAAAAACAACCGACGCCGGAGGAACCCAAAGGATTTGTTAATGGTATTACAGTAGCCTGCTTTTGAAAAAATAGCTTTTGCCGAATTAGACTATCAACAAATTCAACGAGCCACAGCATATGTAAAATGAAGAATCGAAAAGTGCCTTTAACTGAACGGCCAACATATATAACATTTTTTATAATTAAATTTCTTTTTTTTTGTAACTTAATTAAGTTAAATTTACCTTTTTATTTTTAGAAAGTCAAGAAGTTGTTGTCAATCCTTTCGATTATTTTTGTTCATTGGGAGCAAATGGGGATGTCGTACATTAAAAACACGACAAATGCTCTACAGCACTTCGCAACATTCACCATGAATATAAAACAAATAGGATACCATCAAAAAACCTAATTATTTTGAATGTGGTTAAGAATAGGTATAGGTAACCCTAATACAGTTAGATAGAGAAATAAGTTGTGGACTTGATAACACTTAAATTGTCTAATTCGAAAAAACCTAGCGAATTTTAAAATGTGAACGTTTACGAGCTTTGGACATCCTGTATAAAGGGTAAAAACAATAATACAAAAACGTGACCTTAAAAACCTCTTCCTTAACATTTTGGCAAATTCGTGGATCCCATTTTTTTTGCAAGGTCAAATATTTCAAAAATGGTGGACATAGGTATAGGACATTATACAAAAAATATGTTTAGAATTTCACAAAGAATCTTAAAATGTACGCTTGGCACTTGCCTTATCTCCAAAAATTGAAACGCGGGCCGGTTGGAAAACCCTTTAAATACGCCTAAAATATCAGACCCGGAACCTTAAGGAAACGTAAGAAAATTGGGGACTAACCATGAATGTTAAAGTACCTAAATAGCTGTCCACAGGAAGGGAAAGTTGTAACTTTGTGGTAGTTACGTTGAAGGGGTTCTGATGACAAAGCAATAAATCCGAGAGTGATACATACACGAAAGGCAAATTCATTTTTTGATTGAAAATAAATAAACAAAACAAAAACGGAGTACAACTATAATGAAATGTAGGAAATAGTAGGAAATACAAAAAGTTATTGTAGTACAGTAACACTTTAATCAAACATTACTTTTTGTATCGTACAGAAACTTGGAGAATGATGGGAAAACATATACGTAGTATAGTTTAACGAAACACTCAACTTTTTTAGGCCGCTCGTGGAAGATTTCAGATAATTTTATTTTTAATTTTATTAATTTTTATTTATTGTTATTGCTTTAGTTCATTTTACACTTATATTATCACAGGTAATCGCAAGGTGGTTTTCTCTAGGAAGAATAGTGGATAAATGAGTTTTTCCAAACATTTTTTCCCTCAACGATATAGTTTCCTCACTAAAACGATTCAAGTGCCACATTTTTCTTTAGAAAGCTTTCTGTCAAGATTGCGTTTGTAATACCCACTAATAATTTTGTATGATTCTATGGAATCTCCAGCCTCTTGGCTAACCGAAGACATTAAACTTTTTATAAAACTAATAGGTCCCGTTGAACATACAAACGTTTTACGTCAGATAAAAGAGTACAGAGAATTAAGAAATTTGCGTTTGTGTCTGCAAATTATATTCATAAACCATTTGGTACTAATTTATTCCGATTTGCTAAAGAATTCTCAGAGGAAGTGATGAGTATTGCAACTGTCTCAGGGCTCAGGAAATATTGACATCAAAATGATTCTTTTGACTACTCCGTATTTAGTCCATCATATCACTTTCCTTGTTAACAAGTATGTTTGGATTTTTTCCTGACTCCAAAGGAGGGTAAAAGTATCATTAATGATTTTAGACCAATAAGCTTGTTCCCCGCCATATCAAGCGCTGTCGAAAAAAGTGCGGCTAAACAACTGCGTCAGTTTCTTTGCGGAAACAAAATCCTCCCAGTCACTCACTGCTTTTCCTGCACTTCATGTTAATGAGGATTTTTTGAGAGCAGCTAATTCTAAATTAAACTCTAGTAGTACTTCAAAATAAGTGTTAATATAGTTTATTAGGCCCACCAGTATCTAAGAAAAGCGTATATGCGGGTGTGTATTATGTTGTCAATTATGGTGTTGTGGTGTTGTGGTGTTGTCTTAAATCTTCTCGTTACATGGAAGAGAGCAATTAGCGAATGAACTTATATTGGAATATCTTATGGATATGGATTATTAATAAAGACACTTTATTATTATTATTATTATTATTATTATTATTATTATTATTATTATTAATATCTCCATGTAGTCACGAACTCAAACAATTTCTCCTTTTCATCATTACGGACTTCGTGGGCAAGTTATAAGAAAAAGGAAGAAAAGTAAGGCAATGAAATCAATGCCAAGCAATGAAAGTACCACTTTGTAAACTCTTTGCAAACGTAAGGACGTGTTATTCTTCTGAAATAGACGTTAGTAGGCTACTGTGAGCCGCTTAGTACAATTATGCTTATAGTATTTGTAGTAGTACTAGAAAAAATCCAGAGGCTTCTAATGCTGCCTCTAGGTTTTTGTTTTATGTCTAGGTTATTCAGTGACTTACCAACTGATGTAATCTTGACGACAGAATCAAACACCAATGCATCGTAGCCTCTCTTCTCTCGCTTGTAAAACCCGTTCCGTTTCTCTTGTATTTCTTTCTCCGTCTCCAAATCCCACAGAGTGAGCGACCCGTTGAGCACCGCCCTCTTTTCCTCCTCCAGAATCCTCTTGATTTCCTCGTCGTCTTTGGATCTGTCCGCGTGCAAGTTGACATCTCTCTGTTCGAAGCGCGATTTCTTTAACCTGTTTTCTTCATTTTTGAAGTACGTCTCGCGTATGATATCGGTGGGTAAACTCTCGTCGTCTCGCAAAAGACGATTTTTCGATAATCGGAGATTGTGGTAGCCATAAATTTTGTCGGACAGGTTCTTCTTCTTCGACTTCTTCGCATCCTTGTCTCTGGGATCTCTGACGTTGGTCTGTTGCTGACCGGCGTCGTCGAATATCATTTGGTTTTGGTTATACGGAATGGTGTCGTCGTAATTTTTGAATTCCGACTGTAGATCTTGCCCCATTATTTGGTTCTGCCAGAAATCGGGAGAATTTCCGGCTGTAGGATCCTCGTGCTCGTTTAAGGGATCCAAAAAGCTGTCGACGTCGGTGTCGCTTTCACCGTTTGAGGCGTAATCTTTTATTATCCCGCCGGGCCTGTCTTTGTGTCGGAAACTCGATTTTCCGTATTTTCTAATCCCGATCGGAACTGGATCTCCGCTGTAGACCTTCGGTATTTCCGATTGGCCGACGTTATCATTCGGAAATCTTAATTTGGCTCGGTTTTTGTAATACTTCCTTATATTATACATCACGGGTTTGACGTTGTATTCCAGTGTCTCTCGACCAACTAAAACCGTATATTTTATGGGGTGGTTTACTAACTGGAAGAAGTTTTTGCCACTCTGGTATTATTTGTGTCCAAAAAAATATGTGCTATGGAGTTAAGTTATAACAGCGTACACTTTAAACATGTTTAGCATTACATAGGGTGTGTCACAAAGTATGGCGTGCAACAGAAGAATTTTTTAAAATGAAATACTTCGTATTTCATTTTATTTAGTTATTATATGTTCCAATAAACCTTTTATGGGAGCACGAAGGGCACAAAGGTAACAAAAGCTTCAATAACCTACGAAGGCTCACATGATTGGAGCAAAACTCAAAACAGAATTACGGAAATGAGAGGCATGCACTGCTGGCTTAAGATGCAGCTAATAGAATATCCTGAATCATATCTGTGCTGCAACAAGATAGTGGACCTCCATATTTCCATTGCGGTGTCTGAGAAATCTTCTATCGATAGAACCCAGGAAAATGTGTATAAGTTTTATTTTGTGATCTCCAGATTCACGTGACTAGATTTTTTTTTGAAAAATTGAAGAAACTTTCACAGGCTCCTGTAATACAGTTGTTGTTGACGTTTTGCGGATCATCAGATCTAAGTCGCGGTTAAAATTGTTTGGTTACTTATACTATAGAGTCTCGGATTTTTTCGTTGGTAGAAAGATTGATTACATGCAAGATATTTAGTTTTATTGAATAAAATTTGATTTCCGGTTTCGTGATTGTGACGTTATTTCTTAAGAACTTTTAATATGTTGGCAGTGATGTTTTGAATGTATGGAGGGACAACAGTGGCAAGTGCGGGGGTTGCTTTCGGACTCATTGTCTTTGGACAGTTGTGGTGAACTGTATTTTATGATGTAGGTTTAAATACTCTGCAAGGTGTTTTAATCAGTGACGCGGGTTGACATAGTTTCACGGCTCTGTAAACAAGAGAGTTGATAACCGATAATTTTTGGTCCGGATAGTGATGTGACAATGCATGTAGGTGTCGGTCTGTGTGCGTAGGTTTTCTCCAAACAGAATAACGAATGTTAAGTCTGATATTCCATTGATGAGAATATCTAAGAATGGGAGATTATTATTAGTTTCTAATTCAATGATAAAACGTATGTTAGGGGGGATAGAGTTTAAATGGCCATGAATAACTAGTAGGGATTCTTGACCATGAGACCAAATAACAAAATTATCATCAACGTAGTAGCGTTTTCATAATTTTGGTTTTAGATGGAAGGCCTCGAAGGCTTTTTTCTTAAATGTTTTCATAATATATTCGCGATTGTTGGCAGTAATGGAGAACCCATAGCTGTTTTTTTCGTTTGTTCCAAAATTTGACAGTTATAAGAAAAATATGTTACAGCATTTCATTTAACATGAAAAAATTTGTTTCCAGATTTTCGGTTTTTAATATGTCTGAAATAATGTTCACAGTTTCAGGAATAAAGACGTTAGTACAGAATGGTTCTTTATCTAAACTTACCAGAATATCCTGCGTATATAATGTGATGGTTTTTAATTGTGCACTGAAATGAAAGGAATTAAGTTCGAAAAAATAAGCTTTCCCTGCAAAGAGTTTGATAAAGAAGCTAGATATTTTGCTAGAGAATTTGGTGGAGAACCAATGGTGCTGACAACAGGTCGAAAGGGTAATCCTGATTTGTTAATCTTTGGAAATCCGACGACGAATTTTAGAGTCATGAGGGGTTACAGACTTTTGCACGAGATCTGGTAGAGAAGAACCCTTAATTTCAGATATAAAATTGCGTTCCATAGATAACGTAGGATGTTTTTATCCCTCTGTAAGAATATCCTGAATTTTTTTCTGACGTTCCCTTCATTTCTGTTATCTGCTTTTAGAATTACCATGTCGGGATTAGATTTTACAGATTTTAGAGCAATGCATTCGGCTTGGAAATATTAGATTTAGGAGGTTTGAATATTTTAAGGATTGTTGCGATTTCAAAAGAATTTCATTAGCTGTTTGAGATGGCAGTTTGTTTAGAATAGACTCAATATTTGAAATGATTTCCTCTTTTGGGATAATAACGTGGGGCAAGGACGAAGCTGAAACCTTTTTCAAGAACTGATTTTTTCGTCTCAGAAAATGTTTGATAGTTGAGAAGAGTTTGATTGTTTCACTAGTTTTAGTAAGTTTTTCAAAATCTTTGTCATGAATCATATTTGAAAGGGTATAGAAATCGGTTGGGAAAAGATGAAAGCAATTTCCGAACGTAAAGAAGTTCTGAAGAAGCCGACAGGATGATTGGCGAATCGTCAGCAAGTTCCTTTCATCAACAACAAACGCTGGGGGAATCCAGAAGATTTGTAAATAGCAGCGATACGTTGTTATCAAACCTCGGGTCGATTATAATGAATAAATGTGTGTATATAACAGGTTATTTGAACATTTATTAAGATGCAATATAAAACGAAAGCTTTGCTGTTAGTATAAAAGTTAAGCATACTTAATGTTTTATTAGAAAGAACAAGACATCAACTTGAAACCAAAATTTTTCTATAAATCTGAAAAATTATAGATATATGTGTAGATATATAATTTACACCTTATATTGATAAATCAAGAAAGTTTATAATAACACATAAAATGAGAAATTGGGTATTAAAATATTTTACCTAATTACGCCATACTTTCGTGTATAATTCAAAATATTTTTGGAGTGTGCGCTTGTTATATCTATAACATGTAGTACATATTATTTTTCAATTAATCATAATAGAGCGGCGAAAACTTACTTGATTCAGTCGTCGAGAAACCCGGTACGGTGTGTTCCAGAATTGGTGAAAGGTTTCATAAAATTTATTTAAAACATGCTTGGTGAACATAATTTTATGCTTTAAAAATCCAGCGATACTTGAGAATTCTATTTTTCTGTAAACTACTTTTTTATACACAAGACGGAGGAAAAAGTTATTAGAAAATCGAAATTTCGCTTCATATTTCATATATTAATAATCCTCGGTTTTAGAAAAGATACATTTCAAAAAGGTGCGCTAAATTTAATTCAATACTTTGGGCAACTTTGATACCTGGATTTTTCATTTGTTGTTCACAAAATCAAAAATTACAAAAAATCATAGTTGTAAGTAACTTTTCTCTTAGTAAAAAACATGTTAAGGAAATAAAAAAATAATTGAAAAGTTATTGTTGCGTCATGGTGAACTAAAACTTTAGGTTCAAACTTCAGGAGCTTATGATGGGACTTTTAGGTTTCATCCTGTGAACAGTTTTTTGGTAATTGTGTATCTATTAAACGTCGTGATATGTAAAAAATATTTGACTAGGTAAAATTTTGAGTATTGCCTGAATCCTTGGCAAACCTAATATTTACAAAAGGAAAGTCGGTACAAAATAACAAGCTTTTACGATCACGATCAAAATTATCTTCAGTCAAAACTATACGCTAGTGCGGGATTTTTTTGTATCTCCACAAGAGCAGAAAAATTTTTAAATGCAAAAATTGTTTGTTTGGAAGTGATAAAAATTTGGGGTTTTGATGATTTTTCTTAGTTTAGGTTAGTTTAAGATATAAGTTGAAGATATAAGAAGAAAATATGTGTATAGAAAAAGGCAAAGTTAATTGATGTAATCAAGAATTTTTTTCAAAAATCCAAAATTGGATTAATACACTCTGTGTTTTATTTATAATAAGGTAGTTAAGGGCTGTGAGAGGCTGAAGAACTTTTCTATTTAAAAGTTATCGATAACTCGTAACGGATTAGAAAAGAATACCGCGGTGGCTGTTTTACTCACGGGAACTGTAAATCGTCACTCCTGGTGGCTGGTGAAATTCGTCGAGAGCATTAAGTTTGTGAATAGTCGTCGAATTAAACTGTTTTTTGCATTCGTCGTACATTGCGGTTGGAATCGCTGAAAAATTATCAATTATAAACAACGGTATTGCACTTACGTGAACTCATTTACGAATTTCAAGGACTATATATGGTACAATACCTTCACGTAATTTTTTTCTTATAGGATCTTTACAGGTGGCAAATTCTAGCAAAGTTTTGCATGCATTTGAGACAATATAGAATATAATTTTTTACAGTCGTTTCTGTATTATTATTTTTAAAGGTTTAAATGGATTTCATGATCATTTTGGATCGGCAACTTACCCTAACGCTACAGCTATGTGTATTTTTTTGAAAAAAATATAGACCACAATTTGCACAAAAAGTTATATACTTTTTTAGAAATATTTTGGATTCCTCCTGCGTGAAGATTTGAAGAAGGCAAATGAGAGTTTTAGTTAAGCTCTAAAGAAGAATAATTGGCGAAACATCCACAAGTTCGATTTATCCACAATCGACGCAGGAGGAATCCAGAAGAATAGTAAATAATAGTAGTGGCATCAGGTAGGATAATCTTAATCGAATTTCACCAAAGAGATTCGTTCTTTTAACCAATGAGGTGAGAATAGCATTAATAATTAATGACTCTTAGCAGAGATAGAGATGAGATAACGAGGAAGATAAGATAAGGAAGGAGTATTCAGAATGAAATTGCCGCGTTTATCACCAGATTTGAATTACTTCAAACACGTAAATGATTGGAGCTATACGGGAATGAAATAATTCGAAAATCCAAACTTATTAGTGTCACTCAAGAGGAGTGTGAAAAATTGTTTCAAGACCTGATAAAGTTCAGTCAGAGCAGTTGTGCAGTTACGTCATAGCACGACGTCTTGCTCTAGTTCATTACTGGACGTCGTAAAATGTCACAGGAAACTTGTTTGTCAGTTTTGAAATCGTTATTTATGGTTATGGTAGCAGTATAGCTAAGACATTCTGATTATTTTTGGTTACGTCACTATAGCTGACATAACTACATAACTGCTATAACGGGAGCACACTAGAATTGTATCAGGGTGCTCACACATTAATAATTAGATTTAATTAGTTTATTTTTTTATTACGTAAATCCATATTACGAATTATTAATATTAATTGTTTAAAAAATAAAATCAAATTTATATATATCATTTCATATCTGCGGTATTTAGGGTGTGGCGGTGCGTTGAATCAGTTGACTGTGGTCGCCTATTAATACTATCAAATTAAACATAAAAATGTAACTAAATAACAATAATTTCAACACGACCGGATCTTGGTGGAGACCTTGAGTAAACTAATAGAAGTAAAGTGCCAAAATTTCCATCCTATCCCACGTGTGCTAAAAAAAATCTTCAATCTTCATAATCAAAAGAAAAAAATTTCACTTTTCCGGAATTTTCGCGAAAACGGTAAGCTCTATGTCAAAAACATCTCAGAATCATAGATTTTTAATTTATCTACAAAAAGTGTGAAGTTCTTGTTTTTAGTGCAGTTTTCAGGGTAGGAATACTTCCAGATCGATTATGGCGGAGTTTTATCGGAAAATACTGTTTTTACTTCGTGATGAATAAGCAAAAGTTGAAGAAAGGATGACTGTTGACTTTGAGAGATATATCAATATCAACAATCGTCATGAAATAAATATAGTGTTTTCGCATAAAATTCCGCCATAAAAGATCGTGGAGTAGGCCTACTTTACACGTGGTAAGAAATTCCGTAATGTAACTCCTATTTTTAAAATCGCGATAACACAGGAAGAGTTATATATATATATATATATATATATATATATATATATATATATATATATATATATATATATATATATATATATATATATATATATGACTTTTTTTGATTAAACTTTCCGTTTTAGAAAAAAAAATCTTAAAAACAGAAAATATTTATTAGCACACATGGGATCGATAGGGACTTTCGATCGATGGCATTTCCGTTTTACTGTTGTACCCAAAGTCTCCACCAAAATCGAACTCTATCGGAACTTTTTTGAAACATCTATTTTGAAATGGCTATAGCTGCAACATCACGAAAGTTAAATTCAAAGGATAAAGCAAGGCTTACTCGAAAATGCGTATTTTTTCAATGGCTCGCTTCTGGAACACTCGCTCGTCCAGAAAAGAAATAGGTCGTAACCATATGACTCCATTCTCAATGTCAACCCGCCCATTTGGGTGACGACGCCTCCACTCACTGGGTTGTAAATCGGTTGTCCGGTTTTGCCGTCGATTATGAAAGCCTGCGTATAATTGTAGTTCAAAATATTGTCGTATTGCTGGTAAATCACCAAAAAATCGGTGACGTTGTCGAAATTAAAGTAGCCGGGCGTAGGGCTAACGTTCGTTACGGCGTTCCCCAGGGAATAGTTCCAGATTTGTTGAAAAGTTCGCCCGTCGATTGCGACCACTGTCGAGTTATACATAGAAGCGACTATATCCGAAACGCCATCGCCAGTTATATCTACCAGTACTGGTTGGGTTACCATCCCTTTGTGTTTATCTTCGTAAATCACGTTCGATTTGTTTAACTGTAAAATGTAAAGGTTCGAAATATTCATACAATATGTACTTTAAACAATAACTAAAGACAAGAAGCGACAGAAGAGAAAAGACTTCCTGAAGGTAGTTCTGTGCACAACGTTTGTGGAGGTTCGTTTAAAAATGTACGTGTCTAGTTCCACTGATTTAAATATGTTGTCAGGTACCGTTGAATATTTAAAAGACGCCCGTTCGTTTTAAAATATTTGAGGCAAATCAACCGTTTTATGCAAATGTTCGTTTGTACTGCGGTGACAGAGTGGATCGTCTCAGCTTCATCCAGGTATTGACTTCATAGTTTTGTTTACATTGTGTCATATCGTGTCTACTAGCAGTCGTACTGTTTTAGTGTGTTTAGTTGTGTCCTGAAAAGACAAATGAATTTGGAAAAATTAGTTTAGATATAAAAACATTGACTGACCGTATGATTGACTGGTTTGGAATCATTTTCCATAGAATTAATGAATAACACCGACCGATCCGAAACAGCCCATTTGGCTATATTTGTTCGAGGTGTTGGTAAAAATGTCACTGTTACTGAGGAATTGCTTGCTTTACAGGCGCTAAAAAACCACTACATGAGAAAACATTTTTAATGAAGTTCAAAAGATATTCACAAGTTTTGGCTTGCCTTGGTCAAATTTAGTTGAAGTATACACAGATTATTCACTTTCATCGGAATTTTAAATGAAAAAGCAACTGAAATATATGTGCAAAAAGATGACCTTCATTGCATTATCCACAAACAGAACTTGTGTTCTATATCTATTCGACTCCAGAATGTTATTAATGTGCTAGTAAAAACCACTCATTTTATTTGATCTCGAAGAATTAATCAAGGTTAATTCAAGACGTTTTTGGTTGAAATATCAGCTGAATTTGACGACGTAACAGATTACTGTGAAGGCAGAGAAAATGTTGAAACGGTTTTACTAACCTAGAAATGAGACAGCAGATTTTATACAAATTAAAGATAAACCATATTTGAATTCACTGACCCAAAATGGATGTGTTACGTTTCTGGTCTACCTTAGACCCAATTTGAATGATTTAAATTTAAAACTTCAACAATTAGTAAATGATTCGGACAGCCATTTAAAAATATTTGAGAACAAAATGTCCTCATTATGCTGAAGAACTCGAGTCACTATGTGACTAGATTTAGCGATTTCAAAAGCATTGAAGACTGTTTCAATACACTTGCAAATGGAGTTAATCGAGAATCAAGAAAATTCATTCCTAAAATCTGAATCTGAAGACGTGGAGATGTGCGATATTTGTGCATTTGGCAGTTCTTTTCAATGATAAAAGTTATTAAATCAAACCATCGTATAATGTTGACTGACGATAATTTGGATCGATGGATTAGTTTCCTAAATCCAAGCTCAAGTGTCTCATTGAGTTCGGTGTCGCTATTTAACTTTCGCTATTTAATTATAATGTTTGACCTATTGTTTTCATTTCTTCTTGTTATTTTAGTAAATTGTATTATAATAAGAATTTCTTATTTCATGTCTAATATGTATGGTTAAAAATTGTGAACACTACTTTTAAACGCAGCAAACGTATTTGCACATAAGTCCAGTGTATAGTTTATGATGCCCCTGTACAATGTCATTAGACTATTCACATTTTACCATATCGTCGAGAGAACGTTGCGTGTTAAGAGTTCAGTTCCAACTAGTATTAATGGTATTTCGCGAAAAATCCTTAAAAATTGTCGCTTTGCAGTTTCTCACACGAGGTATAAAAGACTTCTGTTAGAAATCTCAGAATGTTTATTGCATCGCCTTAATTTGCGAGCTTTTCGAGTCTTCAAAACAACTAACCAGAATTGTGTCTGCACCTCCTTCGCTTCATACAAAGTGAATAAAAATACACAGATAGCTAATAGAAACTACTCATCTAACCTTACCCTTCGAGCATAGAAAAACTGCTGTACACATTTCGTGTTTTATGTGAGAGTTGTCTACACAATCAACAAAATCGTCTACAACACAATAAAGCATAAAGCACCGCCTCACAAATCTACCACAATTAAACAAACGGCCGCTCTTGTCTTTAGTGATTGTTCGGTGATTAAACTAACCAAATTTCCCGCTATGAAGTCCTGTAATGGAACTGCGCTTAAGTTTCCAGGCCAGTTCGGACTTCCAGTACCGTACAATATATAAGTGACATTTTCGTCACGCTGTAGCACTTCCGGCATGAAATAAGATTGGCTTCTGTTAGGCAGAGCGGTAAGAACAATCGGTGCTCCATTTTTACCAGAAAGAATTTCGATATGACCGTCATTGGAGCCTGAAAATATGTCTCGCTCGGTATTTGCTACTATATATTGGTAAGCTATCGAAGACGTACTGGAAAGGGTAACTACCAGAAAAAGTACTTATGATGAAAAATATGAAAACTGTTACTTCTTTTTGAGAGAGAGAGAGAGAGAGGCGGAGTATTATCCCCACAAATTATCAAATAGCAGCGGTAGGAAAAGCGATATACTATTGATTCAAGTCGAAATCACGAAAGGTGACTATTACTTTAAGTAATGACGATCATATCAATTATTTCAAAAATATAAATCGTATCTAAACGGCTGAGCATGATTCAAAGCCCGTATTAAACAAAAATTTACAAAAAACGTTCAAATATACTTAAATCTAAAATATAATTATTCATTTGCAATCTAAAATCGTAACTCTTCAATTTCACATCCGATATGCCCAGGTTTTATGTTTTATTCATAGATATAAGAAAGTGACTAATTGCTTTTGAAAGGGATTATCCAAGGGTGATCATTAACATGCACTGCAACGAGATTATTATCTAAAGTTTCGGAATTTAAATGTGGTCCGTAATAATACCTATCTGTGTTTAATATTCTTTGGTTTGGTATACTACTTAGTTTAAGTTTATTATAAATCATTCTTATTTCATATGTAATACAGCGTGTGTTGAATCGTGTGCGAATTATGCAAAATATGCATAAATATAGAAAATGTAGAAAACACTATTCTATTGAGACTAAGGAAGTTATAAACAATGTTTATTTGATTCTCATTCCAACATCAACTGTATGGAACATTGTGAATAATCCCATTTCAGCGAAGAAAAAAAGAAGCGATGCTGACATTTTCTCGAGTGTAGATGAAAGTGATCAAGATATAATACGGCGTAAAATTTACCACTTATACGAGGTACAAAGCTTGCCTACATTAAATATCTTAATTAGGAGGTTGCTTGAAAAAGATGAAACCGGTGTTAAATGTGACAGAACTACTTTATGGAAGTGTATTCAACACATGGGTTTTAGATTTAAAAAAATTGACAAAAGGCAAGTTTTAATGGAATCTTTTAGAATTCGGAAATGGCGACTGGAATATCTAGAAAAAAATAGGATTTGCAGAGAACAACAAAGGCCAATTATTTACTTGGATGAAACCTGGTTCGACACTTATGATACCCCGGAAAATGGTTGGGTCGACTCAACTGTAAAACAAACGCGCCATCAAAAAGAGGTAAAGGAATAACTATTTTGCATGCTGGCTTTGAAGATGGTTGGATTCCAAATGCACTTTCTCTGTCTGCGGAAAATATTAAAGATTCTTCTCTGGATTAGCTTGAAGACACCACCGCTGATTTATTTGAAAGTTGGTTTAAAAACAAACTAGTTCCAAACATTCCTCCTAATAGCGTCATTGTAATGGACAATACAAGTTATCACAGTAGACAGTTGATTAAAACCCCTTCCTCATATGACACAAAAGCAACAATCCAAAACTACATGTACAATAACGACATTTATTTTCACGAAGATTATACCAAAAAGCAATCAATTGAGGTCCTAGAAAGCTTGAACCTACAAAAGGAACACGTCTGTGATAATTATGCAAAAAATCTAGGGCATACAGTTTTAAAGTTTCCACCTTACCGCTGTATATTTAATCCCATTGAACATGTTTGGCACCAACAGAAATACGCCATTCGTAACAATGTTTTTCCCCGTGTTAACTCCAATGTCCTCAAACTCGACTCAACTGATAAGTGTAAAACAATCGCGCCATCAAAAAGAGGTAAAAGAATAACTATTTTGCATGCTGGCTCTAAAGATGGTTGGTTTAAAAACAAATTAGTTCCAAACATTCCTCCTAATAGCGTAATTGTAATGGACAATGCAAGTTATCACAGTAGACAGTTGACTAAAACCCCTTCCACATGTGACCAAAAAGCAACAATCCAAAACTACATGTATAATAACGATATTAATTTTCACGAAGATTATACCAAAAGCAATTAATTGAGTTTCTACAAAGCTTGAACCTACAAAAGGAATACCTCTGTGATAATTATGCAAAAAATCTAGGGCATACAGTTTTAAGGCCTTAAGACCTTACCACTGTATATTTAATCCCATTGAACATGTTTGTCACCACCTGAAATCTGCCATTCGTTGTAACAATGTTTTTCCCCGTGTTAACTCCAATGTCCTCAGACTTATAGAACCTGAAGTTTTTAACATCCCTCCGCAAAGTTGGGCAAATTCTGTTAAACATATAGAAAAAACAGAACAATCGTATATCTATGTTGCAAATAATATAGAACAAATAATAATTAGAACAGGCGATGATAGCGATAGTGATACTGATATATTATGTAAATAATTTTAAGTAATTTAAGTAGGTAATAAAAATAATTTGTAATTTTATTTTAGATTTAAACATACATAAATAAATAAATATTGTTGAGTATCTTTCCTAACAAAACCCCAAATAATTAAATTCTAAGCAAAGTACGGACCTGTTCGGCTATATTTCATTCTTAGAGTTTGCCCGGGTCTTTCCTTAATGCGTATCAGTTAGTCACTTTCTTATATTTATGAAAAGACTTTACCCTTTATAATCAATTTATTGAGACCATATACTATAAAAAGTGCTATCTGTGAGTTAGCGGTTACCAAGTTTTGTAAATCTTTGTCCTATGTCACCATCTATAAATAATAAGCAGCGAAACTTCTTTGGTTAGGGGTCTGCATGTAATGCTCCTGACTGGCGAAAGTAAATTTGATTTCTCTAGTTATAAATTTTGCTTAAGATCACCTTCGGGGTCAGAGGGTTCGAAACTTGGGCGTCTCTACTATTGTCACGTTTGTTTGCTGTCACCAAATTGTCCCATTTTTTGATTTTTCGTATAAAATTTTATGTTTTTATTATTGATGTACTTCCATTTCTTTAATTAGTTGTCGTGGTTAACTCATTCTTCAATTCTTCATCTTTCGTGATTTGCTGTTGCTAGTCGTCAAAATGCAGACTGTCCCAACTAACCAAACTCCCAAACTAACCAAACTCCCCCTATCCTCTTATCTCGAAAAGTATTAACAAAAGAAAGCTAAATACGAAATACATAGTATTAAAAAATATATATACCATTGCCATTGCACAGAGATTTCAGGTTCTGGTAAATTTGGTATTACTGCAAAATAGGTAAAATGGGTATATTTCAAAAATTGTAAATAATCCTAGAGTATTATAAAGGCAAAAAGTTTTAATATAAAACTAAAATTAATAAAAAGTTTGGCAATTCTGATTCAGGATGCTTTAATTTGTAAATACATTTTTTATTACTTGCTTAGCTACTTACATTTTTATTAGTACCAAAAAAGTTATCGGACACATCCCCTCTTGTCAACAAACAGTGAAATAATTCCATTATTTTTTAATTAGGAAAATTTCTTTAAATTATCAAACCAGCATATTGTTTTTCTACTCCCGTCTGTAAAATACCTAATTACCCACCGATCTAGCGTGCAGGAAGCGTCGCTTTACCACGTCAGTTTCGTTTCCCACTAATCCGAGCCACTTCGGACATTTCCGGGATTTTACCGCACGGATTTGGGAGCAATCGGATGTTTTCGGACATGTTTCCCACGCCTTGAATTTTGACGTTTGTCAATTCTGACAGTCATGTCAGTCAATGTATTCGCTCCGCTCGTGTCAAATAAACTCGTGAGTCAAATGCCGTTTACCGCACTTGTTGCATAATATACTATTAATAGTCATGAGTAAAAAACTATATTAGAATTTGGTGTATTTTAAATGTTTCTTTCAAGTATATCGAAATCCCCAGATCTAACATTTACCAATTATTTTATATTCTATACTTTGATTTTCTTTCCTTTCAATTTATATTAATTTTAGAACCGTTTCAATTTTGTGTACCGCTCGTTTTTTAAACAAATAGCTTTTTTCGATATTGTTTCAACACGTCACAATTTACCTTAAGATATGCAGAAAAGTTCGCACACAAAAAAAAATGTTATACTATATTAAATTAGAACCCTTAGAACCCTTAAAGAACTAATAATTTTATGTATTTTTTGAAAAAATATTTATACATTGTAATTTAAGGTTCCAAGACTTCTAGATCTATCTAACGGATTTCGAACATAAAGCTCCGAACATTTAGATGGATCCCGGTAAATTATCGTGTATGAGGCTGCACATACCTTCCAATGAAGAGTGTGATGTTATGACGTCTGAAATGTTATCGCCATTGCAATCCGCAATAAAATTGCCTACAAAAATGTCCAGTTTTCTGGTATTTAGCTGCCATATAGTCGAACCAGTTTTTGAATCGATGGTCAGGATTGTCTGAAAATTTGTTAGGTCAGCTTCATATTTACGCAGTCAAGAAAATAACCTCATAACTGAATTATAAGGAAGTGTTGAATTCCTTCGTACATATAATAAGGCGTTGAAATAATATATGCAACTGAATACTTGATTTCTTAAGAATTTCGTGTTATTGAATAATTTGGCAGGTAACAAAGTACATATCTTACCCCATATTCGCCAATAGCTAAGCAGTCCATCACGTTATCTCCGTTCAAATCTGCTGAGCACTGCAGGCTAAATATCGTATCGTTGATCCAAAGTTTCCACAACATCTCTCCATCTGTTCCATTCAAAGCCATCACCCCTCCCTGACACGGTGGCGGAACCCCCATGAATATAAGGCAAAATATATCTGGCGGCAACACGTCATGATTACCTGCTACGAGAGATAAGTCAATCGTTTTCATGTACAAAGTGTCACACGAAATTTATCAAATTAACACACGAGATATTTTTCGTATTTTCTGAAGTTAAAATAGTATTGACGACATAGTTGTTTGTTGTTCGTTGGATGAATATCAAATTTTTTAACTTATGGCAACATATTTTCTATATATCATAGATAAAACGTCTGAATAAAAATGAGTATAAGCATTTTCTTTTTATACTTATAAGAGAAACCCCGTTAAATTTTGTGTAATTCTAAACTAAAATTCGTCCAGTGACATATAGGGTGGTCTTACTTAGACAAAGAGTTTATTATAAGAGAGAGCAAAAAAATTAAATTCAAAAATGTTAAGGTTTTTTGCCTTATCGTCTTTTATAGGTTTCAATATTTACAGTGCGCCGTTTGTTAAAAATTTAATTATTTATTGATTATTAATTATTTATTGCTTCTGCAAAAGGCTTACTGTATCCAAATAGCGGGGATTCAATAGAAATAATTTATAAAAATCATTATAAATTAGTTCAAGTTATTATTTCTTTTATTACCTTAGACATCTTTTCTATTTTTTATAATAAAATTATACATGACAGTTGTGTTCTTTAATAAAACTTAGGGAGGTAAATAAATATTCTAATCAATGTAAATTGTAAATATACAAATAACAGATAATAACGTTTAGATTTTATATTTTATTGCAAAATAATAAATACTATTCTCGTATCTAGAAACTATTGATCTATATTTATATGAATTTGTTTTTAATATAAAACTGCCACACCCCGTATACCGCATCCATCTTGTAAAATGCCCTAAAAGTAACTTTTTTTTAGAAATTTAATTTTTTTTACTCCCTACTCTAAAATACACAGTTATGCACTGATCAGACTTTAGCAAATTTAACTTTAAGTGTCTTAAATACTGTCGCGAACCTCTTCGGGAGTTTCCGGCACTTTAGTTGCCGGTTGGGAGCGGTCGGTTTTCAATAGTTATATGGTATTCAGACACGTTGGACAATTCTGATGGTCACTCAGTGAAATTTGAAAATTTTAGATAAAATACCCAATTTTAATACACGTATTTAGTCGTTTTAGTTATTATACACGATTAATTGAATAGTTGCTTCATTACCTTAATTTTAAAACACTCTGTGGAATAATTATGTTACCATTTTCTTTAAAGTTAAGAACCATTCAGTTTTTACGGTTTTTTGAGTTTGTTCCTTCAACAGAAATTTATTTATTTTTTAACAAACCTATTCAATTTCAACTAAACTAATCTAAAGAAACATTTTTTTTATAACAAACTTAATCTAATATTTTGTACACCGTGTCTTCATCAAAATATATATATATATATATATATATATATATATATATATATATATATATATATATATATATATATATTTTTTTTCACGTATTGATTCAAGGATGGAAAAATGTGATGACACTATATTCCGGGATATCATCCGTTCGCTTGTTGAACTCCGACTGAAATCCTGTATCCGACTGGAATCCTGCAGACATTTCGTCAAAATCTCACTTGGCATCTTCAATACTCGCGCTCCGAAAACACTTCGAACACTTGTAAAACATCAAAGTTGTCGCCAAACTGGTGCGTTTCTGAATTTCAATGAATGGCATATTTAGAATCCGAATTTTAATTTTAATACTCTCTTTTATATTCGTGAATGGTTTGTTAAATATTCCACCCTTTTGTCAGACATGAATTTTGGGATCCGAATCCACAACTCCGGAATGTTGAGTTTTTTATTTTTTGATGACTAAGTTTTCTTGGGTTTTCTTAAAACCTAATATAGAAAGATGTTATTACATTTTCTTGCTAAACTCTCCTATGTATTTTATTATTTTATAAATATTGGATTCGGTGTTTACCATGGGATGGATGGAGTTCAGAGTTATTTGCAACTATTTTGTTCTAATTTAATTATGTTAAATATATTTTCATAAAGTAAACGCCATCTCAGTTCAATAATATTTTGTATTGCCATATCTGGCTCTAATAACTGCCTGTATATGGTAAGTTACGTATAGCGTCTTGAGAAATAGTTTACCATTTCTCCTGAAGGGCTAAACTTAACCGGGACACTAAGGCTCTCTTACATGCTATATGGGGTTGAGATCAGGCGAACATGCTGGCCAGTTCATTTTGAACCAACGAACCAAAAAGCAAACCGTAAAAAATGAATGGTTTCTCACGAAAGACCTTTTAGAAAAAACAGTAACGTAATTATTTAAAATTAAATCTATGAAGCAACCATTCAATTAACCCTGTATAGTGAATAAAACAGCAACATTTATCAATCAACTAAATACGCACGTTAAAATTGTCAAGTTTATCTAAAGTTCAGCCTAAAAATAATAAAAAAAAAGAGATTCCTCAAATTTGACCAGAAATTTCACTTTTCTTATGTATAACATGCAAACCTTTTTAGATACTATAGTAAAAAAAATAAAATGACAACATAATACCGACGGGAGTTAACCTCCTGCCTCTCCTTATTTTTTTTGTTCATGACTTTTATAGAGCTTTTCTTTTCATTTACCTGTTCCGAAACCAAATAGAATGTCATCAATTCCATCGCCGTTCACATCCAAACTTCTGACAGGCGAGTCGGTGATTAGCGTCGGTAGATTAACGGTCCAAACATCGGTGATTTTCAAATTGCTGCAGGGCAAAAGCTTAGGAGTTTTCTCGATTTTCGCGGTGGATATCACCCAGTCTCTTAATTTGTCGAGTGGTAACGGATATAGTGACACCAAAACTACCACTAAAGCTATAAGCCCTGAAATAAAAGATTTAGAACATAATCAAGGGAACCTTAGAATTGGACGGGAAAACTATATTTATAACAAGTCGTACTGGAAAATGTTAAAGCAAAATAATTTGGGTATCAATTTCTTATATTAATTCAGATTCAGATTAAATCAGAGTAGTTCGCAAATAATAGTCTTAATGGATATTATTTTACTATCAATAAATTACAAAACTAGATATCTTCATAGATTTAACTACTTAATTTAATTAAATAAGAAGTTGATATCTGATCACAACTCTACACCTCACAAAATATATCGCATCACTTAAAATTTCGTATACAGCCAAGGTTTTTATTTTTTATTAGGTATGCAAAGAATATTTTTAAACAATAAAAAGTCGAGAAGGAATAAAAAGAAGCGAGTTGTTTATTGTTCGGTGCAAACTTTAAGATATCGTCTACGAGAACACAATATACACCCTATGATACCAGCAAATGATCCGAGATTAACCTGAGAGCACCATGGTGCCAGCTTAATACTTGCCAGAGACCATGTAAGTTGGGGACTGGAAAAATGGTAAAATGTCCTTTTTACATATGAGTTTAGGTTCTGGTTAAATACCTCGGATGGACATATGTCTGTGTATTGACGACCTGGAAAACGTCGCTACCAATGCAATTTTATTTAGAATCAAAGTTTTGGTGATCTTATAAGATAACGAATGCACAGAATTGGTGCCTGTAAACAAGAGCAGGTTAACCACTGATCGGTACACCTCACGTAGTCCCTTTTGGGCCTCGTATAGGGGACAGTTTGATTTATATGAACTGGCTAGCAAGAAGCCCTGACTAAAATCTGATTGATCATGCTGAGACCATATATGATGGCAGATTCGTCAACATAGAAATTATGAGTAAAACTAGTCGCGGTTTACGTGTCATGGTGCTACCAATTCGAATTCTCTTATCCCATTGCGTTTCTGAGCTACAGGATGATTTTGAAAATTTCGCATCATAATTTTATATATTTAACAATTAGCTAGTTTTAGTTCATTAATATTAAATACTCTCAAGTACTAAATTATTATTTTAACTTAAAAATTTATTCAAGCAGTATTTTTATCCGGATTATTTATTTTCCTCTTGTAAATTTAGTTTAAATTTGTATTATTTGTATTGTATTTCTTAGAAGAAAAAAAAAAGCTACACGTAAATCTAAATTTACAGCTGGAGAAACTGCTCAAATTGACGTCATTATTTTCTTGTTCTGCGTAACGCATTTCTTAATTCCCTTTGCATTTCACAGATCTTCCATTGTATGATGCAGATTTTTGTAAATTTGATTTTGAAGGTAACCCATAAGAAGTTATCAAGTACTGATAAGTCTAGAGACCTAAATGGCCATCTTATGGGACCAGGTGTGCCAATCTAATGATTAGGAAAAATATTGCTTAAATATGAAAATTATGCGCAGGAGCTCTGTCCTGTTGAAAAAATGTATTGTTTAGCTAAACTTAGGGGACTGCTTCGCATATTTCTGGTAAGATATTTTCCAGTATTTCCAGATATCTATTTACTGTGAGGCTACATTCGTACAAGTATACAAAATTTTATCTTACTTCCTAAAATAAAACTGGAAATACTAAAGCGGAATATGCCTTGTTGCTCGCGAGGACCAGTAACGAGTGCCAGGAGGACCGACCAGTGCTTTGCGGTCTTGTATATAAGCTTCATCAGACCAGATTATTTTCCTACGAAAATCCCTATCTCTGTTGATATTTTGTAAATAAAAATAAGAAAAATTCTTACTTTGTTGTTGGTTCCGGGTATGCAAAATATGAACCTAAATTTATAAGGTTTGTGCTTTTTTTAAATTTCTTGAATAGTAGATTTTCAGTTTTTCTACAAGAATTATATATATATATATATATATATATATATATATATATATATATATATATATATATATATATATATATTCTCACGTATTGATTCAAGGATGGAAAAATGTGATGACACTATATTCCGAGATATCATCCGTTCGCTCGTTGAACTCCGACTGGAATCCTGCATCCGACTGAAATCCTGCAAATCCTGCATCCGACTGGAATCCTGCAGACGTTTCGCCAAAATCTCACTTGGCATCTTCAATGCTCGCGCTCCGAGTGTTCGAAGTGTTTTCGGAGCGCGAGCATTGAAGATGCTAAGTGAGATTTTGGCGAAACGTCTGCAGGATTCCAGTCGGATGCAGGATTCCAGTCGGAGTTCAACGAGCGAACGGATGATATCCCGGAATATCGTGTCATACATATATATATATATATATATATATATATATATATATATATATATATATATATATATATATATATATATATATATATATATATTCTCAATGGCATAGAATGAATAGAATGGCATGCAAAATAGATGTATATGTTTTTTATTAGTAAATATATTCCATAATTTAATTTTGTTAGTTTAAAATTGAATGACATATTTTGTTAAGGCCTTTAAAATCGATTTTGTAATTTTTTGTTTTTTGGATTTCTATACTTTCATAAAGTCCTCTTTTTTTGGTGTTTGTTATGTTAGTACCACTTTAACTTTTTGAAAATTAAATGTGTGTTTCGTGTTGTCACAATGAGTATAAAGAGCTGTTTTATTTTTTTTGTCATACTTATGTCAGTTGATTATATTTTTTAAATGTCGGCTTGTTTGTCTTATATACACACTATCGCCATTAGAGCATGGAATTTCATATACTATATTACTTCTTTTTTCAACTGAAATTTTTGTTTTAAGTTTAGTGAAGAGATATGTTTTTTGTAAATTATAAGTTTTGTGTCCTATTTGAATTTTGTATTCTTTGAAAATGGTTCGGAGTTTTTCTGATAACCCAAGTATATATGGTAGTAATATATACTTACTTTGCGTATTTTGATGTTGGCTTTTATTTGCGTTATTATAAAATTTATTGGTACGTTTACTACAGATATTATTAATTAAGTTTTTAGGATAATTATTTTCTAGAAGTGTGCGTTTTGCTTTTTCAATTGCGTCTGCTCTATCTTCTGGATCGGATATCATTATTGCTCTGTCTGAAGATTTAAAATTTAGATAACGTGATGATTTTGTTTCCTTGTTCTTATTTTATTTTGTACGTGATGTAGATATAAATCCATAAAATTAATCCTATTTTGGTTTTCAATTTCAGGCGTGAATTTTAATTTTTTGTGAAAATTATTGAAGGACTTTGGTAATAAGTCTGTTTTTCTTTTTGGAACTGCAGTTATGATTTCGACGACATATTGATGAAAAAAAGGTAAATTGAATTGAATGGTTTTAATAGCATTTTCTTCTAGATACTCCATAACAAGTTGTGCTACTTGAAATTGTCATATCCATTGCATAACCTTCGACTTGTTTATAGAACATACTTTTGGATTAAAAAAATGTGGATTTTAGAGTAAAATCTAAAGCTACTAAAAATTCATCGGGAGGAATATCTTTGTAGTTTAATTTTATCCCATTTTGTTTTAAGTTCTTGTGTGATAAGCTCGAAGGGTATGTTCGTATATAATGACACGGCTTCAAGCGAAACTAGAATGTAGCCATCTGGTATTTTTAAATTTTTTATTTTATGTTTAAAGTCTATCGAGTGTTTGATGTTCAATTTATTTTGATTTGCTACGTTCTGTTGGTGATTGTATACAGGATACGATAGGTCTTAATGGTGTTGGAAGTGTTTTCGGAGGGTGAGCATTGAAGATGCCAAGTAAGATCTTGGCGAAACGTCTGCAGGATTCCAGTCGGATGCTGGATTCCAGTCGGAGTTCAACAAACGAACGGATGATATCCCGGAATATTTTTTCAACATAATTTTCCATCCGTGAATCAATACGTGAAAATATGGCAGCTATTAATCATTTCGTCCTCTAAATTCAAATTTAAATCTGCTTGTGCAATACATAAATATTCGGTTTTATCCATATTTATTTTCAATTCCCACAGATTTAAATTTGAATTTATAGGACGAAATGAATAATAGCCTAACTTAATAACTTACAAGTATCCACAATACACCGAGATGGTACATGTGGAGTAGCACGAGGAAAACAAGCCACAAGAGCATTTCATGGACTGACATGGAATACTAATCTTAGAAAAGAAAACAAAAAAAGAATCTTCCAAAGCATAATTCAAAATGTCGCCTTATATGGAGCAGAAGTGTGGTCAATGACAACAACGATAGGAAAAAAAAAAGAACGGTCGGATTGGACTTTATGAGAAGATGTCCACAAGTCACAAGAACTGACAAAATAAGAACTGCAGAAATGTGGCAACGAATGGGAATAGAATGCTCGATAACCAGGAAATTAGAAAACATTATAATAGTATGCTCACGTACAAAGAATGCCCGAACACAGATGGCCAAAACGAGTACTGGAATGGGAACTTCCAGGGAAAAGACGAAGAGGACGACCGGCACTAAGATGGGAGACATACATTGGACATGCGATGATTGATAGAGATCTGAGAGTAGGGGACTGGAATGTAAGACAACTGTGGAGGATAAAAACGGCGAATTCGTAAAGGAAAATGCCGATGAAGAAGAAGAAAACTGCAATATTTAGTACTTTTTGTACCAATAATAATTTGAGAGACCAAGCCTTTTTTTTTGTTTTGGTTGGAGCCAACCAAATAATAAATTTAAACAAAAATTGCACACACACAACTAAAATTAAAAACATGTGGTATATATTCGCAAAGCCCTTAGCGAACGCAATACAATGACATAAAATTATACAGGGTGTCACATTTAAAAATGCACAACTTTATGTCATAATTCAAACAATAAACAAAATCTGAAAAATTAGCTACTCCATTAGATTCTACGTACAATAATCTCTAAGACGTATGTTTTCAATAGCTTAAATATTAACGGAGATACGAGGGGTGCTGCAAATGCTATGGGATAAGAACATTCTGCTGACAGCATCTTTTGTTTCACAAAAAAGTAGCACCATGGCCCGAAAATCGCACACTTCCAGGTGTACTCATAACCGAGATATCCTGCAATAACAACGAATTTTGGACACATAAGGCCTTTTTGAGTGATTACCGAGACGTATGTGGCTGGTAATAAGAGCTCGTGGAGAAAAGTACACTTTGGCTTAATTAGTGTGCTTTTGTGTTTTATTTTAATTGCATTTTCGAAGAATTAAAGTTTTGTTTCAATCTGGTATGTGTGATTTATTACTTTTTTGCATAACTTTTTGCTTATTACATTTCAAACTGTTCCCATCCCACGACACATACATTTTTACATAAAAAAATACAGTTTTTTTTTTAATTACAAGTGATAATTATGTGGAGGCTTTATTTTAGAAGTAGACAGTACTACATCAATACTATTCTATCAATAAATATGTAAGTATTAATCATGGTCGGTTATAATGATTGGAAGCGTTCCAATCGGAAGTATGTGAGTTATTTCTTACAGTATACCCAAATACACCTCAATTTAAGAGGTGAACTCTGGCCGAATAGTTGAAAAATTTACAAACACTGGGTTTGGTAAGGAACAGCACGGCCAAAACTAAATCAAACGATAGAGAGATTCTTTCAATTTTTGAATTGCTATCCTATTCATTTCAAGTTTGAATATTTTAAGCTCTGTTTTCACCAACCTACAACATCCCGTATATTTCGCTACTTATCGATAGTCTTACCAATTAATACACTAAGGGCAGCAAAAACATAACAGCAAGGCTTCCAGAATACCCTACAATTGTGTTTCTGTTTTAATCTTGATCCGGCATCCGATTTCAGGGCTTTTCTTCTGGGCGCCATAAGCGGCCTTTTCACATTCATCTCTTCCGCCAACTACAAAACACGTATCAATTAATTAACGAAATACATCGTATGTTTCCATATGCAGGGCGTTTCAGAAGCTAATGCTGATAGGTGAGTTTACAGTGCAGGAACTCGATATAAAAATAATAAAATAAAAGTTGTTGTTAAACTAATCATTAATAATATATTATTTAGAAAGGAGAATAACAATAAATTATGTGAAGTTTATATATTAATATAAAATGAATATGTTTTTTAAAGACGTATTGATTGACATTGAGAAGGAAGAAATAAATACTGATTATGTAAATGTATTTCAACATTAACTACTAATTTTACTTTATGCTAATCTTAGAAATATTACGGCAGGATAGTAATTTGGGTAAGTTTGGTTAACATTGTAGACATCAGTTCTAAAACTTTTTGTATTATAACGATTTGGTGGAGATCTTGAATTAATAATATAGGCATACAGAGCCAACCAGTTTCCTTAATTTTGTGACTAATTCTCTGAGATTTTCTTATTCCATATAATAGTCGGAGATATGAATTTTGCATTTTTTATACGCGCTCACTATCTGCAACTGTTCAGCAACAAATATAGAGACTGTCGCAATAGTTAAAATGTTTCAGGATTAACAAGTCACACAGAAGTATTTTTATTGTATTGTATATTGAAATATAATTTTTAAGTTGATGTGGTTTTTTGCATACATTTGTTCAATATGTAAAAGAGGCTCTAAAGGAGGGGACAGCTATCGGTTCTCCATTATCACCAGTTATCGCGAATATATTTAAGCCTTTGAGGGAAGACCCTCGACACCTTCACACTAAAACAAAAATTATGGAAACGCTACGTTGATGTACTTTTGATATTTGGCCTCATAGTCAAGAATCCCTCCTAGATTTTCTAAGCCATTTAAACTCCATATACCCTAACATACGTTTTTCGATTGAATTGCAAACTAATAATGATCTCCCATTCTTAGATATTCTTATCAATAGAAAATTCACCTACGCACACAGACCGATATCTTAATGCGGTGTCACATCACCATCCAGCCCAAAAATTATCGCTGATCAGCTCTCTTGTTTAGAGAGCCGTAAAACTATCTCAGACATCTGTTCTTCGCTCTAATAATTTCCATATTAGAGAAATTAAGCGTTCCATTATAAAATTCACTTCACCACAACCTTCCAAGGACAATGGGTTGGAAAGCAACACCATACTTGCTACTGTTGTCCTTCCTTGTATGCAAAACATCACTTATCACATGTCAAAAGTTCTTAAGAAATATAATGTCAAAACCAGATTTACCACTGGTCCAAAAATCTCTTATCTTCGATCCATCAAAAGCAAAATTCCGTTTGAAACACCAGGGCTTTACAGTATTCCATGTAAATGCGGCAATAAATACATTGGAGATACAAGAAGAAAAATATAAACTAGACTCAAAGCACATGAAAGAGCCTTAAGACTACACAAATCTCTCATCAGCAGTTGCCGAATACTATCACAAAATCGGATATCAAATTTTATTAGATAAAACTAAATTTCTTGCATGCTATCAAATCTTCTGCAAACGTAAAATCTGGGAATCTATAGAAATCAACAAGGAACCAAACAATCTAAACCGCGACTCAGGTCTTTTCCTTTCACCAATATAGGAAATGGCCATCTGAGACAACGTTCATGCCCCTTATTTAGCTCAGTCCCCCTCAAACAATATATAAGCAGGTACACAATAAACCCCGAGCCAGTTTTAGTGAAGCTCTGAAGAAGCCAATAGTTCACACGTTCGATTCATCAACAACTAATGCAGGGGGAATCCAGAAGTTGTGTAAATAATATTAGGAAATGGTTTCTTTTCACTTTTAACTCTAATCACTTTTCTACTACCAGTTTCATTATTAATAAAGAACTTCAAACAATTAAAAATGTGCCATTTAAAACTGAAATCATCTATAACTAATTTTGTGGATTTCGCAATTGAAAATTTGGTGTGTGTGTTATCGATAATATTCCTTTGATTTTCATTGATTCTGCTATTAAATTTGCTCTAAAGGCTAAAATATGTATTTGTTATGTAATATTTCTGTTTCCGTTGCTAAAAAAGGAAATGTTAAGAGCCCTTATAAAAGTGTACACTCAAATTTTGAGAAATGATTCCCATTACATTTTGTTGCCAGAAAGGAAAAACGGAAAAAAATAACAGTTAATTGGACAACAATTAATATATTTAAGTACAGTCGACAAAAATAAGGCCGCAACTGAAGCGTCATACCGTGTGTTCCAGATAAATACACAGAAGAAGACACCTTATAAAGACTGAGAAATAGTAAAACAGTATTTTTTGGAAGCAACAGATTCATTATTTGCCAGCTTTAGAAATAAAAACGAGATAGTGTCTTCAATAGGGTCTCTGCAACTTTCCGCTAAAACAGCGATGAGACGAGTAGAAATAAAGAGTAAAAATATTACTGTTCAAAAGGGTCTTGAACAATTGTGTTTATTTTTCGTGGTTGACATCCCCAGACGGCCGTGGATGCGAGGATGGTTTTCTTATTTAATTTAGGTATCTCACTCTCAAAACTATCGAAGTAGCTCAACACATTAAAAAGGTTTGCGACTACTAGGTTAGGCACTTAGTATAACAATCTGCATTTCTGAAATTTGAAATTTAGATGTGAATCTCTAATTATTTTAAATTTCTAATATCTATGACCCTTTTCTTGATAACACAACTAAAAATCTTGAAACATGGTGAGAACGCGTGAATTAGAATAAATTTGTTTAAAAATTATCGTTTCGTATTATGGAAACTAATTTCATTTTTCCCGTGCCAACAAAAAATTTTTCGGTATGTTTTTCAATTTTTCAATCACTGTTGGGTTTAGGTATAAAGTTTAAACTAAATAAATACATAGTTTCATTATAATATGGAATCATTTTATACTATATTGTTGGACCAGTGCTTTAGTGTATATATAATTTTTTTTAAGTGAAGAGAGGGGAAAATAATCTTAAATTTTAATCTTCATTCTCAACTTTTTTTTAATTTTTCCGAAAAAAATAGGATAAGTTTTGACAGATGATTGTATCTATAATTCACATAAAATTAAGCGCAAATTTATATGTTAAAAATGTGTAAAAAAAAGTTTTCATTTCGATATAGTAGCTACGTAGCCGTTTAATACACACTAGCAGGAATGAATGATTTTATGTATATGTTTATGTTTTTAGCTGATTAATTTGAAAAATATGTACAAGTTTATAAAAAGTTTTAGTAAATTAGTATATAATTTTGTTAGAAGTTAAACTTCGCTAAATAATAAAATTCATAACTACCATCCAGTAGTTTGCGAATGTCTTTTTTTTCATAGTAACTTCCACAGGCTTTTCTAGTACAAATCTTCTGGATTTCTCCTGCGTCGGTTTTTTGTTAATCAGACTTGTTGGCGTTTCGTTAGCTTTTTCTGAGCTTCACCAAAAGTGATACGCATTCTACTGTGTATCTGCTTATCTATTGCTTGAAGAATTCGGAGCTAAAGGAGAGACATGAATATTGTCTCGGATGACTAATTGCCATATTGGTGAAAGGTAAAGTCCGAGTTGCGGTTAAAATTGTTTTAATTGTGGTTTCAATGACTCGGTTTGATATAGTTTTTTAGAGAGTTGATAACCGAAGATTTTTCGATTTTTGTGCTAGGGGAAACGTAAGCAAGTTTGATATATAAACAATCGACGCAGGAAGAGTCCCGAAGCGTCGTAAATAGTGACCAATGTTTTATTACCAAAACTAACCAAAATTATCATTGAGACATAAAACCGATGGTTTCTTAAATTTGGACACCTGTTGCAAACCAGACATTTTGGGACACGTGTTTACATGAACTTTTATGTTTGAATCTCGAATTACGAAAGTAACACCATGTATATTATTTTATTTAATGTTTTATTGCGCCTAGCAAAATCCTGTTTCGATTGACTTTAATAATAACAAGAGAGAAGGAAGGCACAAAAATTTTATATTTTAACAAGAAAAAGAAGCAACATTGGCAGAGCATCGCTAAACGATCACTAAATGACATCATTAATGTAATGAAACGGCGTTTAAACAATCGGCAGGACCAAGAATAATCATTTTTATTACTTGTTATTGTAATTAAATGAATGAAGTACTCAGGTTGTTTTGAATTTCAACATTTTATTTTATAATTTATTTACTGTTTGTTCGCTAATTAATCGATTACCTTATAACCGTTTTTTCCGTCTCTTATGAAAACTTCGTCTTCCACGTCGCTTAAATCGTCCTCGTCCAAGGAAACACTTTCCCTTACTTCTCCCCTCAGACTCATTCCTGCATACGTTGCCATCTTCATATTGAGAAATATCACTTTCCAGATTTAAGTACGCAAAAATTCTCAATTTTTGTCACGGTAGCCGCAAGAAGTCAATTAAAATGCGCCAGATGCTAGAATAAACTTTCACGCCCCTTCGCAGATGAGATGTAGGCAACTAAAAACTGGATGCGAGTTTTATAGGGAAACGAATTTGTAGCACGACGCACTATATTTTTCTATAAATTTATTAACTTGTCACTGATTGTTTTGCCTAAATAATACCTTGTGCGAAACATATGTTTCGTCGCAGCAGGAATACGCGCCGCTCTTCTTTTCCTACTGGACTGCTCAAACTCGAAAATATTGATTTTTCGATGCACACGATACATCTCCATAAATATAATGGTCAATTACATGCTGCATCGCATTCGAATTTCGATTCAATATTCAATCGCTGTTTCCACCTTTTATTATCCTACTTACAGAAATGCTTATCGGTTTTAGTTTTTCGACGATGCTGTTTAGAATAGAAGAGAATAACATAGAGTAGAAATATAAAATATTTATTTTCTTCTTCGGGGGCTACAATTTAGAAACCATAAATTAATCATTCGTTTCGCTTTTCACAAATCAATCACAGAAGTTACTATTTTCTATAAATTGCAGGTTACTAAGTAAAAGATGTGTCCGTCATACTTCGTTAAAAAGGTCATTCTGTTACATTTTAGATTAAACTGATGTCACAAGTGTTGTTACGAGATGTGGTGTTACAATCGGTAGTTTTTAAAGTAAATTTGAATATGAAACACTGAGTTCGTTTCTTTCTGTCCTTTTATTTATTGCTCTGGCTTCTAAAATTTCTGCCAATTCTAGAAACAGTCTTTTGTTTACACAATACTCCCAGTGTAAGATTTTGGTTTCATTAAAAATGGAATTGTGATGTAATTGATTTGCATGGGCTGCTAATGAACACTTTATTTTATTGAGTCAACAACCACCTTTGTCTGTTGATCTTTCAACACTCTTGATGTTTCTTCTATGTACACACAATCACATTGGTTACGTGGTATGCTATAAACTACATTACTGTTCTCAGTGGTTTGTATCTCCTTAAGTTTAGTGAAGACAGTCCCTAATGACTTTGGTCAATCCTCAAAACTGCCCAGCAACGGCAACATCGCGAGCACCGTAAAAAAAGGTTGCCTGCAAAAAAGGGATCGGCGCTGCCGACCCTTAAGAGAGACCACGGAACGCTGGGTCTCGACATTACAACCCGTGCTAGCAAACGTTAAGCTTCGTTATTCATTTTCATATGTTTTTTTTCTTTGTTTGTTAGTTGTAAAAGTTTGTTAAGTTGTAAAAGTTAAAAAATAAAGTTATTCGAAAAATACAGTCCACTCTATCGAACAAGAATCAGCGCAGCAAATAACGTGGACCTACGTTAAAACCCACCAGACTTTATCTGCATATGGACAACCTTGATGTTTGGTTGAATTGTTAGAATTTTTGATATTGCAAATCTTTAATCTTTAATTTGTAATTTGATTTGTATTGTTGATATCTCTAATGACTTTTGTATCTCTCTAGAATCTCTTCCACTCCGTCACTGGGGACTGACGTGATTATGTCGTCTACATGTTTCTTTAAAAAGTTGGTACAAAACAAAGAGACCACGTCCTGACTGATTAGAATATAGTTGTTGGGTAGTTGTTTGCCATTACTGAAGGAATAAAATTCAAAGGTATGCTTTAATTAAAATATCAGTCAAAAATTATTTGTACGCGAAATTAGGATAGGTCTTAGTGATAACTGTGGTTCATGAATTTTCGGAAACCATAAAATTTTGCAGAAAATTGATTATAAGTATTCGCAGTTTTTGCAGTTTCTTTAGTGGTCTCATCGTGATCTTTTAAAAGTTTCACGTGTTTATTTGATTTTTGTTCATATGAAGAATTTGTGCCATTTCTGAGTTGCTCGTAGTAATTCTGATTCATCAGTATATCTTCGATTTGTTTATATAAGTTTGTTTTGACATGATTACTGTAATATTACCCTTGTCAGCCTAGATACAATCAACTCTTCATCTTCAATCTTTTTTATTTTAAGTGCGTAAGTAAATTTAGCTTTTGAGGTATTTTTTATATTATAAGGAAAAAGTTTAATAGCATTCTCGACATCTGAAATAAAATGTTTGACTGACACTGAGAGTTATGTACAATGATTTCCACGTAATAAGGATAGGACACCGTGAGATTTACATTGTCAGCTTTTCGGATGCGAACAGTGTGTGTACGTCGCATCGTGCGGAAAAGTGACACATACCGAATTAGGCTACTCTGAGGAGTGGTTTCAACCGGTACAGCGCAATCCAAAGAACTTCGCGAATCCAGAGAAGACTCTCCTAGGCAGTGTGCAACAACGGATCAGGGCAGAGAAAACCGTAAGTGCGATTTTTTCCTTTCGCCCCTTTGAGATCCTCCGTTAAGACTTTTAATAGGGATAATTTTATGCAGGACGTATCGGATGTTAAGTAGTTAGGGAAACAAAAACATTTTTTAATCGAACAATTTTTGATGTTAAATTGTGAATCAGAAACAAGCTGCTAATATTTCAAAGCATTAAGTAGTGACGTAGAATCTGAAATTAGTGAAATTTTCAAACATCTAACATCTTTAGTGAAAGAAAAATTTCAGAGAAAATGATAGACCAAATAAATTGGGATCTATTTAAATCAAAATTGCAAAACCGTTAACCTTACGAAGGTGATAGCAATACCTTAAATAAATTTATCAACAGATGCCAAAGCTTAATTAATGGTTACGCTTCCCTTGCAAATTCGGAATTAAATATACATATTTTTGAATATATCCAGGAAAAACTGGTAGGTAGAACCGCAGTTCTAGTAGGTAATCGCACAGAAACAGCATTGACTCAATGTTTTTCCGATCGCCGATATCTGAATTGTTTAATCCAAGAATTAGTTAAGACTAGGCCCAATAAAAACGAACACTTGATAAATTTTGGAAGTAGACTTCAATTATTAAAGAGCGTATCAGTATCGAGTAACGAGTCTAAATATACGTCGGAAGAAAAACTTTCATACATTAAACATTATGATCAAACCGCCCAAAATCCAAAAAAATACAGAGTGCACAGGCGTCTCAAAAAAACAATATGCATTTAAAAATATCGCAAAGTCTCGAAGACGCCATGGCCTATGTAAATGAATTCGATAATTTTTTGAAGATTGTATGGGGCTCTGAACGAGCCTTATAAATCTCAAAAACCGAACTTCCAAAATTTAAACAGTGCCCCGACAAATCGACATCTTCAAAATTTTTATCAAAGACCGTTAGTACCACCCAATCTCGCTCAGTTTCCAAATCCGCAATTTAGTAATCCGGCACAATTTGGTAACTTAACGCGATTCGGTCACCAACCTTTTAATCAAAATTGCTTTAAGCTCCCACAAAAAATGTTTCCAACTTGCCCAGTTGACGTAAGGCCCACACAACTACTCCCTGAAAAATACTTTACCAACAGTCATGTTCCATAAGGCGAGACCAATATCGAAACCAAAACAACTATTAGCGATCGAACCCAAATACGCGAAATAACTTTGTCTTTAAAGAATTACAGTCAAATGACGTGACGGACTTCGACAACCAAGACTCTGAGGATAACTTAGATTATTTTAACCAGCGTTTTGAAAATAATTTTCCCCAAGAATACTTTGAGACAATCGATGAATCAATACAATGTCAATTAGCAAATCAAAGCAATCAAAATTTAGATATACCCCAAAATTTTTGCGAAACCAGCCAAGAAGAAACCCCGACTGGATAGAAATAAACGCATCTTCGTATAACCCCCTTCCTTGCTTGCAAATTAACTCTTTAAATATTAAATTATTGATCGACACTGGTAGTAATAGATCAATATTAAAATCTATTATTGCTGAACAATATTTTCCGAATTGCATCTACAATGCACAAAATACTGTAAAAACAGCCGGAGGCAGCCAAAACAATCAATTTGAAGCTAGTATAGCTTTATTTACAGAATTTGGTATCGATTACGAAATCAATTTTATCCTTTTCGATTTTCACGACTTTTTCGATCGCGTTATTGGATTAACTGATTTGATGAAAACAATTCAAATTCCTTTTAAGTTCCGCGCACCCGCAGATTCAAAATTTTCATTTTCGATAAATTCTCATCAGAAAATTATTAAGAATATGCCATTTAGCGTTTTTGAAGGCGATATTTTAGTACCTTCTACTGAAATAAACAACTTGTTTATTCCTAGAATGTTATCCCACGCGAGAAACAGATTCGCACCCGTTGAAATGCAAAACCACACCGATAAAACAATTAACACGACCTTGTTGCAACCAATTAATCGTTTATACAGGAAGCATTCGAAATATATTCTTCCGAAACCATCAAAAAATTCGATAAAAATAAATATTTTCAAAATTCAAAATTAATACGGCTATCTCACATGAACTCAGAACAGCAGCAATCAATAACTAAATTATGTGACGAATTTAAAGACATTTTTTATAAACCAGGCGACTCGTTAACATTTACATCCAAAATTCGACACGAAATAAACCACTGACTTACTTCCGGTACACACAAAATCATATCGTTACCCGTATGCCCATAAAGAGGAAGTAAGGAAACAAATAAATGAAATGTTAGGAAAAGGTATAATCCGTCTTTCAACGAGCCCTTGGAGATCTCCCGTTTGAATCGTTCCAAAAAAAATCGACGCCTCAAACGTACAAAAGTGGCGCGTAGTAATAGACTATCGTAAATTAATTTCTGATATACTAGATAAGTTAGGACGACCACAGTACTTTTCGGCTTTAGACCTTGCTAGCGGTTTTCACCAGATCAAAATGGCACAAAATTCGATAGAAAAACAGCGTTTTCCGTGGAAATGGACAACGCGTTATGGACGAGGTCCTTAAAGATCTTCAGAATAAAATTTGAATGGTCTATATGGACGACATAATTATTTTTAGTACAGGCTTGCAGGAACACCTTCAAAATTTGCGCTTTGTATTTTGGAAATTAGGCGATGCAATTAAAAATTCAACTGGACAAATGCGAGATCCTAAGAAAAGAAATCGAATTTTTAGGGCAAGTGGTAACAAAAACCAAACCCGAAAAAGATCGAGGCCATTCAAAAATTCGCGATAATAGAAATTAAGCAATTTTTAGGCTTGCTCGGATATTATCGTAAATTTATACAAAATTTCGCGAAGATCACCAAACCATTAACTCAACGCGTAAAGAAAAACCAAAAAG